CCACACTTCCAAGGGCTAATGTGGTTGGGTAGGGGGGGCAAGCAGAAAGAGGAGAGGAAGAGGATGATGGTGGAGTGTAAACGGAGTAGAGTTGTCGGAAGATTACAGTAAAAAGAGAAGAGTGTTGCCACTTGAACGATAAGAACCAGGGGCCGCAAAGGGCCAGTAGTACGAAGTATTTTCTTTTTTTTTTTTTTTCCTATGGAGATTCCAATATGGAATGAAAGTGATTGGTACACTAAGGGGAGGGGGAAAAGGGAATTATGGAGAAAAGGTGGAATGAGACCCAAAGGACGAATCGGTAATCAGTGGGGGTAACCTGGGTACTCGTACGGAGCACGGAGTACCATTACAACAGATACTCCTAGGATACTCCACTCTAAATATACAGTATACAATTACAATTTAAAAAAAGAACTCCCAACCGAGAACTGGTAATTTACAGATAATTATTGTATCGTGAGGTATTGTCGGGGTATTCCCCTTGTTTCCCTTTGATTCTGCCTGGGTCAATAATTTATGGTCCTTTCCGTTTCCAACTAGTTCCCTCAATACTATACGCGGAGTACTGTATGTATACGGATTCCTTTTTCTTTTTTCCCGTCAAAAACCGACCATTAGAACCAGCCGGAGAGCTTCCTTGTAATCGATAGGGCAACGCTTACCATATTGTCGGGTCCCCCACACATTTAAGAGAAAACGCCACAAGTTCATGCCTTGGTGCCTGAGTCATGCCCCATTAGTACATATACACTCCCGTCGGCTAAATACATACGCCATGTAGTAATTGGAAACCTAAGAAAAATAAAAGAAAAAGTTACCAGAGAAATAATTTAACATGCACCTTTAGTAGGGTTCGGTGGCTGAAGTGGCGGTGGGAAGATGGATGGTAGAGTGTTCCGAGCTTCACTAATCAAACAGCGCGGAAATACATCTACACCACCAAGCGCCACATGACGATTCGGCGGGAGCCGCAGGCAACGAAGTTTACCCTACAGAGTACATACAGTACAGACAATCACGCACTTGACCCTCGGTAGATGTATGGAGTACCCTGCCAGGAGTGGGTGGCATGTCCTCCGTACCCTATGAAGTATGTACTGTAGAACAGAAATTTGTCACGCTAAAAGCACACGAAAACGGAAGGAATGGAGTGGCTTGCGAATCTCCACCATCCACGGAACCACTGTGGTCGTGCGGTGGGGAGTGATAGGCGGTTGCCGAGACCGTAGCTCTCGGGGTTCCCGTGGCAGTTGAATATGTATGTACCTACTAGTATCCCATTGACTATAATACGGTGTAAACATGGATCGAATCATCGTCCAATTTATCACCAGATGTGTACTGCACGTATGTAGTGACAGCACTCCTGCACATGTCAGTGCTATGACGGTTCAAACGTCACCAACATCTAGGATTGGGAACAGATTGAGTCGGCATATCTGGACCAAATTGCTGTTTACGATTTGATCGTCAGGGCAGATTGGGGTTCCTCCTTGTGGACTTGGAAGTTCATACCAAAAGACTCCTCACCGGCAGGAGAAACGCACGTTAACGTCGCGTCTTATCTATCTCAAACACGTTCATCCGTACTTTCAGCCATCGCCTGCACCCTCCATGTATGGCATGTATACTATGTACACAGTCGCCAGCGGCAATAGCGCCCGTTGAATAACTAAAAATACCGTCAAAGCGGGGGGCTAATACTGGCTAATGGGCTACAGTATACGACATATTGTACTCCGTACGAGCATGTCAAATCCCAGCGGATCCCCGTAGTCATTACAAGTCCCTGACAAAACTGATCAATACGCCTCGTGGGCTTGCTGTGCGAAGTGCCATTGCTGGAATGGCATCCCGCCAATCAAAAGGCTCAAATCACCGATCGGAGGGCTCGGAGCACGTGCCTGATACAATACGTGACCTGATGTGACGTGCACGGGACCTTCTGGCATCCATCTTGGCAGGAGATCTTCGATCGACGACCAGACTCGATTCGATTCGATTGGATCTTAGGTCAATGGCAGTTGCAAAATTTCGTTCTCCCACTCCCATTTATCACAAATTTATACGGATCCCAAGAACAGCTCATCTCGTCATCTGATATCTGATACATCTCATGGACACAAGGTATTCGAGCTCTCCAGTCAGCCCGGGGAGGTCGATGTTGCTTCTGATTGGTCGGCACCGGCCACCGAACCAAAGCGTTGAAGAGGAATGGAGCCACTGCTGCCAAAAGCAGCAAGGATGCTCGGTTCATCGTGACACCGGCGTATATTCATGCTGTATGCATGCGTGAGAGCTATACAAAGGGCATCTCCTTTATTTGACCGCAATATATCTGCCCGAAATATGATAATATTACAATAATTAAACTATGTACAAGGCTAATAGCTGTACGAATTTCTCACTAGCGAGTGGGTAATGCGGCTAACCAGCATCACACCAAGACGGGGGAACAAAATACCCGGATATTCAACGTTCAACGTTCAGATCTTAAAAGCGATCCGCAACATCCATTCCATCTGGCTAGTCTCCTTTCGTTATCATCACGTCTAATTCGGAAACAAGCATACGAGTATGTACACTGTATGTACAGTATCTCCTCGAGACCACGCACAAGACCGTTGACGTCAGGATAATTTCTCCGGCTATGTTGCACCAACCAAAAGTACCCACTGGAAGTGGAGATTGTATCTTCGGTGTTTGGTTCCGTTCGCAATTTGGCAAAAAAATGAACTGCTGAGTTAACAGCCACCCCGTCATCTGAAGTCTTCGGGGAGAAGGCGGCGGACGTGGGCGCACACCATGGACGTCACTGGCTGGGGGAGAACTATGGATCCTCGGATATTCGGGGTTTGTACCCCTATGTGTACAGGAGATGCATATCTTTTTGTGCCTTTGGGCCACTCATATTGCTTTATTTAATGAACGTCTGTGGAGTGGAGGATAGGGGGGGGGATTACATAGCAATCCCATTAGGGTTAGGGAAGGAAAATTCACCCGATATAGATCGATGAGATTCGTGATTGGGTGATCGATCCACACCCTGCACTCCTCAATTGCACGATCGTCCAGGAGCCACGTCTCTGTTTTTGTGTCACGGTAGTCGCGATGCCACATACATATTTGGTGGGTGCGAGAGGCGAAAGCGAGGGGTGTTGTATGGACACGTCCCCTGCACTCTATATGTACAACACACACGCACCTGGTGAACCAGGTGACAGGTTGATGATCATCGGGCTAACCACAACACCAACAACCGCTTTGAACGCGACGATGCGACACCTTCTCGTTTATCGTCGGCGGCACCGCAGATCATTAAAGCCCTGCGCCAGACAGATGGGAGCTTGGGCCTTCGTCGGGCGCATGCCTCGGGCGGTACAAAGGTACAGTATTAGTGCATTGCTGTGCGGTTGCGTAGAAGGTGGCTGCTTTATCCGCATGGACTTGGGGGGGGGAAGCAGTGGTGGCGATCACTGCCGCCATCCCGACGAGAGGGCGGGACAGGGGGCCAAAAGGTCGGAAGTCGCATGCGCATGCGTGCGTGTGCGTGCGACCAGAGACGGGCATACTGGGCCAGTCAGGCGCGGTGGAGGGCTTTGCCACATCGGATTCAGGCATCCGACTGTGTGAGTCAACCTGCGCCACATGGAGCCACAGGATTGATGTGTGGGGGGTGGGGCGAAAGAAAGAAGAGAGAGCTTTGGAGCTTGGGGGGAACGGGGCGGGCGGAATAGAGATACTAAACCAATGAGCCTTGGTCACTGGGCGGGGAGGGGAGAAGGTGTGGCGAAAAACAGTCAGATGGGTCTTCCTTTTGAAGCATGGATGTTACTAGAAAGTTTCATACTGAAATACTGTATGGACGGGTACTCTGTTAAGCAGGGTGGGATTGAAATGTGAACAGAATTGCCTAGCGAGATGCGTAGTACGAAGTTATTAGTATACATACTAGAACTACCAGAAGTATGTACTACTACTGTAGTACAATTGTTCAGACATGTGGATCACATCTCAGATCGCATTCAACCCACCGTCATAGCAAGATCGATTAGGAAGGCACAGGTTGAATTAGGAATTATCCCAGAATACATACATGCAGGCACCGATATTCATTGTGCCATGTACGGGGTACGGAGGGCGCATATACCGTGGCTTCTCGAATGAGCTCGAAACGTAAAAAGAATCCCATGCAATCAATGACCGACAGGCGGCTACCTTTATTGATTCGTCCATTCCGCCACTTTGTCCTGACGAATCAGACTGTCCGGAGTATCTGCTTGGGGAAAGAGTTTCAGTGATCATCAATATTGGACCCTTGGGTGGAACTTTCGTCAATTTTGTTGTACTGTGTGGTACGAGTACATACTGTAGATATCTCGATACCTACATCATCATTGCTTGATCTCATCTGATCTATTTGGAGACACAAATCAAAGTGTGGCTGTGCTGAGGGGATCGATGAACTAACTCGCCGCTATGATATCAACTCGGCCCATGCGGCTCCAATTGAATTCAATGTGGAGTGTACATACATACGAAGGAAATTTTAGGAACAAAGAAGACAACCGCAGTTGTGTATGTTTGGTGTGGTGAGCATTGAATGCTGGGCATGCCCAGTCCATGATATTACCTTCTATAAACTATTGGCCCAATATGAATGTTCCTTATACAAGGTATCCCGTAGTCCTTTCGCGAATCTGCGATGTTTCTGAATCCAACCGAAGGAAGCAGCAGTACAATGAATGAGTTGATGCCACCGTGACCCCAAAAACGCCCTCCCAAAAGAAAGAAGAAGAAAGAATGTGCAACGCATATAAACAAGGCACCCAGAGTCTAACAGAACCATGTGTATGTGCTGGCTATCCCCGGCCAGGCCTGTCCCCTGAAATGCCAATCCTGCCATGTGGAGGAGATGTAGGAAAATGAAATATGGTATTGCGTTCCTTCTTGAAGGTCGGAGGAACTAGCTGTGCGTAATGCCCCGGGGGCAGTCTTCAGTGCTGAATGATGAGAGAAAACCCGTCTACCCAAGCACCGGTGGATCCAGAGACACCAGCAATCTTATATCCCAAAGGTGGTATCAATGTGTGTCTAAGAGAGTAAGAAGTTAGTATCCGCATTCATGTTGATGACTGCGCATGGTTTGAAAAGACCTACCCTGCTCCGCCCGTGGCGTTTCCATAGAGACCAGATTTCCTCCCATGACTAGTGAGAATTTCGATTCCATCGATCCAAAGTCCAGCTCGGACGTAAAACCCAAGTAGAATCTCCCCACGTCGAACATCCAGAACGAACTCATCCCCGCTAGGCTTGCCACCACGTTTGCCAAAGAGTTGACTCGTCATGTCCTCGTAGCAGAACTCAATACCATCCAGGGCTGAGCCGTGGTATACTTTGATGGACGTCAGCAATTTCGACATAACAAAGGCTGACTCGAGAAGAAGCTGCTCGGGCTCGCTGCCTTCCATGTTTGACTGGCCCAGGATTCCACTTTTGTAGCCAGTCTGGCTCTTTGGCAGCTTGACTAAAGAGCTCTTGGACTTTAAAAGGCCAACGTCTTCAACAGTGTAGCTGCCCAATGCACCGGAGTAGACCACCAAGCGGATCTTCTTTTTCTTCTCCTTCTCGTTTCCGAAGACCTTTTGGCGGAGCTCGCTTTCAGTAATGGTAATTTGTTTCGGTAGTCCGTTGCTGCTGTTTTCGGTGTTGAGGTACTCGATGAAGTCGTGACAGAAGTCATCCCCCTCCTTGTATAGTTCCATGAACGCGATTCCTGATGACGCAGTGAATAATATCTTGCCATTTTCCACTGGCCATACTTGAACGCTATCATCCGAGCTGACTGGGGCATCGTTTGGCATACGGAAGGCCGGGTGGAATCGAAAACGCAGCGCATCCAAGCGATGCCATCCACATTCGTCGTTCGGCAAACAGATCTTCAGGCCTTGCGCCTTTGTACGGGTTGAGAATGGCTCTTTGGTCAGGAAGGATCGGTTGAGTTGGACGTAATCGCGCAACATGATACCGCTCTCCTGATGAGGGCAACCGAAAAGGTGACCGACCTCGTGGAGATGAGCTCCAATTCCCAGGTTGGCGGACTCCCAGTTAGAGCCAGCCTCCCCGCTATCGTTGGCCACGTAGTTGGTATCTGTTCGCGTGCAGTCAGAAAATGCATCCACCACCTCTTCCAAGCATGATGGGTAGCTCTGCAGGCAATGTGACCCGAAAATGGCCATTTTGATGTCGTCGTCGCCCGAGCCTAGAGCAGCATGGCCGGTGATAGTTTGTGCACCGGTATCCCAATGAGAGTCGAGAAGCAGGACGGAGACGTATTGCTTCTGACCGGAATGTGTGTTAAAATGACTGCGCACAGCGTCTTTCGCAATGTTGAAGAGCTCGTCTCTGTTTTTGGCGTTTTGGTTTTGCTGAGCGATCTCGAGATCTCTCAGCTCGGCGACGGTCTTGTTGGAGCGAATAACGTGGACCTTGGCTTCGTTTCGCATCTGACCAGCGGGTAAATCCCGGCGGCTGAGACTCCCTGGCTGCCACTCCTCCTCAAATCGAAAGCAGCGCCGGCCGAGGTTGTTGCGATACATTTGCTCTCCGGTGAAAGCCTGCCACAGGTATGCAGCTGTTCGGTATTTTCGAATCGCCGTTTCGAGACCATTGCCTTCCCGCTCTTGTCTTTCCGGTACGGTATCGTAGGTGCCATCGGAGTCCTTGCCAAGTAGGATCACCAAATGCAGAGGCGGGGAGTTGACCAACGGCAAGTAGTTAATATTGATCCATGTAGAGTGCACGGCGGGGTGGGTGCTTCCTGTCGATAATTTGGGAGAAATAAAGTCGAAGCGAAGGCGATTGGGACCGGGAACCAAATGAACGAGAGCTTTAAAGTGGGATGCCGTGACGGGCCAGCCGATCGACGGGAAGTTATCTTGGTGATGGAAGACTGTCAAATTGCCGTCCAGCGGATGTTGACGCGGGTCGCCGACCTGGCCATAGATGAGGAGAACTTTTTGATGGACCTGAGAGAGCAGGTGTCAGCAACCGCCCGTTTGGCACCATTCGTTCCCAGCATCAGCGCTTACCCAGTTGTTATCAGAGATTGAGACAATCCTTGGAGCATAGGGCGAGCTCGGGGCGGGCGTCCGAAAGATGCCATTGATGGAGGAAGAGGAGCTTCCCTGTTCGTAGAGGGTTGGGTTAGTGATAGGTTTAAAAGAGAAAGAAAAAAGTAGAAGAAAGGGACGGGATCACCTACCACGACGCTGTTCCGTTGTGACGGGGTTGTTACCAAAGTGGCCGGTCGTTGCGGGGGAGCAGGGAGGGGTGTGCTGGTTGTGCTGGCGATGCTGGTACCATTTGATTCGGACAGAGAAGGGAGATTCGGGGAGGAAAGGGTCGGTTTGATTGACGATGGGGGAGTGATGGAGCTGTGGGAAGAAGTGTCGATCGTGGAGGAGGATTTTCCCGAGACCATTTCCACCTTAGTTGAAGGGGACTTGGAGTCGGTAGCATTGAAGCTAGCCTTGGACCGGCGACGAAGCTGCTTGAAGAAAGGCATCGGGATAGATGAGGCCAGGAACTTCTCGCCGACAGAAGAACCAGGCCTTGGAAGCGACTAGGTATGTGAGAGTGAAGTGGAAGAGATTGTGTAAAAGTGTGGAACAGAGGAGTTGCTAGACTCAGCTCAGCTCAGCTCAGCTCAGACTCAGGAACAAGGAGAGCGCGACCGTTTGCGGCTTGCGGCGTGCGGGTGACGGTGACGAGGCCGCACTGGAGTGGCCCCGCAAAAACCAGAAACAGAAACAGGGAAAGCGAGAGAAAACAATCGCAGGGACAATGGGTACTAGTACGATATTCAAGACTCAAGTTATGCTGGGGTAGTAGGGATGGATTAGGGGGGGGGGGGGAGGAAAGAACTTGAACAGCAATCACCATCGACGACCTCTCCTACCCATCCAAGACATCCTAGTGGGATATAATTTTAGCGGGCCACCTTGGCCACCTTTGGCCACTCTTCGCACTCTCAACGTCTTTTAAAGTATTACGTACCCCCCCTCCCCCCCCCCCGTGTCTGCGAGACAACGACGCCTCTGACTCTCCTAGGAGTCGCAATGTTTCACCGGTGGATCTCCCCATGATCGCCCTAATGCTGCTAGCTCAAGATCTAGTGTCTGGGCTAACCGCATACCAAGCCCAATTCCCTGCTTTGAACTGCCTTTGCTCAATGGCTCATTTTGCTCCTCCCCCTGAACATGCTTCAACTTGAAGTACATCTACTACTCGTACTCCGCAGGGAGGCAGATGTCATTGTAGTACTAGTAGTACCGATGATGTTGGCAATATCTCAGTTCAACCAACTGATGGATCACTATATACGGAGTACGGAGTACTCCGTCCATACTACGAGTACTCGTACTCGTGAAGAACTCGGATATTAAAAAGATCAGTATGACAACCTATACCAGTACTAGCATTCGACCAATACTAGTATACTACGAGTACGAGTAAGCATGCGAAAAAGAGGAAACGGGTACACAAGCTGCTTGTTGCTTGGCGTATCGCCAACCTTCCTCTCCCCAAATCCTTAGGAAACATCAAATAGTATTCAAGTTCCAGAGCATATTCCATCAAACTCTCCATCTGTATGCTGCATTTTTGCACCGTCGGGATCTTCTTCAAACCACACTTGCGATTTGACTGCGCCCCTGTCCGCGACGTAGTGAGCGGAGCCTCCTATGACATCCCCCTCCATGCTCTGCTATCTCTCCCTGGGTGGGTCTGCGCGACTGAAAGGCTCCGGCTTGCATTGGTCTGCAGGACACGCGATCTGTGCATCGCATCGCATCGCATCGCATGGGTCGGGAAACTTGGCTCTTTAGGAGAGACGGGTTACTCCTGACCATTGGCTCCCCGTCATCTTGTCTGACCGGAAATGCCGACCCCACGGGTGAGGCTGTTCTGGTTCCTGGTCGGCTTTAGGGCTGGATGGCTGGATGGCTGGAATCGGCCATTAACCTCAACACCGGAAGGTTTTTCTATGGCATTGCTCCCCCGCCATCCCCAATAAGCAACGCCTGCAAAGAAGACAGAGACAGGAGACATGAGGCATGAGGCATGAGACCTCGTGATGGTCCGTGCAACGCCTCATCGACGATAACGGCAACCGCCAGCATGCCGGATCGAGCAACGTTCATCTCTCTCCAGGACCCTCGATGACATCAATGTCGGTGCCCATATCGCTCTGGTATCGGGAATCTCATTTGGTATGCCAGATATGCCCCCTTGGCGACGGTCCCCGGTCCCTGATCCCTGGTCCCACTGGAATTCTCAAACAGCAAATCTTGAACAAAGACGGCTCTAGCTGAAGGAGTCGAGTGGGGGCCACCAAGGAGGGCTTAGAGCTGGAGCTGGAGCCACTTGACAGATCAATTTTTCATCTTGGATTCTGTTCTGGGCAGTCTGTTTACCCCCCTCGTGCAGATTGCAAATCCGTAGGAGTACGGAGTACTGCGTACATACTCTTTGGCATATCCATCCAATGGTTGGCTGCTGACCAAACACGAAAAACGCGTCGGAGAGAGAAGAAAAAAAAGGGAAACGCGGCACGCGTTTGCGGCCAACGCACAAAGCAAAGCCACGTCCTGGAGAACATCACTTCTCGTCCCTCCAGAGAGATAGCCTTCTGTACACCAATATCAAACCTCTAGCATTCCACCATTTTTGGGGGGGATTTTAATTCTTTATTTTTCCCCCCTAACATTTACCTTGCTATTTCGTCAGTTCTCATTTGTCCGATCGTGGGCTCCCCCCCAAGTGGATTCCATCTCCGCTCATCCATTGGCCATTGGCCATTGAACATTGAACATTGAACATCGGGCCTCCTCTCTTTTCCCAGCCGCCCTTACTGCAACTTGAACCCGCAAAGGCTTTCGACACTCCTTCCGTTGGCCTTTCTCTTCCCTTTGCTATTATCCATCATGACGATGTCACAGCCAGGTTCGGCGGAGAAGACCATTCGCAAAATTGATATTGCCCAGGTTAGTATTTCCCTGAGAGATCCCTTGACAACCTCCATCATGGGCAAACTTCCCACCCTCCCCCATAGGGTGCACATGTCAACGCAAGAACCAAAAGAGACTTCCAAGACTGCAGATATCCTGCCAAGGACCTCCTGTGAAAAAACCCGGCTGACCAAGAATCTACTCATTCAGGTGTCCCTGAGTTTGCAGGATCGGTTGGGTCTAGCAAAACTCAAGTACCAACATGGCCGCCTTCATGGTCTGAACTCCATCTCTCCCTTGGACAGTGACAAACCCTCCGATTCCTCCTCCGACTTCTCACGCAGCCGTTGCGAGACTCCCTTTACCTCCCCTCCCCTCCAAGCCGCCACCTACTCCAAGGAGCTTCCTCGGTCGGCTCGCAACAAGCATGCGGTGACTTTCAATTCCAGGGTTATGCAGCCCATGCTGTCTGCCAGCCGCAAGCGATTGCGATCCGATTCAGGCACAGAACGACCAGCAAAGGTCCCCCGAGTCTCTTGGAAGAGATCCTACCAGCTTCCCGAATCCTCCCCAGGTCTCAACCGACACCTCACATCCCGACAGACCCATGTGCCCTTCATGTCCGAGGCTCCCATTCACGAGCTGTCATCTCCAGTCTACCATGGCCCATCTGACGAGGAGAACGACCCCGATCTCCCCTTGCATAGCTTTCACAATGTGAGCTCTATGGTAGGCTCCTCTCCTCCGCGAACCCCGCCTCCCAAGCATACCCGCCTGTCACGCAGTGATCGGACAGCACAGCATGAGGATGGTGCCGATCTACTGCTTTACCTCGCAAACTCTCCAACACCAGCTCGTGTCGCAGGGGGATCGCAAAACCAAACCTTCCCGCCTTCGACTCCTCCCAGCCAACACGCTGCCCTGCCGTCGTTGACCCCGGGCCTCGGAACTCCTGGTCAACAATTCAACTTCGCCGATTTCGTGAATGTGACACCAAGTCCAGCCCAGCCAGCATGGGGTGGCCGTACACCTGGCAACCCTGGTCGAACTCCCTTGTCTACCAAAGATGCTCGCAAACGACTGAATTTCGATGCTCTCGTGCCTCCCAGCACCTCAAGCCCCAGAATCCCCAAAGATGCCGGCCTTGCCTTGCAACTAGGTGGTGAGTTGCGGCCTTGATATGTTCGCGAGCTGCTCTTACGCTCCCCCTTCGATTCTTTGTCCATTTAACCCATTGTCCCCCTATCCCCTTTCAATCCCCTTACGATGTCTCACGATCCTATTATTTGCACACACAACCTTGGTGTTGTCTCCTTTGTATTCGGCCCTTGTCACGATCAACCCCCATATGTTAACTTGGCACACCTGTCTGATCTGGCAACCGGCTCTCCTCACCTCACCCCACCCTGCATCCACGGCGTTTCATACTCAAACTTCTATCTGCATCTTCCGAGTCCTGCATTTTTGTTCTCGGCATGATGAATGATGTTGCCATACACTAGCTACCCTGCATTTCTTATTGTTGTATGTGATCACTTGGTAATTGCATATGTCCTCTCTGCATCCAACTATGCCTTGTGATGATACCCTACACCTCCCCCCTATTGTTTATTTTGATGGCTAGGCCACTGGATCCTAGTATGCTCATCAGTTATTACAAATTCCTGGGGATAGGCTCTATTGAGAGATGTAATGAAAACAAGTTTCTCTATGAATATGAATCCATTAAGTTAATTTTCACGGTCTATTTGAAAGTTATTGAACAACTAACCTGGGCACCCCAAATTTGGTGAAGGTATATACCTAGTAGGTAACATTGGGGTTTACTTTGGCTATTCAAGTTAGTAGTACTTCTAGTAGTACATGGATCCATGGATGATGGCAGATGTTTCGCTATTAGTAATTTTACCATCGTCCGGTATTCGAGGTGTACAAATTTTATGCAGCGGACAATGTATTATTCCGAAGCACAATATATCCACCAACCACCACATCATTAAACCTCATTCCACTTTCTCCAGTCCCGCAAAAAACGATTGATTTCCTTGACAAGATTGACGTGGGGTGTATATCAATGTCAGACCGGTCTTCGGCTGATAAAAAGCGTGACCGGGATCGTCGTGCGCAGCAGAACCTGCGCGACAAGAAGTTACGCCACACAGCTAAACTCGAGTCACAAGTGGCCCACTGTGAACAATATCACAATGACACTGGAGTGAAAACCCTCCTTGGGGTCATTGACGGCCTTCGGAGACAGAATGAAATACTCGTGGCACGACAAAAGGCCCTGAGATCGGTAGTCAATTCATGGGATGGAAAGTTAGAAGAGACGGGCCCTTCCGACTCGCCAATGACTCAAGACTCGAATACTGAACAACCCGGACACTCTTTCCCACAAGAAAATTACGTACCAGGAGGATCTAATTCCTTGGATATGGCGGATCATCTGGCTTGCTCAATGGCCCACTCGACTTCACCGACGTCGTTGCCGCAAACCCCTCAGGCCCACCCGATAAATCCCAGCTCACCTTGGAATAAGCTTCCTCTTTACTCCGACAATCTCTCCAACATTGAGACGTCATCCCTTCCGTGGCTTGCATACCCAGATATGATCGCTCAGTGCCCCGATACGCCTGAATCGCCACTTGATATATTGTATGGTAGCAGGACCAACATGTTAGCAAACGTGATCCATACCTTCATCGAAAGACGACCGGTGCGTGACCCAGAGAGACTAGCAATGGGGCTGATAATATACCACTTTTCGAAATGGATAATCGAACCAAGTCCAAAGACTTTCGCAAAATTGCCCACATTCACCCATCCCCTCCAGGAACAATTTGAGATTGAGCACCCCATCGCAATAAGCTCTCTTCCATATCCAAAATTGAGATCAAATCTGGTGCGTCAATGGCCGCTCTATGAGAATAATCGGGATGAATTATTTGGGCTCTTGGCGTGTTCTGTTAAGATCCGATGGCCGTGGGGCGTGAAGATTCTTGATCGTGACGAAGACAATCAGATCCGCATTAAACCGGCGTTTTATGAAACGTTCATGAAAGAGGAAGGTTGGGGTATTATGCAGGAGTTTATAAATAAACACCCCAACCTCATGGTTGGCGTTGATGTTGGTTCGCTTGTTTTCAACATAGTGTGAGGTTACGAAATATTTCCCTGGTACCATGTACTTGAATATTCAAACCTTTGATGGTGTCTACCTTAATGGGAACTGAGGTGCCTCTCAGTCTTAGATCTTGAACATGCTGTTTAAAGCCATCCTTATATATCAGCCTTTCGTTGTCCTCATCGAAGTCGACGTCGTCTGTGCGCATTTCTTAGAGCTTCTCTCGAACTTGTGGATAGACGAGTGCCATCTGAAGAGCAAGGGAGCGGAGGCAACAGCTCAAGTGCGACGGAGACTTATCTCCATATCGGAAAAAATAGTGGCTAACATGGGACATTGACGAATGTAAGTCCGCGGTAGCATGTAAGGATGGATGGTAGTAGTAGTAGTAGTAGTATTGCCGCAAGGAAGAGTAGAGTAATTTTGTGAAAAAGGGAAAGAAAGCATGCTAATTCTATATCATGTTTAAGAATCTCTATAAGCTTTGGACAAATGCCATGGTTGATAATGCTTGTGCATTCCAACTCGATGCAATAACCTTCTCATGTCAACCTTTTCCCATCCACATACCGCCTTAGAGGTCTACAGGCCACTTCTCTCGAATTTTCTTGCCATATTTAGTGAAGATTATCGGAATTGGAACAAAAGCGAGTGCGAGGAATCCAAGCAACGAGTTTCCCCAGCCGAGACCAAGGCTGTCGAACATGGCTGGGCCGGCGAGTGGAAGGAATGCACCGACAAGTGATCTCGTTGCCGTCAAGGTAGCATTGGCCGACGCTGCATAGGCTGGGTAGCAGTCAATGATATATGTTTGGATGGGCATGAAGACACCCATCATGCCGACACCAAACGGAAACATGCCAATAATAGGCACGATCCAGTGGACATGTTTGTCGGCGGTCCACCCATACCAGAAAAAGCTAATAGGCAGGATGCAGGAAAAAATGATCATTGTCGGAAGACGCATTTCTGGCTCGAACTTGCCCTTGTTCTGAGCAGTGAGTTTCTGAACGAGGCGGTCATTCGTCAAGGCGATGAAGACAAGACCTCCAAAGAATCCAACACCAATGCCGAGGTATGCGAGACCGGATAGTCCGACAGTAAAGCCATAGGTACTCGTGAAGACATCGGAGATGGTCGTGAAAAAGAGGTAGAGTAGACCGTAGACAAGCGACTAATTCCAGAATTAGCAATTTTTTTCTCTGAGTAAATGCGCCACAGAAGAGCGCAAGACCACTTACCATGTAGACTGAAAGAAGCAACACAATAGGCGATTTGAAAAGAAGCAGAGCCGGTCGAATCAGACTACGCTTAAGAATCTGGCTGTCTGAGAGGGTCTCGCTACCAACATCATAGACACTTTGTAAGTCCGTGCGACCCAGTTCCTTTGCCAGCTTTGCGGTTTTCCATTTGATCAAAACAGGGGCGTATGTCTCCTTATTAAGCAGCTCGATACCAAGCTGCATAGCACCACCTGCAATGAGCAGCAACCAGAAGATCCATTGCCAGCTAACCTCTTCGCCTAGGAATCCTCCAGCAATTGGGCCTACTACAGGTCCAATCAGTGGGCCCATACTCCAGATTGAGGTTGCCATTCCGCGCATTTCTCTCGGGAAAAGGTCTGCAACAACACCAGCTCCAAGTGTGATACAAGCAGATCCACCAATACCGGCAAATAGTCGACACACGATGAGCGTTTCAATGTTTTTGGCGAGAGCGCATCCGATTTGCCAGACAACGAAGAACCAATTGGCACCGCTGAGAACCACTCGTCTACCGTAAATCTCGCTCAGGGGGGCAAGTATCAGAGGGCCGAACTAGATATAAGATTCCGGACAATTAGAACGACCGCACTTGTAGAACTTTTCCGGCATCCGATCATTCAAGTTTGTCACTTACCACGTATCCAACCAGATATATGCTGACAGTGAAGGCAAGAATAGTCTCATTTGTCTGATGGAATTCCTTTGCCATAAATACAACTGCAGGTGAGAACATGCTAGATGCAAGAGGTGAAAGAAACGTGAAGGCGCTGATCAAGGCAAGAAGAGCCCATTTTTTGCTGGAAGCAAAGTTTTGAGGATTTTCGGGGTCGTCTTGACCATCCCACCCGACTAAGCCCTGGTCCAGATCAGTCTCGGGGAATTTTGGTTCTTGGTTTTCTGGGGCCGTAGTTCGGGAGCCATTCTGCTCAAGTTCTGGCTCCACGGTTTGAGTGGGTGTTCTCGCAAGATCTGTGGCTGCACTTTGAGATGGCTGTTTCTCAAGATCGTGGGATTCCTCCCCCCCCCATTAAGAGTCGAGGGGTTCGAGTCAGGCTTCTGCTCGTTTAGACTGGCCATGCTCGTAGAAGGAAGGTGAAGAAAAAAGAAAACTCGAAGGAGAAGGAGAAGGGGTCGAAGATGGTAGTTATCTGTGCATGAACAGCTACCTGAATTCTGTCGGATGATTAAAAGGATAAAAAAAAAGGATGACCAAGCGGTCCAAGGGAGTGTAAGAAATATGTTTAACAGGAACAAATTAGAGTAGGAAAAAGTATTATGAAGGGGGCCAAGCTGTGCAGTATAGACTTTATGCATCAGCTTCAAGATCGAGCCCGTGGGAAAGGGAGATAAAGACCAGACAAACGGATAACCCCACCGCTGGAACTACGGAGTTACTACAGAGTACACATAACCAACAAGGTAAAGGATCGGGCCGGCGTTGAATCAGCGCCCCACAGTTTCTATCATATAACCAGTAAAATCGTGCTTCTGACCTAAATGTGGGACACTGAATAATCGTCCCAGTTCGCGCAGCCATAGTCATGGCTGAAATTTTATGCTTGGTTTAATGCTGCGCATAATTTAAAAGTGGTAGAATCAACATTTATAACGGTACTTATATGCCCTTGCGTGCCAATTACCGTTAAGTAGCGACATAGTATTACGTGGCCAACCTTGCGTGTTCGAGAAACGCACATAGCTGCTATAGAAGGAAAGATAATACAAATACGTCCCTACGCTCCTAGGTTTGGAGACGCTAGAATTTGTATTTGCAAGGTTGAGGTACATAGGTGATTAACAATCAGGCGCTGGTATGGGGCCATCCATCTATACGTAGCCTCACGCGTGACCCCAACGAACACCTTATGACACATCTATGGCGCCATGAGAAATGGCTGCGTGGGTAGTAACAACATGCGCTTTAATGCAACGGAATATGGGTAATGATGAGTGGGTATCTCAAAAGGAAATAGTGGACAGGGGGGTGCTGGGTCATGGTATGGCAGATATGCTAAGAAGCCGGTGTAATGACAGGGGCCTTATACCTCACTCTCGCTCCCAAGGGATTCAATTTTCCTCGTGAGAGCGCAAATCCGACAACCGTCCCCAATCTTATCTCGCAGGAGACGTGCTGTTAATACCTTGCGACCGACGATGCGAGAAGCAGTTACAGAGGATTCCTCAATGAGAGGTGATGAGGCTCGAGGGGTGCGGTCTGCATGTCGTTCAAGGCTCTCTGTATCAGACTGAGGGCGTGATGCGTCTGAATGCAAATGCGATAAATGGAAGACATGGCCACAAGTAAAGCCGATGAGAGTTTCACGTTCTGGGGGTTTTTTTAAGAGATTAGTTCTGATATTCGGGCAATTTGGATGGCATGGTACATACCGTTGGCTTCGAAGGGGGCATGACAACCGCCGCATTTCCCTTGCCCGAGACTTGATGACTTCACAGGGCCATTCAGGTCGGACGCGATATCTTTCTTTTCAGACATATCATCTTCGGCAATGTTGAATTTGATTCCACGACGCCGGCCCTTATACAGCTTGTCCATATCCTGTACCACTTCGCCCTGCATGACACGTGTTGCGCCTTGGCTGATGCTGTCCTGCAAATCATGTTCTCGGATCAATCGAGTAAGGCCATCACGCAAACCCTCAATCTCAAGCCCACTCGGGATACGACGGACAAGTTTGATAGGGTCAATTGATGTTCCCGCTTCGACAAGCAGTCCGTGGATGAACCTTGGTTTGTCCATTGAGTAATCGAGAAGATCTTCCCAGAGATCGGGATCATCTTGCGATTTGGCAAAAGAGATCGCTTGTGACACATCTTTCAAGTCCGACAAGATCAGATTCAAGGCTCGCTTTGTCTGGCCCGTCTTTGAATACAGATATATCAGTTCCGCGGTAAAGTGAGAATCTATGCATATCGAAATAGCTCCCTCGAAGTTGTAGGAGATGCTGGTTTGTAGAAACTCCATGAGAAGAGGTCGATCATACCCTGCAAAAACTTCGACAGCCGTGTCAGCGAAATTATCAATAAGTGTTTTTCCTTCGTCGGCAGCCAATTTGCTGGCAGCATCACGCGCATTGGCTCCACGGCCCCGCCGAGGCTTTGAGGCCTCGTGTGGGAGCGACTCGCCACGCCATAGTGCACGAAGATAGAAATACAAAAAAAGGCGATTCGAAGACTGCAGCTGCGATACCACCTCGTCGGGTGGTACGATGCCAGTATAGGCTTCACTAGCAAGGAGTTGAATCGGTTCCGCGGTCAACTCTTCCAGCTGAGATATTGGGGTTGACGGGGACCTCAATTGTTCTTTGGAAACACGGAGCTTGACGAAGGCCGGGATGTCATCAGAAACAGCATCTACCAATCGATGCTCTAGAACCAAAGACATAGCTGCATCTGCATCCTGCAAACGGATGTAACAATGTAGAGCTTCGCGATAGTGGCCTCCCACCAAGAAGAGCTTAGCCAAGCAATCAGTCAGAATACGCCATTCCTCGGACTCGACTCTTATTGAGTCTGACTTAAGTTGATCCTGGATCGCAGAGGCTATATCGTTAGGCTCAAATATATCTGAAGGCCAGGTATCAACCAGTTCCTTGAACCGGCTAAGGTCTCGCGAAATGTAGTGTTTGAGAATGAACTCGTAAATCGAAGTTGAAAGCGAAGGGTGTAAATCGACTGGAATATGTGCAGTGATCTCGTCAACTCTGCTTTTCTTGATGAATACCCATGCCCAGTGCTCCCACCGAGAGGAATTCTTTAGCACTTTGCCGCAGATCTCTGAAGCTTCACCCCATTTCTCCTCGCTGACGAGCTGCTCAACCCAGCGCTCACCAAGTCGGGCTTTCTCTCGGTCAGCGGCAGAAATTCTTGCCCCGCCAGCAGTCATAACGGATGATCGGTCGTCAGAAAAGAATTCGCCTAGGCTGCTCTGAGATTTCACAGACCCAGAGATGATTTCTGGTAGCTCAAGAGATGAGTCTGCCGCTTCAGGATTCTCATCAACGAGATTCCATGCTTCTTCAAATCTGCCGTGGGAGTCGAGCCAAGAGATTCGGTCTGAAAGATCTCTTTTGACGGCAACAACACAATCAAACGGGCTATGTATGAATATCTTGGCGCCTGGTGCTCCTGAGACATCTTGGACTTCTTTGGATAAAGATTCTTCGCCAGATAGGTTTCTGGAGATGAAAGATGGAGGGCCTCTACCAGAGATCTTGTCGCCACTGCTTGTAGTACTGCGGATACTAGCACCAGAGCTGAACAAACGAGCTGAATACATAGTGGCATCCAGAAGACCATGGCCAAGAGCTCCCAGAGCCCCTCGTTGGACCGTTTGCCCCTCCGGAGTTTTCCATGGAGGCAGGACGCTCAGATGATAGTCTGACGAAGCCAAACCTTCGAAGCGACTGACAGATAGTGTGTCAGCGCTGAGTTCCTCTTTGGTTTCAATGTCGATGATACGAAGTTCAGGTTCCAGCCCTTTCTGGCGATGGCCACGACCAGAGCCTCGACGGTTAGAGTCGGGTGATCCATCCTCAATCTCAATAAATGCAAGAACGACAAGAAGACGAGGTGAGTACATCGAAATGCCAGAAATCACACAGTCTGTTCGCAATCTGTATCTGGAGTCAGCATCCAGCTTAGGCAAATCAAAAAGTACATGGCCTGGCTTACATTGTAGCTACTTCGGCGGAACCATATCTCTCGCCTTTTGAGGATTTGCTCGCACGGTCGGGGAATACATCGATGACCCACACACTGCCTCCCCAGCCGACGACTAACTTCTCACAATTTTCAGATACAGGTCTTGATGAGAGGTTTTGTCGTTTTGTCGCATCGCTGGGGTCGAGGTTATCATCATTGTCCAAGGCAGACTGGTCAATCCATTCTGCACGCGCTTTCCAAACGCTGGCCATTTCCTCCCAACCTGGTCGATTCGGGCGATCGATGTGACTAATTCGCTTCCAGGTGAATTCGTGCTCGGAGGACTCGAGATGTAAATTCGATCGCATGATTTTAATGCCCTCTTCGTTCACCCAGACGACATATTTCCCTGAGAGAGACCATCGGATGGTACTGATAGCGCCTTCGCCACTGTGTAGTACAGTATCTTTACCACTATTGGCACCCAGACCCATCGACCCAAGCCAACTTGACGCTGCTGCTGTTGCCCCTCCCATTGTGGTGGCATTTGAGCTAGCCCCGATCCGACCCCCGGTTGTTAGAACGAGCTCGCCAGCCCGCCCTCCAGAAATGAATGTCCTGTCGGTTTTGTATTCGGGGGAGAGAGTGACGGCCTGGACAGGCCGACCGAAGTTCCTCTTCAGAATATCCTTGGGGTCGACTAAAGACGATATGCACACATTTCCATCTATGGATGCAGACGCGATATATATGGAGTTAGATGGGGTAGCTGGAATTGACCCATTGTGACTCGGCTGTGGATGACCCCGAATGCTGTCGGAGCTGGTTGATGTTCGTGTTAAGGGTCCATGATCTTCTGCAGTTTGTTTGCCGGCGTTCTCGGGCTTAAGGTTCGACAAAGGTGGCGGGAATGGCGATAAAGAAATGGAAGTAACGCTTGCTGAATGCGCTTGGTATACACGAAGAGGCTGTAAAAGGGGCAACAAAAGAACATGCTAGTCCAAGTCAGTCGAGTCCCGCGAGGACTAATGGCGATACTAGGCACGGTTCACTTACAATGACTCCATTGTGAGTTCCGACGATCTGGACGTCGAATGTCAGTCAAGAAGAAGGACTGGGGGTTAGTAGACAAAGTTGTAGACGCACCATCTTGTCGCCTGCCACAAGAAATGTACTGGTCGCGTCCCCGTTGCGATATACCGATCCAAGGTGCTTGGTAAGATATGCATATTTGAGTCGGGGTTCTTCATCCTCATCCTCATCCTCTTCTTCATCCTCCACTATTTGGTCGCTATCTTCGGATTCAGCATCACTGCTTTCACCGCTATGTTGACGCTGTTCATGGTCGTCTTGAGTTGTGTCGGAGGGGGATGGGCTTCGCGCCGTAGATGCATCGCGCTCCGAGGTGCTCTTGACGGCATCCTCATTCGCCCTTGCGCCAGGCGCATCCATGGCGAATCCCTCGTAGCGCGCAGAGCTCCCAGGCGGTTTAAATCGTGTTGCGACGAGCAGCGGAGGCTGGATTGCTGCCCGGCGAGCGGCATGCAGCTGTGGGAGCTGGGGTCGGGGTGGAGCTCTGACTAAGCGGGATGCTTCTGTGAAGGAGCAATAGGATATCATCGTGCTTTTCCGAACTACACCTCACCATGTTTACGAGATCGACCATCTACTCGGCCTGCAAGCGTCCAGTGATACCGCGACTCTTGCGACAATCGCAGAATCAATATCTTCACGCCTCGCCGGCATTGGATCTCCCCCGTCGGAGAGACTTCTTCACCTCCAATGCTCAATTGGCGCAAAAGCAATCCAATACGAACGACGAATCCCTTGAGAACCTAGAGCTCCAAAAGCAACGAAGGCGCAGTGCAAGAGCACCGGCAGCTCCTACTTCCTTACGACGAGTGGCTGTGGAAGCACAAAGATCGAGAGATGGATTTCTCTCCAAGGCCCAGCTCAAGGAGCAGGGCATCGATCAGACTAAGGTTACTCTCACAAACAAACAAACCAAGATAAGGCCCCGCTGACCTTTCCATGAATATAGATAGTTACAGCCTACGCCGTAGCAGAACAATTCAATATACGCAAAGTCCGAGACATTTTGCAGGAGAAGGGATATGAGCCGGATCCTCTAGGAACTGGGCTCTACCCCCCAAGTTGTTCATGTGCAGATACCGATCGACTCCATACGACGTGTCGCAAATCCATCAACTACAGACCTACCCTCTGATCAAGTCGGCGATATATTTGTCTTTCCATCTGGCACAGTAGTCGCATGGGCGCTGCCGGAAGGGTTTAGTTCGTTCCTAGCGACGAGAACCCTCCTCCCGGCATCGGAAGGAGCTCATGCGGATGACATCGAAACCGAAGATCTGGAGTTTGTTGAAGATTCAAAACGAGATAACAGTAGCATCAAGGGAGATACAATCATCTTGGGAACTAACTCCGGAAACGAAGGGTTAGAGGCACCCCTCGCGACGCAGCAATCGATTGATACCGTCTTAACAAAGGTCGCATTTTCATCGGGACTGGCCCGGAGCACAAAACTCGCAGTGCTCGAAAGTCTGTTGTCCAATTATTTCGAGTCAACTCGCACCATCCCAACTCTCCTATCACAAGGGTCTCGCTTGCCATACACGAGAGACTTTATTCTCCGAAAGACTGGGCAATTGCTTAGTGTGCGTGCCCAGCTTAATCTTTACTCGGAGCTTACGGACTCACTCCCGGATATATTTTGGGACAGCCGACATGAGCTCGGCTTGGAGGGATACTATGAACAGGTGGGCAGAGCATTGGATGTAGGTATCCGCATCAAACTTTTGAACGAAAAGATGGATTATGCACAGGAGATTGCGAGCGTTCTCCGTGAGCGACTCAGTGAGACCCATGGCCTTCGACTTGAATGGATCATTATCCTGCTCATTGCCGTCGAGGTGGGATTTGAGGTCTTGCGACTGTGGAAAGAACGGGTGCATGAACAAGAAGAAGCGTCTCGAAAGCAGAAGACGACGGCCATCTAAGGCGATATACATGCCATATGTGACCTATTCTATTTTCACGATATAGCAGAACAAATAGATACCCCTCTCACTATCATCTTTCCTCTGCCGGACCAATTTCAATCGTGGACCATAAGTCGCCATTTCAGCAAACACCCCATTCAGGCACCCTTAGCATTCAAGTTGCCCAACATACTCTTCATTCGTGGAATGTAGCTAAATATACCCCCGCTGATGTTAAGACACATTTATGTCGTGTCAACCTTCTGCCTGATCTTTTGACTGGGTATGTCCAAAAGGCGTCAGTCGATTTTTTTTTTCTCATGACCTCAAGGCCTTTCCGGACCAAATCCCATGCTTATTATCATGGTGTCGCCCCCAAAAACCCAGAAAAAGAATACATCCATCTATTCATAAATTTATTTTCAATTTCTTTCCCAGACCGGCATAAGACAAGTAAAGCCTTCAAGTTGTAGTTTAGGCTTATTTTGGTATCGATAGCCCGGATTTAAGGTCAATTTGATGATGGGGATCGTATCTTAGCATTCATTTTGAGCGAATTTATCGCCATACTAGGACGGAAATACATCAGAACAGGAACGGCCAGATTAGTATTATCAAGCACTTCCTTTTGATATAAACTAGTATCATCCTTAGGATTGAGTTGGAGGGGAAATCCAACCTACTTCTTGCACAAGCCACCCTCTCTATTCTATCGAAAAATAACCAGTAAGTTCTCGCATCATGGGATTAAGCACCCGAGGACCCATTTGTATCAAGGTCCCTATTCAAAGAAATTCGGTCGTTTGGCCGATAATGTTCCCTGCGACCTGAAGCTACAAGATATGAGTTAATTTGACTGTGTTACCAAGACCCCGAAATCAGTCGGACCATGTAGTATTGAAATAGGCCTCAAGGTGTCCTTTGATTCACTCCCATGATGTATTGGGAGGAGCTCATGATGAAGAATCGTACGTGGCTGCAGGTAGCCGCCCCTTGCATGGAACCATAGGAGCCAATCCCTGTCCATATCGCATATCCCGACGACACCCAGTCGACAATGGGGGTGATATTGCTTTCAGCGCTTAGAAAAGGAATTCCCCTTGCTATCTTACATGACAGTATAATCCTAAACAATTAGGGTGTTCAAGACTATGGACCCTTACGGCCTCGTCCTACAAGGTGGGTAGTAGAGTATTCCGGTCGATAAGCATTGAAATAAGGTTCGACGAGTTCTACGGCCTGCTGATGATGTTATAATTTTTGTCTTTTGTTTAACAGCAAAAATTACAAGTACCTAGGTAGTAGTAGTTGATCACTGCAATCTATATGCTGGAAGCTGGATATATCAAAGCATAAGGCAACCTCAGTAGTGAACGGTCCTTTCCCAATACGGAAGTGTGGAGATTGAGGGGGCATGATCGTCTTAGTCATCTGACAATGGGGGCGACGACAACCCAACCCCAACTTGCTTTACTTTCATCTTCATACCCTTTATTCCTCCTTCTCTTTTTCGACATGCCTAGAGAAGAATTCTACTGACAACAATCCGATCTTGAATACTTCTGACGAAATCTCATAAAGGAACAGCCAGCTTATTACCATGTGGGAGTCAACCCAACAGGTCCTGGGTATCCCTGGTCCTCAAAAGATCCTCAAGACATTAGGATCCGTTTGGCTATCTACATCCCCTCAAAGTGAGAACACGATATCAAAGACATCATCGTGTCCCACATCAGAGATAAGCTGTCAAACCAAATACCATGGTCAAGACACCTGCTGTTTTAATTATCCAGGCGGTCAAATGTTGCAGACCCAGTTCTGGGATGTTGATCCCCCGGTTGGGCCTGATAACTCCTGGACGATCCATGGACTGTGGTACGCATCTTCATTGGAGAACAGAATGTATCCCCATCATAACTAATCTAACAAAGGCCTGATCATTGCAATGGTGGCTTTGACCAGTTTTGCGATCGCAAGCGCCAGTACAGCAACATTTCCCTTATACTAGTCGACTCAGGTCATGGGGACTTGCTTGAATACATGAGCGAATATTGGAAAGATTTCCGTGGAGATGATGCTAACCTTTGGCAACACGAATGGAACAAACACGGCACCTGTGTTAGCACTCTCGAACCTCATTGCTACGGAGATTATACCCCGCAGCAAGATGTAGTGGATTATTTTGACAGAACTGTTGATCTATTCAAGGAACTCCCGACTTTCGATGTTAGTCTTACGAGATGAGAATGACTGATTTTCATGTTCAAATTACTAACTTACTAACTTACGTATAGTTTCTTGCCAAAGCCGGCATAGTGCCTTCCCATACAGAGACATATGCACGTGCAGATATTGAAGATGCCCTTGAGAAAGCCCATGGCGCTCCAGTGATTGTGAATTGCCGCTCGGGCGCCATTAGCGAAATTTGGTACTTCTTCAATATCGCAGGGAGCCTTCAGAGTGGTGAATTTGTTCCTGCTTCTCCAGGTTTGTTGAACCCCCATGTCGCTTTTCTGCTCAAGATTAATCAGAATTTAATCTTTGTAACAGATGGTCAACACTCGCGTTGCCCCGCTACACATATTAAATACCCCCCGAAAGGAAATTCGCACGAACCGACCAAGACAACCACCCGCGGATCAGAGCCAACTGCGCCAGGAACTCCATTCGCAGGCAGGGGAAACCTGATGGTCTCAACATTTAATCAACAGCGTGGATGCATCATCAGCTATGGAACCTGGTACAACGCTGGAACTTGTGCTACATTCCGAACAGAGAAGTTGTCAGGTGTGTCCGAGTCGCAAGCAATCCAATGCCGATATTTGGAAGCTGACGTGAATCCTAGACGATACTTTCTCTCTGAAATCCAGGAAGGGCCTCTGTACCTTCAAAGACGATATTTTGAGCTGTGGACCTAATGTAAAGGTCCCAAGCAAGTTTTCGGTATGTTGCGAAGGTTTTATATTTTTTGGTTTCAGTGTACTATCTACTAACTGTAGTACTTGAAATAGGCCAAAGATGGAAAGCTCTCCTATCAGGGGAATACCACCTTCTTCGCCGACAAGCCTCCCAAGGGCCAAGTGCAGAGCTCGATTTACGCTTCCGAGGAAGAACACCCCGTGGAGCTTGAAATCACCTGGAAATCCCAGTAGTAGAGGCACCCATTTTTATTCATTCTTGCGGCATTCGGGATCATGTTCCGCACCGAAGTTGTATCTCCGACCTTCTCATCATAGTGTTAGACTTCTGTTTTAGAGATGGAGACCGTAGGAATTTGATACATTGCATTGAGACAAGTGTCATCTCTTGATCTTGAAATTTCTATCCCCAGAGGTCAGTCAGTCAGGAATCATTATCCAAGATGCTCTGTCCCTCGGCGCCAGGTTGAGTTCATAAGTACCCGTGCACTAGACCCACAAGACCACAGCCCCTAAGCGTGCCAATTCTTTCCCCCCTAGTACTCATTGGGTCGATAGTATTTTTTTCTGCTGCTCGGTTGCTTGTGTGAGTGTGCGGGGAAATCCAGAGCAAGAAAAAGGGAAATGGTAGTTAGAGATTCACGAACTGGGGTGAGAAAACATTGGCGGAGAAAGGCAGACGATAGTCACTGGCAGCCGGCCACATCAATCTTTTGCTTGCAAGTCTACGGCCTCTAGCCGCAATCGTCGGCCGTAGGCGGGAGAAATTTTGGCTCACATACAAGGCGGTGCTACGCAAAGGGAAACCCCTCTAAAGAAAAGAAAGCATCATGATCTAGCTACAGTAATTTCATTGAGTCCATGAAGTACATATCGAATCGTAAAAGGGGGAAATTATGGGAAATGGAAGAAAATGACACGCCAGGAAGCAGTCCTGAATGAGGTACCGCCTGAAGAAAAGAACACCGAGTCATAACCCACCACCCGGAAAGGGGGTCAAAAAAACAAAGTGAAAACAAGAATGGAAAAATACATGAAGGGGCTAAAACAGGGGCTGAAAGATGAGCCGAAACTCCCAAAGTGCAAAGTCACATATTCCCGTCACCCAGTGTAAGGTGCAATGTCATGTGCGTGGTGAAGAATAGAATGTGCAGAGGCAACATAGTCTGTTGCTCATCCCGAAAAGAAAAGAAAACTCCGTTGTCAGATCGTTGTCGTCAGTTGTACAAGCTCGTAAGAGGTCATCGCAAAATGTCATCACGCGGAAGATAGCAAGGCAAGAGGCTCCTCTATCATGCTTTTTGGTTGGAAGTAAAACGCCGCCGTTGCCAGTATGAAACAGTTGAAACCAGGTCTAATGGACAGCACGAATTGAAAGATATGGCTGGCTGTCCATGGTTTGTCGGTGGGTGGTAGAGATATCTAAGGGTCAACCAAGAACTCGTTGGACAGAGTGTCAATTGGGTCCGCGTATGGGTCATCAAGGACGTCAAGACCGGAGAACGGCTTCCCAGGTAGGTCGGGATAGAATGACGAGGTGGGAAAATCGGATGAATCCACATAATACGGGTTGGAGAAATCGACCAAGCTTTGAGTAGTAAGCGTGCCAAATTCCTCCTTGACCTGCTCAGAGGGATCTTGGGTCATGAACAGATCGATCTCTGACCCAACGGATGATTCGGCAAGGGTTGGGGCGGTGTGAGGCGAGGACATGTCGTGAGGGGTGAGCGGCGAGTCACTATACAGGTACTCCTGCGATGAATCCATCATGATGTTTGGGTTGTATTGGGCCATCGCTTGTTCATATCGAGCGTGGGCAAGCTGAGGAGGCGACAACGGCGCGGGAAGCATATCATCTTCGAACTTGGATGGGACTTGATGTCCAATCGTGGTGGGGGACGAGACAGTGTTATCGATACTTTCACCAGGAGAAGCTGGCGGGGTGTAAGCGGAAGTGGCGTTGGATGGAGCGTAATTTGGAGACGTGAAAACAGGACCGTTCTGCTGGAGAGCAGCCTCGTAGTGGACTGGCGAAGAAGGCATGGCTCGATCAACGGCACGTTGGCGAGTGCGAGTAGACTTGGCCTGGCGAGTATCCATGTCTGGGCGGTTCTTCTTTGGTGGACGTCCTCGACGGGTGGTCTTGGGGATATTGCCAGTCATGCCGCCCACGCACATGTCGCGTTGGCGGTGGCGGGTCAAGGCATCGTGTCGCGCAAAACGGGCTCCACAGGCACAAATGTAGGGCTTGTTACCGGTGTGGGTCTTCAGGTGGCGTTTCAGGTCATGACCTCGGACGAACTCCTTCTCGCAAACATCGCACTTGTAAGGGCGATCGTCAAGGTGGGTCTGCACATGGGATTTGATATTCTCCTTTCGTCCAAACTCGCAATTGCAGCTCGGATAAAGGCACTGCCATTTGCCATCGGTATTGGGACCAGAAATATACTTGGTGATTTGGTCATTGGAAACGCCAGTCTCACGTACTGATGCCTTCACGCGGGCATCCAGGTCATACTCATCCACGCCTTCTGGGAGCTCTGGAATAGAGTCTTCGAAAGGAGATCCAGGGGAGCTGCCAAGCTGGTGCTGGCTGGTAGATGGCGTGGTGGCAGCTTCGTCGAAGCTATGAGGTGACACACCACGGGAGCTTGGAGAGGGCATAGCAGCCAGCTCAGTAAAAGAGGCGATGGAAACGGAGTCTGCGGGGGAAGCCATCTGGTACTTAACGTGAAGAGGACTTGAAATTGGTACGCCCTGCAGGGATTGGGCTCTCTGCATGGCTGCACTGACGGGGGTTCGGGGAATAGAGAAACTTTGGGACTTGGTAGGGGTTTGGTCATTGTGGTACATAGGGAAATCAAACGAGGCCTTCATGGGAGTCGCATCGGGGGTAAGGGGGGATGTGTCTTTTCGGAATATTAGTTAAACCTGGTTTATGCTATATGCATGCAAGAAACTTACAAGAATGGAAAGGGTTCATCTTGGGAGAGATAGCCTTTGGTTGAACAATAGGCTGATGGTCCGACCACTGATACAATGAAGCATCTTCTCTCTTGGCCATTGGGAAGCTGCGTTCCTGCTGGAGATGATACAAGGCGTTCTGCACTGAAGGCGTCTTTCCTGCGTTATCACTAGCAGACCTTGAGAGGGCCGGAGCATATGTGTTGGACGAGGCATCAGTTGTCGCTGCGCCGTACATAGTTTGTAGCTCTTCCTCGCTCAGCATGTAGGACATTGTGTTGTAGGAGCTCTGTACGGGAGCACTGCTTTGCGAGAAAGGTTGCGTAGCTTGGCGCATATGCGCTGGGAGCTGATGGGCAGCGGCAGACTGGTGAGAGAAACCTGATTTTTCGTTAAAATAGTCCCGCAGCTCTGGGACTGTCTTTGGCGCAGCACGTCGGGTGATTCGGTTGGCTGAGGCAACTTGAGGACCAAGGGCAGCATAGTCGACGGTCTGCCCACGACGATGGGCGCGATAAGACGGAGCACCGGACATAGTGCGTGTTGCTGGTGCGGCTTCAAAGGGCTGCGAGAGTTGACGGCGATGGTGACCGGGGTGTGTCGATGTAGGATTTGAGGATATCATGGCTATCCAGCCGATCGAGTATACGGTCCCTGGTCACAGTGTCAGTCTGTGAACGTCACTAAAGGAAGCAACAAACGCGAAAAGAGAAAAAGAAAGGTTGCTACAGCCTCCTCGAGAAGATAGCTTAGCTAGAAGGTTTTTTGTGTTTTGATTTGTTTCAAATGCTCGCGGCTCTTGCGACTGGAGAGTATGGTCACAGAGATCCTTGAAGAAGAGTATCAAAGAAAAGAGCAGAAGTGAAACTCAATAAGACTGGAGCTCGAAGGCGGGTCACAGCTGAGCTTTGGCGCTATCATTGTGCCTGGGAACCACAACAAGCCCGAGGTTGGCATGGCAACGCCAATGCGGGAGTCCAGCTGTGACGAGGGTGGGCCCACAGAGGAGCCGCCCACTTGATCGATTATGCTCTTTCGCCCGACGATCCAGGCCTTGCGTTACATAGGATGCCCTGCTTTGCAATCGTTACCCGTACATCCCGTCGCTGTCCTGGAGGTTTCTCGCGGCGGCTCTGCAAGGGCCCTCAATCGTTCTGTGAGGGGACAAGATATCGAAGGGTATCTAGTCTTTTAACCATTCAAAGGGACACTCCTACCATGGTCGTCATGGGGACATCCCTGTTTAGACAATATGCAGTAACTATCCGATCGACTCCAACGATCTGGGTTTGGGGCTAGGGTTGTGCTCCTCGCTCTTGATACCCAAACTCGATGTCATTCGCCGCCAGATTTTCCAGGCATCAGAATGTGTATCACGTGACTAAACGGCTCTCGGAAATCGGTGTTACATTAGTCCTGTTTGTCTGGTTTGCCACACATTATCCCACGTGACCACACAACGATTTTAATCGAGTCCCACCGACACAGAATTTCTTCAATCTTGCAAGGTTGAGGAAGACAAGTCTGTTGAGGTGAGTTTGATGTCCCTATACCCAGTGCCTTGAGGACAAATCCCTCTCCAGGTCAGCACTTGAAACATGCGTACACAGCGCTGTTTGCGCGGTTAACCTGAGAATCCTCGCCCTGCGCAAAAATTGGAATCACCAACTAACTCTCCCCCAGGCCTTCATAAAGATGCAGATCTTCGTCAAGACCCTTACGGGTAAGACTATCACCCTTGAGGTGGAGTCCTCGGACACCATCGACAATGTCAAGTCCAAGATCCAGGGTATGCATGAACTCCGAACATCGTCGCATAGGAACAAGCACTAACGAGGCCTTGCAGACAAGGAGGGTATTCCCCCTGACCAGCAGCGTCTGATCTTCGCTGGCAAGCAGCTCGAGGATGGCCGCACTCTTTCGGACTACAACATCCAGAAGGAGTCGACCCTTCACCTCGTCCTCCGCCTGCGTGGTGGTGGTAAGAAGCGCAAGAAGAAGGTCTACACCACCCCCAAGAAGATCAAGCACAAGCACAAGAAGACCAAGCTCGCCGTCCTGAAGTACTACAAGGTCGACGGTGACGGCAAGATTGAGCGTCTCCGCCGCGAGTGCCCCTCCCCTGAGGTATGTTTCGTTCCTAATCTTATCCGCAAATGTGGTGGAGCCCCAGCGCTAACCCTACTCTAGTGCGGTGCCGGTGTCTTCATGGCCGCTATGCACAACCGCCAGTACTGCGGTAAGTGCCACCTCACCTACGTCTTCGACGAGTCCAAGTAAATGGACTTTGTCTAGCTGGGATATGATTCGAGTTCGAGTTTGAGTGTGGCTTCGCTGTACTGAAACGAGGATTGTCGGATGTGTCACGGTTGACGTTACGGTTGATGGTACTTTACGAGACCTGGACTGTGAATAGAAAAAAAATTCAAAACTTCGGCTTATGCCAATCTTGATTGCTTCTCGTAAAGATAAAGACTGGATAATTTTCAGCGTAATGATAGTTTCGTTAACGAAGGGCTATGGACAAAATCCTCGTCCAAAATGCACACTCACCACCACGGCCACTGCCGCTGCCATGGGCATAAGGATCTGGATGGTATCTTACTGCATCCCGTTTCGCACATTGTCGTACTTGCTCTCTGGGAAGTGAAGAGCATTGTCACTATGGTCGAGCGTGCTAACGCCACCAATTCCATCGACGAAGGTGCCGACCAGACTGCCCTCTTGGGCCTTGGCCTCCTTGCCTCCTTTGTCACCGCTACTCTCCCACCACATACCTCCACCAAGGCCTTGACGCCGGGCGAAGTCCGCCTTGATGTGGGCCATCTGGACGTTGTCGTACGAGACCATTGTACGGGAACCACCGTCATAGCACCAAGATGCGCCTGCCTGGGTATCGATGTTCTCGGCTGCATTTGGACGCGGCAGGGCCTTATAGTCCCAGACCCCATTCTCCCAGCTGCCGGCTCCCACTCCATTGAACGGTCTGCCAGGTCCATCCGTCTCCGCGAACGCGCGTCCATATAGTGGCATACCCAGAACCATTCGGTCGGGTGGCACACCGTTACCGGTGATATAGTGGTCCAGTGCGGCGGCCGTTGAAAAGGGAGTGGAGCTGGCATTAGAGTTGGATGGCCAGATATTGGCCTGATGGCCTGCAGCAGTGTCCCAGCTCCCCGCATAGTCGTACGCCATGAGATTCCAAAAGTCTAGGAGGGGAATCATATCGCGGATCTTTAGTCTGTTAAAATTACTTGGCCCAGCGGGGCAGGCAATGGTCAGATAGAAATGGCGGTTGGGACCTGCGGCACGATCAAGGTGCTGTTCTCTTGTCAGTAGTGCACTTTCAAGTTTCAAGGCATGACGTTGGGGGGGGCGGGCATACTTCTCTGCAAGCGCGGAGCAGATCAACATAGTTCTGGGCTTGGCCATCATCTGCATCTCGGTGTCAGCGTCCAGGTAGTAAGCGATTGCGTGGGGAAAGGCTGTTTACCTTGAGGGTACTCCCAGTCGATATCGATTCCTTGCATGCGAGATTAGCGACAATAATTCATTCAATAATCAGCCAATATATATCTCCAGTGACATACCATCAAGTCCCAAATCAAGGACCAAGCGGGTCGCAGACTCGGCAAATCGATTCCGACCCTCATTGGAACTCGCTGGCTGAGCAAAATTGGAGGAATAAGTCCAGCCACCAATGGAAAGCAAGACTTTAAGCTTGCGGTGCTGCTTCTTCAAAAGATACAGCTGCTTCATGCATCCGTAAACATTGTTGCCGGTGTCGTTCCAGGAGTCACTAGGATAGTGCTTCTCAATGTCGGACCAGCTGTCGGTCAGGAACCTGCAGAAAGTAGTGCGATAAGCTTTCTTTCCCAGTAATATGGTCCGATCCTATCGGGGACCCTTACACTTCTCCTGACTCGGGACGAATGTTGGCAAATGCATATAGCACATGTGTCAACTTGTCGGCTGGCAAATCCTGGGGGGTTGAAATTTCGGCCGTAGATGGCCTGTGGAGTTGGATATAGTTAGTGGTTGGATCGATCGACAAGTTACATATCTCAGCTGTTGATGACCGCTTTGATCATGGAGGGGCCATGCTGCAGGAATTTCTGACACCAGCAAGGACATACCCAGTTAACAAAGTAAGTCACAGATCGCATTTCGAACTGAGCGGATGCTTGAGCAGGGATGTTTTGACCAGGGTTGGAAGAGTTGTACTGCAGTAGGATCGCCACAAACAACACCAGGGCGGCAAATGATACGATTGGCTTAGATAGAATAGCCACACTGTGAGGGGATAAAAAGTTGGATGCAATTCTTAATCAATCTCGAGGATTATTCGGGGACCGGGGGAAACAGCCACTGTAGAAAGAGCGGTTGATGGCTGATGGAGGGGTAATTTTCACTTATGACTTAAGGTACCTAATATCGCAGCCTGATTGTTAGCGGACCTTTGTATCTGGCGGTTTCTAAATAAAAAGCAATGCCCCACTTTGCCCAGACGTGGCGGTGAGGCTGTGTGGCTGTGTGGATCAGGGTATTCCGTACTGTGGCTGTGGCTGACTTCTATCACATCACTTGGACTCCAACTTGAAGTCGAGACTGACTAAATAATTGCTGGAACTCGTAGATATTCAGATTCACCAATGTCCATGATATAATATATTTCAGAAAGGTCTCTTATATGCATTATCATACATACTCATGAACCAATACTGCGTGACACTTCCACCTGTGCAGGGTCCCGGTGCGACTTGAGATACTAGTCATGCAGTGGTCAAACCCTTCAAGATTCGCACGAGTTAGCCTTTTCTCTTTCCCAAACTGACTGTTGCAATACTATATTTCTCCTTGAGAGGACAGTTTCGAATATCTTCTGACTTGTGACTGCTGGAATGTTGGGTTGGGTCTTTTGTGGAATGCGGTTATCATTCCTCCTCTTAAGCTCTGAGATGGAATGTGAAGTAGAAAGATAGTCATGAGAACCCATGCCATTCGTTCCGGGAACAAAAATTCTAAGCTCATTCTTCAAGGGAATGGACATGCGACTCGGGCAGCAGTCTTACAGAATATCAGATGGGATATCAGAAAAATGGACGAGGATTCGGGATCATCTCAAAATACTCATGCTGAGATGATCAAATTTCGAACAATGTAACTATACTATACCATTGGAACAAAAACTTCGATTTATATGTCTGTCCAGGGGTCAGAAGATGGATGGCATGATTTGTAGATGTCGTAAGTGATGAGAGTACCATTTTCTTTGGGCAAGTGACTTTCCGCTAGAGTTTATGTATTTTTTTTCGATCAGAACCTTGGGATACCGAAATCCTTGGCCTTTGGCCCCGGAAAAGTATGATCAAAAAGGTAGTTAGATGTTAATTTTTGTCGGGTCGGCACAAGATTAGACGTACAAAGTTGGGTTCTCTCATTTACCGACGACAATCACTATTAGAGAACTGATTGAGAATGACCTGAAAACTCTGTGGCGCCGATTAATAATGGATTTATCGTCACGATCGTCCTTCCAAATTCAATGGTGTTTCCCAACATAGCAATATGTTGAAATATTGACCAAATAATTTTCAGCTTGTCGGCTATCACCGACCAGCCAACCGAGCGACTATTGAAATACCAGTCGATCATTAGATCACTAGGATGATAATCAGTGAAGCTCTGGACCGAAGAGTAGAATTACAACTGACGTTTCAAAAGTACCATTTCGCCACCCCTAGTGGAGTTAACTGTGGCTTGTGGAGCTGGGCGAGAGGGACGCAAAAAGAGTATATCGTTGGGGCAGCCACACGACGAGACTTGACACATGGCAGGCTGTACAGCCCTGAAGTAGGAAACGGAAGAAATCAAACTACATACAGAAACAACAAAAGAAGGTCCCCACCCAGAACTATTTCTACATAAATGGTGCCGTTACTAGATGCCAATCACGAAAAAAAAAAATCGCTACCTGAGGCAGTAGCTCAGCCCCGAGACACGGGCTTGGAATCAACCCGAGGTAGGTCCACCATCCAGAAGTAATAAGGTTGAATGGGGCCGGAGTTGAAGCGAAAAACAATATTAGTTAATTTCCAGAACCAAAATTTTCGTCCTCGAAAATCAGGAGATGAACGGGTCAGACCAGCACCAGCTGAACTTGTGCCGACAGGCGCCCGATCTCGACACCGATTGGCACCGCGCTCGGCAGACTAACGCCTTAGCCCCAGATCCACACTAGATCCGACCCGTCTTTCGTTCAACATAGTCCCCGTTCCTAACACATGACGATCAAGAAGAGGGGGTGAAAATTGCGCTAGGGTCAAACGTTTGATATACATATCCGTCCCTCTGGATCCATGGTTAATGGCATCCCGCCTAAAGCCACAGCTCCGCTTTTTCGCTCTAGAAGTTCTATTCTATGCCATCCTTCCTCGCCATGACGGGCTAAATACGTACTTCTGGCTCGAGTGGAGCCTGCAGTAGTGTACAAAAGTGCCGTGTCAAATGCACCGGTGCACTGGTGTGGTGCCTGGTCCTCTTTCTTGCTTTTTTCAGCTGGTATCTCTGCCTCGAGACCCAGGTGTCTGGTTCCCCGGCTGTACGTCGTGTCCAATGGTATACCGTCGACAGGGTTGATGGTCGAGTGGATCTCCCTTAAACCCCCTTTTTTCAACCGTTTTGCGGTTGTCTGAGCCGGGTTTCCGTTTTTGATGAGTTCTAAATGCTTCGTAAACGCGTACCACTCGATGCCACAGGCTAATCGGTGGAGACATTTAGGGCCGGTATCATCGTCCCGGGTCGACCGACGGATCCAAGGTCTATAGTAAAGTGAGGAGTAGGGATGAGAGGAACGTCCAAATTTGGAACAGATGATAGTAATATAATGATTCACGACTCGTGTACCTAAAGTGTCAAAAAAAATGACCCGCCAGGGGGATAATGATGCAATGTCTCTAGTCACTCTGCCCACGCGCTCTGAAAATGCTAGAATACTTCAAAGAACAAATGAAATATGGAAAGAGAGAGAAGAAGAAGAATGCAATAAACAAGAACCAAAAATAAAACAAGATGGATATCGTCGCAATGCCCAACAAAAATCCAGATTTCCTTTTTTCTTCTCGTTTTCTCCCTCTCGCAATCGGTCAGAATCGCGACCCGCGCTGTACCCGCCGAGCGACGAGGCCCCCGCATACCAATTCCACATGGGCCTCCACCGAGTATTAGAAACAAAAGAGGAAAATTGTAAAAGAAACGAAAGAAAAAACAAAGCACCAAATCTCGTACACACCAATGGTAGGAAGATCTTAAAATGACGAAAGTCTCGGCTGATCAGGTAAAGGGAAAAGGTCATATCTCTTTCTTCCGGCGTCAATTGGGAGGGGCGTGAAGCATGAATCATGATTGAGGGGTTGATTCATAATCATTGTTTTCGTTACCGTCCCTGGATCCAACGCCGTATGGAGTCCAAGGAGGGGTCATCATCGAGCCAGTGACCTGCCCGCAGGTCAGCAGCTCGAAGGTCGGCGACAACATGTTGGTCGGTCACGCGGGCCAGTTCTTGTTGCAGCACTGTGTGCGCACTTTTCAACGCTGCTGCATGCACCCCAGTGGGCCGTTGGCCGCGTAGAGTGGCCGTTCGGGTCATAGCCCATCGTCGTGAGGCCGCGGCACGGAGGTAGATTTTGTGTGCTTGGAAGCGGCGGGCACTGCTGTCAATAATAACCCTGTCAAGTAGGAAGTATTAGAACGATATTGCAATTTTTCACAAAGACCTGCAACTTGTTGCTTTAGAGACAGCTCTCTTCGGAATTAAGAAGATACCTTTGGAGCTCGGCCTTTTCGGTTTCAGCACTGCCTTGACCGGTCATGGGGCATGGTTGGTAATTGGCGGACAGCAATCTTTGAGCCGAAGTGTGGCATTCCCGGAGAACCGTATAGCCCTCCTCGTACTGGTCCTCGGGCGAGGCATCGACTTGCTGTTGGGAGATATGTAGCAAAAGAGTTCGGTAATCGTTTATAAGCTCGGCCACTCGCACTGCGCGGGCCTGGTTCACTAAATTTCGAGTCCACCTGTTAGAAATTGGAAGCTGGATATTTTTGGGAGGATCAATTGCTTACTTCCGTCTGCCATTGAGGAAGATAAAAAAGGTTGGACGGTATTAGAAAGAAAAGAAACGAAATAGGAGCCTATAATTGGCGAGAGAGGGAGATATGGAAAGAGAAGGGACGAAAAGACATCAATGAAAAGACCAAAGAAAGAGAAAGGGTGATGTTCCCTTGAATTAACATCAGAAGGCGTGTGATGATGTAGTAACTGTCCGGGGAGAGACAGAGACGAGTCTTTATAAGCTTGGACAGCTGTTTGTCAATTACCCCATACCTGGCGGATATCCAAAAAAGCAAGAGAGCGAAAAAAAATACAATAAAATAAAATCATTAAAAAAATTCGGCGTTAAGAAAAAAAAATATACTCAAAAAAGGAAGAGGTAGAAGAAGACCAGAAAATCAGCCCGACAGCGGGGGCAGGACGTCAGGAGGATCATCGGGAAACATGGCTGGCTGCACCAATGGTCAACGAGAAGCGCAAGATGAGAGTCAAGCACAGCTGGAATGTAATCTGCACAGATGGACCGGGCCATACGATAGCTCCCGGGGGAACGGCTAACGGGTCCAGCAGGGCCACTCCCTGTTCCAGAGTAGGGGGGTCCTTTTTTGATCCACCTGGGGGGTGGAGGAAGGGAGAAGTGGGCTAGGGACCGACAGAAGTACGGAAGAATCAGTAGTATGCAGCCAGAGGGGGAGGGGCTAGGGCTTCTCAGTACGACTACTATTTTGGCGCGGCAGTTCTCAGGTCAGGTTCAGTTGAGAGGAAACGGAGGGTCCGAGCAGCTGTAACAAATGGCCCACGTAGAGTGGAGTCTTGGTGCGATTAAGTTCCTGTGCGGCCGATTTGGTGTCGAAGCGTTGTCTCCATCGTGCGAGGGAAATGATAGACAGACGGCTTCACAATGGTGATTGGCAGCTGCCCAGCGCTCCCGGGGGGGGGGGGCGAACAGCACCGGGCGGAGACGAGATGAACTGGGTGGCTCGTGGGACCCCTGTCACACCCGGTAGGACCTGCATACGAGTAGGCGAGATCGGGAGGATGTGTGTGTGTGTGTGGCAAAACATTGCGAACAGGTCAAGCCTGGGCAGTTAATTGCATAAAGCGGGAACCGGGTCGAGGTTCGTCAGTGGCCTTTGGGAGGACGTCAGAGCTGTCAGTCAGTGGCCCCTGCTTGCATGGCCGAAGGAATCCGAAAAAAAAGATCTCAGGCTAAGACGAAGAGTGGATTCATTATTGGACGTTAGCTTTCAGCTCGGACAAAAAAAGTAAATAAAATACAAGGACGGAGTATAAAATAAAAAGATCCAAAGTGAATGGGCCCAGCCACGTTTGCTGAGCCACATGTGGCGCCCACGGATACAGCTGAAGCGGCGCACGATTGAACATAGATACTTGCCCTCCTTGCCTGATGGCTACTCGTACATCTTTTTGGCTGCTTTAGTGCCCCGTCTATTTCGAGCTATTCTGAATTTCTGATCTGGATGCATCGAGCAGTGGCGATAGAATTGGAACCCGCTGAGGGTGCTGACGACGGGCCGTCCCAGCTTATCGAAGGGTGGTTCCTCTTGCGTGTGAAACACGACCGAAACCGAAGCCTTGCAGTGTACAGCTTGTCTACTCGTTGATCCTCTGCTTCTTTTCGCTCTAAAATATGGACATACATAACAGGTTGTAAATAAATAATCATAATATCTCCAACAATATGGAGCACTCAAAAAAAACAGACTAAATAATCATCTGAGGTACACACACAAGCCAGGGTATACGCCCCGATATACGCCCGAGGAAGAGAAATAGCCTTCCCCAAGGGAGACGGTGCAGGACAAATCTGATCCATTCGGTCTATCACTCCTATTTCTGCAGGTCACCCCGGCACGCTCAGTCCTTCTCCGCTATGGCCTGCAGCCGTTCGTCAATCTCCTCCTCCGTCAGAGCACGGAACTCTGTCGTGGTACTCTCGCCATCGACCTGAGGACCGCCCACAATGCCAATCTCCAGCTCGTGCTTCTTGAAGTCAACGCTCAGCACATTGCTCAGGGCAGTGATACCCAGCTCCACCACTTCTTCCCAGTTACCGGCGGCCGCATCCTTGTTCTTCAGCTTCTTCTCCAGGTAGTTCAGCGCCTCCTGCTGCTTGGGTCCCGAGGCAGTGGCCTTGTATCCGACGTAGTAGCCGGCCGGATCGCACTTGTAGAGCTGGGGACCGTTCTCGTCATCGACAGAGATGAGAGTCGTTGCCACACCAAGTGGCCGCATGTAGGCCTGTCGATCATTAGAATGGAGTGATACTCGGAAAACGCCATCCCATCCCATCCGCTTGTGTGGCGGCGGGTGGAACGGGCGGCTGACTAGATGACAGATAACGGGTAGAGGGCTGGGAAGAGACATACTCGTTGTGTGTAGACCTGGTTGATATTCGCCAATCGCTTCGCAAGCACATCGCAGGGCATCTCGTATCCGAACTTGTAGCGGAACTCAGCTGCCTCACCACGGGCCCGGTCAACGGATGCCCGCGCATCTGCTATGGAGCCAGTCATCACGCAGCCCACCGAGGGCGAGATCTTGAAGACATGTGAAACGGAGGACGGATCGATGAGTTTGTCCTAGTAAGGAAAAGAGAAAGCCGGGTCAGTCCCCTGCCCGGGCGAGGTTCAGGTTCCAAAGGCAAAGCTTACAGCAACTTTCTTTTGGGAGAGAACAACAGCACAGTCTTTTCCGCGGACACCGATGGAGGTAATGTTGGCGGAAGTGATGGCCTTGAAAGCATATTCTGAGGTACGAACGGTTGGTCAGCTATCATGACGAGGGACGCAGTCGGTAGTCCAATGCGGACAAGGGTCCAAGGTCAGGGAGGAACAGAATAAACATACCGACTTGGTACAATCGACCTTGGTCGGAGAAGATAGTGATGTGTCTATCGTAGCCAGCTGATGCGGAGAAGATGAATGTTAGTCGGGGTTGAGGTTATCGGGGGCTGGTGCGTGCCAACGCGGGGAGGTGGCTCGATCTTCATACCGGACATGACGGCGGTTTATTATGTGAGCTAGGAGATGTGGTCGGAATAGCGGGATTGAAGAAGTAAAGAGGAGCGAGATTGGATGGGAGTGAGGTTTAGAGATGCTGTGAGTGACGCGCGCCAGCGGTGCCTTGAGCTCCCAGCTTGAGCTTTCACCGCCTTCACCGCAACCCGCAGGTGGACATAGTCACCTAAGCGATGTTGAGTACATGGTTCAAGCTGCGAGATAGATACTACTACATTCGTTTATGAATTAATTGTGGTAAAAAAATGACCCAGGCGTACGTGTATCAATGAGACGAACAGACTTATTTTCAACGGCTCTCGGAAGCGATGCACTGTGGTATACGGAAATAAAACCAAGGATATCATTTGCAGATTCAATTTTCATAGACACGAAATATGATACATCGTCATGCTGCCATGGTATAGATGCAAATATGCATTTCAGAAAGAAAGAAAAGACGTCAACCAGAACTACAGCCACACGGCTCAATCGCTATCACTCTCGCTGCTCGAGATCTCAATCTGAGCAGTTCTCATCTTCCGCTTCTGCTTCTTCTTGTTCTTGCTAGGGGCAGGTGGCTCGGGCTTTTTGGGCTCAGGTGTTGGAGGTGCAGGCTTGGCCTTGGCTGCCTTCTTGCGAGGGGGAGCTTTGTCACTATCACTGCTGGAAGAGTCGCTTCCGCTGCTGCTTGTAGAATCGTCGCCGCTATCCGCCTTCTTAGCCTTAGCTGCCTTCTTCTTCTTGGATGTCGACTTTTCGTTGTCGCTATCGCCATCACTCTCGCTGCTCGAAATATCGACAACGACAGTTCTGTTCTTGCGCTTCTTCGGTTGTGGCGGCTCTTGCTTTTGCGGCGGCATGGGCTTCTGGCCAATGTACAGCTTGCCCGTGACAGCGAAAAAGACCAGCTCCGCACGCTGTCTCTTTTGAAGACGTTTGCGAGTCTCGCCCTCAAATTGTTCAACGGAATCAGAAGCACCAATATCCTCGCTCCCCGCAGTCAGATGTTCCCTGAATCCATCCACGGCCTGATGGTACTCTTCATCCGCCTCGACCTCTTTATCAACAGACATGACCTCTGCTGCTCCTTGGCTTATACGCATCTTCGACGCCTCGCCCTTCAGCCCCTGCAAGTAGACCAGAAGGGCAACGTTGTAGACGGCGGGTACATGCTCCAATGAGTAGAGATGCTTGAAGATATTCGATTCGCGGTTCTTCTGGAATTTCCAAGAAGCCCGGTCCCGGTGATACCAGTTCAGGTAGGAGAGGATAGGCGTCTCGTGGACCTGTGTGGTGGTGGTGGTGGTGGTGGTGGCGGCTCCGCTCTTCCTCTCTTTCTTCTTCTCGCGTTTGCGCTTCTTCATATCCTCAAGGGCTTTCTCATGCTCTTTCTCTTCCGAGATCTCGGCGGTGTTGTTGTCAACCTCACCCTCGTCGCCGGCATCATTATCGCTATCACTCGAGTCCTCGGCGTCTTTTGTCTTTGTGCCCGGCCCGAAGGAAACACGCTTCTTCGTCTTCTTCTTCTGCGAAGCTTCGTCGGCGGCCTCGCTTTCGTCTTGTCGGCGCTTCTTCTTCAAAGCTTCATCGTCGCCGTTTTCGCTGGATGACTTGCGCTTCTTGTTGTCTTTGGACTCTGACTTGTGTTTCTTCTCTGTGCTGGCATTCTCGTTCGTAACGTCGTGGTTGTCGAGCTTTGATGTCGCCTTCCGCGACTCGTCGGGGGCGCTTTTGGCCATTGTTTCGTCTGCGACCACTGTGCTCAGGATTATAATGAGGGGGAGTTGACAGAGTGTAAATTGGTTGTCAATTCGTGTGCCAATTTGAAGTTTAACCTCTATCCAAAAAGTTGCGATGAGGCGGCGTCGACTTTTTTCTGCCGGATCCACCGGGGCGGTCCCGATAAGGTAGAGCATATCAGCCATGCACTTACTGAGGGTGTGCCCGCCCCAGGCCCCGGACCATCCTCTAGATTGAAAGCAACCATTAAATGCAAAAAGAGACATATCAATCAAGGATTCTGTCCTTCTGCAATGACAATCGACAACCCACTATTACGTATGCAGCAGGGAAATAGATGAGGAGAGCTTTGATTTTCATACACTCTCAATCAAAACAATCGTGGATTCGTCTCGCATTAGTGAGAGTAACTACTAGTAGCCTAGCACTGCTCTACAGGATTCACCTTATGCGTCAAGTATGCAGCAGACTCTTTGCAGCGCCTACTCTCGACGAGCCTCCTTCGGGGCAGTGGATTCCGTCCCAGACCCAGCATTTGCCGATGCAGCAGTACCCGCTGCTTTCCTCTTCGCGCGTTCCCGCTCCTTCTCCTTCTCCTTGTCCCGAGAAGTAGTCGTAGCCTTCCGACGGTTTGGACGAACAGGCTCATATACATCATTGAAATTCATGACCACACCCAAGAAGCGCATGTCCACATCAGGTTGATAGGCAAGGTCTCCAAGTAGCAGATTGAGGCGCGATTTGAAGTCGGCTGAGAGATCGCGGAGCCGGGTGCGTAGGGTTGGAAGCATTTGATCGTCGTTCATATCAGCTCCGTCGAGGGAATAAGGTGTTTCAATTCCGTCGACCCCTGCACTTGTGGGCCGATAGTCCGGGGTGGATGCTATAGATGCACCTCCGCGGCTGTTCGCCCGGCGTGGACGTATGTCGCCGTCTGTAACGCCCCAGCGGCCTTGCGCTGTTCGTGTCTCGATTTTAGCCATGAGTTCCTGTCGGCGGGTGAATTCAGCAACAGAAAATGAGTAGAGGCCATCCACGGCGTCCTTGTACGCAAGCATAATCTTCAGAATCTGATGGAGCTGGGAGAGGAAACTTTCTTCTGGCTGTTTCGCGGATGTTGAGGTTGAAGAGCCGTATCGTGGGGTTGAAGCAGAGCCTAGCAGGCCCTTATGTGTAATAGAGTTGAGATATTTATTGTGTGCATCAATCAGGTCGCCAAGAGTGCAATCCGGCTTTGACATCTCGTTCTGAAGTTGATCCCAACTAGACTCGATCACTTCGAAGAGAATATAGTATTGGAGCTGGCAGACAAAATGGATCATTTCTGCAATGACACATCGTGCGCGCTTCCAGTCTGCTCCAAGAATGTCCTCCACATTTCCTAGCACTCCTCTTGCGCCGGTCATACATCTGCGCCAGGCGCTACCTAGGGCAAACTCAACCCGTTTCACGCGCCACAAGAAGTTGAAAACTTTGAGATATTGCCTCGACCCCCATGGCGTAATCACCACGTCGACCGGGGCATCGATCTTATATTCCAGTGTAAAGCAGTCCCAGCCGATTTCACCGTGGCTGAGTTCAAGCATTCGTGCATCCAACCGACGAAGCACATCAGCAGAATCGTACTGGGCATTTGAAGCTCGAATAGCATGCTCCAGCTGGGCAGTGAGCGTATGTCGATATTGTGAGTTCGCAGGGCGGTCTAAATTCGAGGCCAGTGACTCCATCAACAGAGCGATAAAGTCGCCTTGGCCTAACAGCAGATACTTCTTTAGCGCTCGCAAGTGATCGAACAGCTTAAACTTGTCATCCATGAGATGGATCAGTCGTGCCATGGTTGTCTTGTAAGCTTGGTCAATCGAAGACTCCAAAGTGTCCGTATCGCCATATTTCAGCTCCTTTGAAGCTTCTTTAGAATACGCCTCTACCCACGCAGAATCCTCACACCCGGTCCGGATGAAGTTCAATGACTTTCCAATGAGGAAGACTTTCTCTGCAAATTCACGAGTGACAATCGAAGGGATGAGTCCATCGACCAATTTGTACTTGTGCTCCCACACGCTCGTTGCGATGCCACGCGGGTCATTGCTTGGCCGAAATTCTGGCTCGTCGACGAAAAATTCCTTGTACGGATCAGAAAGTTCGCCATCGTAGATCCATAGCTGCAGCATATCGTAGAACGGACGGGTAACATGGGCCAGGAGCTTCTCGGCAAAGGCACCCACGAAAGGGTCCCCGTGCGATGTAGAAAATCCGTGGATCAAGGAAATCAACTGACCACCCTTTTTATCTATTAAAGGGATTAGTACGCGCATTCAAGGTGCATATATAATTAACTTTGAGAGACCACTCACCACGAGATTCCTCAACAATCAGACTCATCAGCCGAAGGGCCATAGTTGCATCCCGCGTCCATACCATACACCGCTTCAAAGTAACGCCTCCCTTTCTCACGCCCTGGAGCTGGGTTCCATCTCCAATTGCGACCAAGGCTTGTCTAATTTCCGCCTCCAGCGTTGCAACCAAGCCAAGGTAGGAGTGTAATTCTTTGGAGATAGCCGCTTTCAAGCTCTGGTGAACCAATCCCTTATTCTCACCATCGCAAAACTCCGACAACTCTTTGTAAAGAAGACAAGGCTCCGCCAGGGAGTGCAGAAGAGAAATTATGGGAGAAGGCAACGTAGCCGGAAGCTTCAGGACTGAGGAAGATTGAAATCGCAGGTTGGAAGAAGATAGGCCCTGAAGGTTGAACGGTAGATCTCGCAAGAGCCCATGCTCAACCGACTCTTTCGATCGCGGATAACTAGGCGTCATTGTTGGTGACGCCGCGCCTTGACGGTCATCGGCTTCCTGGTCTGTATCGTAGTTGCTAGCGCGACTAGCTATTCCCTCACGGGGCCGTTCACTCGAGACACGCACGGTGTATTCCGTGGACTCTCGCTCCGCGAAAGAATCAGGTCGCTCCGGCTTCGATGAGAGCGGGATCTTCTGCGAAGCAGAAGAGCTAACAGCAGGCCCCTCATCCTCCGACTCAAAAGAGCGCGAGTTCGTCCCTCGTCGCGGACGAGATGCCTCCCGCCCAAGCATGTTTTGCAGGTTCCCGTCGTCCATCAGGGGACTGCGACTCCGCTCGCCGACGGCCAGCTCGTCATTCCCGGATAACTTGTAGAGAAGGTATAAGATACCCCATTTTTGCGAGAGAGACGGGTTGCGTCAGAAGACGCGAGTACAGATTCGAAAAGCGGACCGCCTTGTCTGGGCTGGGATTCTCGCGTCGGAGTTTACGCTTGATCAGATCAGGTGCGTTATTGACACTCTCCACGCCCGCCAGACTACCCCGGCGCCCACCCGGGCCCGCGGGAGAACCTGGATCTGCTGATCCGGCGGCTGTGTGTGCATCGATCGTACGCCAAGCGCGCTCAAGCTGGGCATTGTGACGGTGTGACTCGGCTGCGTTGATGGCATCTTCCTCGTCCGAGTAGTCGTCGTAATTCACTGCGGTCAGGGGAAGCGCGGGGCTCAGGGAGTCGACAAGTTGGGAGAGGGCATCGTCGATGCGGCGCGGGCGAGCGGATTGTTTTGTGGTGGTTGACATGATGCCGCCCCCGCCAATGGGCGATAGTTTTGTGGACGTTGTTTTTCTCTCTGGGTGTTGCGGAGACGGAACTAGGGCAGTTATTGGGACACGCGACACAACGATCAGGCAGCGGGTAACCGAGAAAAATTGCGCTTGTCCAGATTCACTCCGTGAGCAGTTCCAATGGGATCGTCAGGGTTGTGGCAGGAGGTGATGTCAAGACAAAGTTCCATGCGCGCCGGACAGTAGGAAGGTTGTTTGTGACGTTTGACGCGCCCTTATCAAGCTTATCGAGTTTAAGGTACCCCGAGGCGTGGACGACCCCAGCCTGTCGGGCAGAGGTGTCCAGCCACTGCAGTCATTTCTCTGGTACCTGAGGTACTATGCTCAAGGCAGCCAATGTACGAATTCATGACCCAATTCATGACTGAATCGATTAATCATCATACCACACCAATGAGAGCAAATCAGGTACCAAACTTCTACTTGGCGTTCTGAATACGATAGTGAAGATTCGTTCGCAAGCGATATTTAATTCAATTGCACAAGCGTTCCGTGCTTGGGAACCAGGCAAACAAAAACCAGAGAGCCATCCCGAACGCCATCCAGAATCATGTATCACAAACATAAGCAACCTGGAGAATCAAAGAGGGGGAAGAAAAAAGAAGGAAACAAGAACATGCACCCACGGCCCACCAAGTATTAGACAAGAGAAAAGGAAGGAAGTTCTCTTGGTGTCAGAGAAGAAAATTAGAAAGAGGAGGGGTGAAAGGGTCGAGGGAAAATACAGCTGTGGAAATTGTGGGGGAAAAAAGGAACAGAAGCCATGGGGAAAAACAGAGAACACTGAAGCGGCCAGAAGAAACTCGGACGCCGAATTTGACGCGCCCTCCAAAGACTAAACGAAATCCATCCGTTCCAGAACATTGGAACCTGCCCGTCCATTTTTGAGTCGTGTGGATCATAAACACCTGCCCATGCCAAAAGGATTCGACAATTTTTAGCCGAATAGAGAAAATATCGTAAAACAAGAAGTTAAGATGAGATGGCCTCACAAAAAATGGGGGAGCATCTGCCGTATTTTAGCAAAGGGGGAAATATTGACGCCTTTGCATTCAGTCAAGCGAAGGCGAAAAGGTTGACTAGGATGGGAGATGCGATATGATTAACGACGCATGCCCTGAGTGGGGATCGGGCCACCAGGTGGCATGCCCATGCCTTGAGACATATAGCCATGCGGATCGAAGCCAGCCGACATGCCATTCATCATCAGCGGGCCAAGACCTTGGGCTTGAGAGACAGGGCAGTCCTTGTGAGCCAACAGAAGGGTTTTCAAGTTGACAATTTCCTCTCTGAGCTGTGTGACTGTAGCGGTCAGAGCATCGTTTTCTGTGGTAAAGAGCTCAACCTTGGCCTGGAGGTTGGCCAACCATTGCTTCTTGCGCTGACGGCACTTCAGGGCCGCGACACTAAAATGGTTGTTAGAACAAAAGAGGTTTCGGAATTGTGAGAGTAGAAAAGAGAACTTACCGATTCCGCTCTAGGAAGTTACGTCGCTTTTCTTCATCTGTCATCTTCTTTGGGTCCATTTGCAGACTCGGATCCTCGTCATCAGAATCCATATCAGAGGGCGAATCCATCTTGATCTTTTTGTTCGTACCCTTGGGACCATCGTCCGCCTTACGTCGGTTGTTGACGGGGGCGGCCTTCGGGGTGTTCTTCTTGCCCTTGCCCTTACCAGCCGACTTGGCAAGCTCTTGATCTGATTCATCGACACTCATCTCACGAGCACCAGTACCGTTGGCATGTTGCGATGCGCGCCTGGCGGCGGCCGCGCGGGTCTCATTTTGCAAGGCAGTCTGGTTCATTGGCATGTTATTAGCTTGACCACCCTTGGCCAACATGAAAAGCCCGTTGGCAGCATCGGCAGCATCATGCTGAGTAAACTGGTCGCCTGGAGGCTGTGCGCCTTTGGGATCCATGTTAGGCTTGGTGTCTTGTTCCGGCGCGTTCGATGTCGGACCACCAGCGTTCTTTTTGGCGGTCAAGGCAGTGCGGTGGAATTCCATCGTCGACGGGGTAGCCCCGCCGTTCTGAAGTTGTTGGAGCAAAGCTTGTGAGTTAGGACTCGGGGCGGGGAACATCGAGCCTCCTCCTCCAGGGGTCAGCCCCGTGCGGAGGGAGGATTCGTTCGGGGTAGGGAAACCTCTACCGATGTTCTCAAAGTAGTCATTACCGCCGGTCGGTCCGGGAAGCATCGCCGGGCTGAGGGGACCCGAACGAAGAGAGTTGGACCAGTTGTAACCGCCAGATGAGTTGGCGCCAGGCAGGGCAGGTGAGGTGAGTGAAGCGACAGGCGGCAGAAGCGACTTGCCGGGAGTATCGTTTGGGTTCCCACCACTGAAGGATTGCTCGAATGGATTGGGCTCGAGCGAGAAGGGGTTGTGAACGGAGTTGAAGTAGTCGGGAGTATCGCTGGCAGTCGCACCAGATGGGCGTGGAGGCGGCGCCAGTGAGGGTTGAGAATCTCCTCCAGATTTCTGATCCTTGGATTCCGAAGACGCGACCCGCGAGTCTGTTGGAAATCAAGTCAGTAAGGGATTCAAACGATCCGCGATCGAAGCGAGTATATGCGCAAAGGTACCGTGATCGTGATTACGGGGATGAGATGGGGCGTTCATGGTGGAGGGTTGTTTGGAAGGTCGATGATCGATGACGCCAGTTGTGAGATCATCCCAACGGCAGAAAGGGAAAGGGTGGCGTATTACCAAACCAAAAGGGGTGGAAAACTTAAGTATACATCACACACAACACTTCATTGAGACTCTCCCACAGAGAAAATCCAAGAGTTGCGATGATCATAGGGAAGTATATCCATCTATAAAAAGGGTATGGCGGTGATGACGGGTATGGGCAGGTGTGTTCATTGCAGGGGGCAGAACGGGAAGAGAGAGGGAAAAAGCGCGAAGAGAAAAAAAGGATAAAAAAAAGAGAGAGGGAAAGAGTAAAGAGAAGTTTGAACAAGAAGAACTAACCTTGGGAATTGTTTTTGGAATCCATGTGAGAAATAGTAGACACAGGAGCAGCGACAGCAGCAGACATCTTGAAGAAGCACCTATTCCCACGCGTGTCGTGGCTTGCAAAGTTGTGATGGCCCGGGAAGGTGCGAAGACGTCAGAGGAGAGACCAGATGGGGGGGGGAAGGAACGGGGGAATGACGCAAATTTAGGGGCAGGCGCGACCAGTTCCTTAGTAACACGGACAATGGTCTTTCCCGGGTATCGTACCCGTAATTTCCTTCCTTTCCCAAGGGTTCTCCCTGTGTTGTATCGTAACCGATGTAACGCGTGCCGAAGGCGGTTCGAATCAAGGAAAATTCTCAGTTCGGGGAGGGGGCCCTGGACTGGACTGATCTGGATTGGGTTGCGCATCCTGGAAATGGTACCATAATTTACTACGGAGTACAGGTGAAAAGGTTACTAGTATCTACGATAGATTCGATCTGAACGGAGACCACATACAGAAAAAGAAAGTATTTTTCTTTGTTCTAGATACAACACCCCTATATTATGTATTTACCACCTCTTCCGTACCTACCATTGAAAATCTACTATAAACCTCCAGCTGGCCTCCTTCGAGCGCAGGGCAGAAAGCGACCCTCGCATTGTGTGGGTCCCGAAAGAGCGGAGCCCTTCATCCGGGAAGATTGGCCACTCGTCATCGCCGCCCTTCACCTGCGGAGGGGGGACGGTTTTCAGCTGTTTCTGAAGATTTTGGCTGTTATACTATCTTCTCTCTCTCTCTCTCTCTCTCTCTCTCTCTCTTTTCTACTTCATTCTGTCTCTCTGCATGCAACTTTTGTTGTTTTTTTCCTCTCGTAGTAGTGAATAGACAGATAAAAACAGTCGCGTGCGTCTCCAGCTGAGGTGCTAAGATGATTTCACGATGACGACGACAGCATTCCAACTGGCTGTCGGGTGTGGCTGGTGGGGCACTGTCCACCCAATCATTGCTGTATTATATTTGGCGGTGGGAATTGCTGAGACTCGCTGATTAAAGTGATGACGCAATGTCGTGATGACAGGTACCCTGTATCCTAGCGCATACTTGGGACTGACTTGCCGGGTCAAGTCTGTACCTTAGGGTGGTGCATCGGGATAACCATTCTTCCTCTTAAAGGGGACTGTATTCAATGGATGCCATTGGATCTAGGTACAATATACTTTGAGATCCAATGAAATAGTTTAGTTCGAGTGGATACTTACTCCGTCACATACATACAGAGCAAGGGTATGGAGTAAATACAATGGCCATTTTGTATTGATCGAGCTACTATGGAATTGGTCAGTTTGCGAGTTCATGCATCGCTCATGCATCGCGCAAGCGAAAGGAAACTGAGGTAAAGATACTCACTTGTCGTCGGCGCAGTATCCGCCAGCGCGGCCCTCGTCAACACACCATTTTCCATGTTAGTCGCTTGGTAATCGGAAGACTTGATCTACAAATGTCGTACTCAGCGACATACCTTGACCTGGCAGGTCTTGTCACCACCGAAGGCACAAGTCCAGCCAGCACGAGTGGTAAGCATCCCTGTGCGGGCCTCGAGGTCGTTCATGCTGGCCTCGAGAGGGTTGGGGCTAGGAATAGCAATATCCATGGTGTATAGGGCAAAGAGGACGGCGGAACTGGTGATCTTGGAAAACTGCATGTTGATGATTTGTTCTTGTTCTTGGAAAGAGATAAGAAGATGTTGTTGGTCCGTATTGAAAAGATGTTTAGAGGTGATTGATTGAGCTGATGATGGAGATAAAATTGCGGGGGAATCGAGTCCATCTTTATACATTTCCTTTCCACCCTCGTCGCCCCTTTATCTTGATTCTATCTGTAGAATCTCGTGTTCCCGATATGAGGTCCTTTTTTGAGTCTCCATCGATTATACTCGCATTGCCACTTGGCTACTACCTCGTATCCCTTCCTAGTCTTGTTGCACGATTTGACAAATACGGCGAAGAAAAGCTGCATCGCTAGGGGGATATGGCTGCCCAGGTGAGAACAATCACAACTTGAATATTCGAACAAGGCTCACGGAGTCTTATACTATACTACCTCCAGGGCTACTAGAAATGGCTCTTCAATAATAATTTACCAAATTAGTAGAGAATTACGTTACCTTGGCGGAATGGTGAGTTTGAGGCTTAGGGAACGCAAAAAAAACTTTTTATCATGGAACTCACTTCCAAGGTTGGTATGTGCCCACTGATGTTTTGCTGCTTCGGCATGAATCCGTTTCAGTAGTAGTTGTACGCTTAGTTAAATCCTTTTGCTCATGTAAGCATAGTTTGAGCACGTTTCATCCAAATGGCAAGATGGCCGAGCGGTCTAAGGCGCACGGTTCAGGTTTCACCTGATCCTCAGAGATCTTTAATAGATTTCCGTGTCTCGAAAGGGGCGTGGGTTCGAATCCCACTCTTGTCACTTTTTGCCTCCAGGCCAATGTTTTTGGAAAGCATTCCAGTAAATTTGATGCAGGAATTAACTAGATTCTGAAGCTGCCGGTCTGGGAGGTCCGTCAACCCTGGGCCGACAGTACGATCTTCTCTACTGGAAATATAGTATATGATTGCATCCGCTTCAAGTTTGATATAACATATTCTTCAATTGCCCTTATCATACACACTAAAGATATGTCACAAACGCTCATGAAGTACAAGTACAGTACTGCGTAACACCCATGGATATTCCAAGTTAAGTTATTAATTTACATTGAGTAGCCCAGTTGGTCTGTCCAAACTTTGGACAGGCTATTTCTTCCATCCTTTTTCGACATTTCCGTCATCCGAAATGTGATTGTAGGGCTTATCGTAGCGTTGGTCCATTTCCTTGTTGTGCTTCTTTACATCCTCGGGTAAGTCCTCGCGAAGGTGACCTTCATGATCGGCAATAGGCGACTGTCGGCCATCCCGAAGCGTTGGTTTCGCATTATTAGAAGGGATCGGGTAGTTGGTTGAGACATCATGTTTCGATTGCGTAGTCTGTTGAGTCTTGTTCTTGTCACTGGAATAGGCACGTCGGCCGTACGAGTTGAAGATAGGTCGACCCAGAGGGGCGAATGAGGCCGAGGCCTGGAGTCTCGCTTGGAGTCGCGTCAGAGTTGTCATAGTGAGAGATAGTAGTAGTATTGAATGTGGATTGATGTGAAGAGCAGACTACAGCCTCCAAGGAAGCGACCCAGAGATATATACCTACTACTGAAGATCATTCTCAACGTCATTCCCAGTAGCCGGTTTCCGGGGGCGGGTAGTCCTGAATGGCCAGTGAGGAACTTCTTATCGCCTGTGATGTCATCTTGAGCCCCAACCATCGATGGCCAGTGGAACTTAACTTGAACGCGGCCGGTGTTTATTTAGAGTAATGATTTACAGATCTATCACTTTCAAGTAATACATAGGTACATATATATGTAAAATGAACAACTCCATGCTCTAGGAAACTGACAGTTCTACATACTTAATGTCCGAGATCCACTACGGTTCCGTTACTTTTATTTCAAATCTTGCAAGGACGCCCTCTGACTAGTAAGAAATTTCAATGTAACTCCTTTGTCATCCAATTTCTGTTGAAGGATTATAAAACCCAATGAAAATATAGATACTGCTACACTTTCCGAAGGTGATTATAGAACAATGGACTTACGCCTAACCGCTGACACTCCAGCGCTAGGTGTTCGAGCCATCCCACCCCGGGCGGTTTTAGAGGGTGCATTTCGACAGTATATGCAGGTCCTATGAGAACACGAACAGTTTAAGATCATTTGATGAGGAAGAGTCCTAATTTTCAAGTGAAGGTAAGAAATGTTTAGGTTTCGGGATACGTCGTACTGAAACCGCTGTAAGTAGGCCTTCAAAATATGCATTCATACACGAGAAAGGGGCCCATTGAAAACTGCCAAAACTAATTTAGTAACCCAGATCTTTAGATAATAGTCCCTTCACCCCCAAAAGAATATATTATGCGGAGGGGGTCAACAAAGACAGCCGATATAACCAGTGCCAAGGGATCCACTAGGCTGATCCAGGTAATGTTGTTGAACCCCCCCACCAGGGCCGACGCTACCAGCGAAAAACACAAGGGAGGATTCATCATTCAGGCAATATTTGGAGATGGTAGCTGATCAGAATTTCCCAATTAAAAAAAGTCATGAATATCCTTAGTTCCTGCAAATATACCGATTGGTAACAATAGGTTGCAAAGGTCCAGCCGACCGACTTGCCCGTGACGTGATCAGCACGTGATCCCGTAACAGCCGCGGGCGACAGCCGATTGCAGCGGAGCTGCCTTCTTCTAGTCACTATGTCCCTTCCGCTTCTCTTTGATAGAGGTACTTGGAAGATGCTGAATCGGATTTTCTCCTGAGTGTGACATTTTCAACCCATCTCACATATTCCTCTCACAATATCCTTCTCATTTCTCTCAGTCGCATCGCATATCCTTCTCCACCATGGCCTCCTCCCTCCCCGGATTCTCCGCCGCTGGGAGGACGAGGGCGTCTGAAGGCACCACGACAACGAACACCGATTCAGATTACACCTTTGATTACACAGATACTCAGTCCCAACATATGGACAATTCAGATACCGTATTTCTCAACAAAGACACCTCATCTTCGGAAATCGGGACGGATGTGACGGACAAAGGTGCCGGTCGATCAAACCCCGTGGATTCCAATCAAGAAGAACCACGAAAATGTTGGATCTGCTATACCGATGAGACAGAAGACTCACCTTTGAATTCAGAATGGAGATCACCCTGCCCATGTGCCCTTACAGCACATGAAGCATGCCTGCTCGACTGGCTCGCCGACATGGAGAACCCTCGGTCGCGGCGGCGAAATGGGAACAGCGCTAAGATGGTTTGCCCCCAGTGCAAGACAGACATTATTGTCACACGACCGCGCAGTTATATTGTCGACGTTCTGAGTCTGGTTGAGCGCGTGGCGGGGCGCCTGGTACTTCCAGGCATGGTATTTACAGTCGCTGGCACTGTGTGGGCCGGGTGCTGCGCACATGGAGCATATTCGATGTATCTAGTCTTTGGCTCCGAGGAAGCTAAAAATCTCCTCGAGAACAGCGTGGACGGCCCCTGGAACCCTGGAATGAACCTTGGCCTACCTCTCATTCCATTGGTATTGATCTTCTCGCGCACTCGTTATGCGGAAGGTCTTCTACCGGCAATCCCTGTTCTTTTCTTCGCAGCACACAACCCGGGCCAAGAGCCCGACTTCGACCTTTGGCCTCCAACCCCCGCTATGACATTCGCGGCCCTTCCATACGTGAAGAGCTTCTATGGCGCGCTTTATGATCGTATGTTCGGTAGTCTGGAAAAGAAATGGATTGCAGAGGTCCAGCCTCGCGCGGCAGAGGAGATCATGGATGAAGTCCAACAACAGGATCAGGCAGAGGGACTGGGTCGATTTGGCGACAACGCCAACGGCCAAATACTCATGGAAATTGATCTTGAATTGCAGGTAGGAATGGGCAATGACGACGATCTGCTTGAAGCTCCAGCTCTTCCTGCCGCCGATAATCAAAATGGCGCTGACGAAGGCGCCCAGGATGGACAGGTGCAAGGCCAGAATGGACAGGGCCTCGGCCTCGGACGGCGACAAAACGATATCATCCATGAAACAAGCAGCCTCGCGGATGTTGTTCTTGGTGCCCTTGTGTTCCCAGCTATTTCGGCATCGATGGGTGGTCTTTTGAAATACGTCTTGCCCAAGTCATGGACCACCCCTTCCTCTATTCTGGAGCGCAGTCGCCCAGGGCTTCTACAGACTCGCTGGGGACGTAGTGTTGTGGGAGGCTGTGTTTTTGTTATGCTGAAAGACGCGCTCGTTCTTTACTGCCGGTGGAAGTTGGCACAGACACATCGACGACGCAAGGTTCTGAATTACGATCGGGCTAAAAAGCACGTCGCAGGGAAGCGGTAGAACCTGGAGAATTGGTTAGACTTCTCGGAATCCTTTGCTTGTTTTCTTCAAGTCTTGCATTTAATTCACCGTTTGCATTATCTGGCGTTATTAGGTGATTTGGCTTGGTTTTTGTTGGAATCCACTTACACGCATGTCTTTGAGACACTTGATGCCCTTCACGAACCCCTCTCACAAAACATGATACCGTTGCACATTATTATCGACCCTCTTGTCTCCATCCCTTGATACATGGGATTCTATCGCCTCTGGGACCATTGTGGAACCTTTCCTATATTTTTGGTAGGGAGCACAGCATGTTTTACAAAGGGTTTCCAGAAGTAGATATCGAAAACGCTATAATAGCCATTCGAGAAACAGCCAATCCAGTGTTTTGATTCTCATAACCATAAGATACGCATGCCAGAAATCTGTAGCCCTAAGCTGATCGCTGATCGCGACGATCGAAACATGACCCTGACCCTGACATTGGGAGGTTATATGGATAAGCGCGCGGCTAAACCAGAGGCGGCAGGATTCTGCCGTCAGGGAATTCAATTATTCCTCCCCGTACTGGCAGCTCCCGCGTCTCCTACAACCAACGTACACCATACACCACCACAATGCGGTCTCTATCACCGGCTCTCGCGTCCCTCGCGAATGTATTCCGCATCCCCATGTCGCTGAATCCTGTGCGCCCCACGGTCAGCCGGATGTGTCACGAGACCCTGGCGCGACGACCTTCACCACAACCTAGCCCGATCGCTGCGGCCGTGCAACAATCAGCCCCATTCTCGTCCACAAGTGCGCTGGCAAAGCGAAAGGGAGGAAACACCGTTGACAAGCGAATCAGTATGTTTGCACCGTTATTTGGGTTGGATGAATTGCTTCAATTCTCCCTAAACATCCATCATGTCTCGAGCCCCGAGAACCTCATCAGCCGGCATTGTAAAACACAATCAAGACTAACAATTCCACTTAGCTCTCATCCGCTACTTCCTTTACCACCCGCTCACCCCCCGCCCTCTCCGTTTCTCTCGCAATCGCTACCTGCGCCACTGGACAATCCATCGTGCCTGGCAACTGTTCCAGGCCAAGCAGCGCCGCCAGCAAGAACTCGAATTGGAGCGCCAATATCAGGCCATGCAGTCTGCATGTGAGGAGTTGCGTACCTCTGCTGGTGACGGAGGCAGACTGTTCCGCAAATCGATGAACAAGAAGGGAATCTTCACTGATATGTTCCCTATCGAGTACGGCCGTATGCAGACGGATTACCCCCCGCCGAGGGTTGGAACCATGATTGGAAGCGACCTGAGAAGAAATAGAAGACTGGAGGACTGGGCTGTTGTAGGACAATTGTTGATGATTTTGATGGCGTGGCATCTATTACGGCAACAGTTTTGTATCATTTGATCATTTGGCGCTGTGTACAATATGCATTTCTCTTTTCCGCGCCGAGAGCATTGAGCTGCATCTCTGGACGGCCACATTTATATTACTTATTTGCGTTATAAATTTAAGTTGAGTTCAAATCTACCCAGGATGAATTGCATATTCTGGCAAGAGTGAGAGTGAGACTGCATTATGAAGCCCGAGAGCCCAAGGTGATAAGCACAGTGCATTGAGAAAGGCACAGAAAGAGACAGAGATACTACAGGGACCGAAGGGAAAGTTAAAAAAAAAGGGAGTGATCGGTGCGATACTCTTCGGGGAATGGAGACAAGAGATGGATATCCGGAGTTGCACGTGCATGAGAATGCGGAAAAAAGGAATGACGGGAAGGAAAGACATGAAGAATGTACTCCGAGACAATAGATACGGCCGGAGCAGCCAGCGAACAAAAGGCTGACGCCACACTCGGCCCCAAAAAAAACCAGACCAGAACAATCAAGAACGACCCAAACGCCAATAATGCATGATACAGCGAAGTACCCAGTGGAATGCTACAAGCTCATGGCTTGGATTGAAGCGTGACCACCGGACAACTTCAAGTTGAGAGACAACCGAACGCTGGGTTGGAAAACATATTCGCAATGAGACACGTTCCCGTCGTCACGTCGTTATAGAACCACGCAGCAGGAGCTTTTCCGCTTGTCGAAGGTCAGCAGCGCGGCTCGGGTGGCTGCTTCGAAAACATCGTCAACACCTTCGCCCGTCAAGGACGAGCACTCGAGATATTTGCGAGCACAGATCTGGGATCCCGTGTCATTGCCTTCTTTGGCTGTCACGAACTTGAGTGACTTCTTGCGCATTTCTTCAATAGCAAGTGGATCTTCGCGGAGATCTTTCTTCAGACCGACCAGAATGATTGGCACGCCCGGACACCGCTCGTTGGCTTCTTCAATCCACTGTGCCAGAGCTTAGTTAGTGGGTGGAAAAAACCGGCACGTTTTGAGGCCTGGCGACGAACCTTATGTTTGACGTTCTCTAGAGAATCCGGCGAGTCTACAGAGAATCCGATGAGGAGGACGTGTGCTTTCGAGTATGCCAAAGGTCGCAACCGCTCATAATCTTCTTGTCCAGCTGTATCCCATAGAGCCAATTGCACCGAGCGGCCATCTACTCGGCAATCGGTCACGTAGTTTTCAAATACCGTCGGTACCTAAACATCAACAGTTAGAGGATATTGGTGATTTCGGGCTGGGCGATCAATTCAACTAACATAGTGCTATCAGGAGATCTGTCAGCTAAGGTGTTTTTTTCGTAGATAAATGGGAACCCGTAGAACTCACAGTGGGAAAGTAACCGAGGGTGAAGACGCTCAGCAGACTGGTTTTTCCACATGCACCGTCGCCAATGATTACCAGTTTCCTACATGGGTGATGTGTAAATTAGCCTTCCGTTCAGATCACATGCAAACAAATCTGTCACGAGTATAGGAGTGATATTCCCCTCATTCGCAATGGTATCTTATCGCTGATGGCAGTATCTCAAGGCCACGGTAATTGCAGAAGGCACGGGGTTGCTCTGCTACCATTGCGCATGGGGGTATAACGAGTTGTGGGGAAGAAGTCAAGATGGCTGCACGTACCGCCGCATCACATTGTCGTCGTTTTGTTGTTGGGCCATGATTATGGATATCTGGCAAATATTGTTGATGGGAAAAGGATGAGAAGAGTAGATCGCCTTAAAAGTGTCGAGGGAGCGATTATCGAGCTGATCACCCAAGTCGCGAACACGGAAGGTAGCAGGGGTTCTTGGAGTTCAGCCCTGCACACACGGTTTTCCCGCCCAATCGACGACAAGGGGCAGCAAAGAGGATGGTGGCCTTAATGCACCAAAGCAGTTGGCCAGTGACGCAGGGTGCTGGGGGGCAAAGGCGGTCGGGTCGGAGCTGAAGGTCGGGGGATGGTGGGATGGAGTCGATGTCGATGAATTGACCGAGGGGAATCCCGATCTACCGAAGTCGAGTCGGGAGTGATGAGAGAGAGAGAGAGAGAGAGAGAGAGAGAGAGTGAGAGAGATCCGACGGGAGGAGACGGGATAGTCAAATGTACGAAAAGAGAGAGGAGTAAGGTGAGAAGGAGAGGGAGAGGGAGAGGGAGCGAGCGGGAGAGGAGAATGCGGCTAAGTAAGATGACAATAGGAGATCCGGAGATTTAAGGCACTCTCCACGGAGACAGGACGAAGGGTCAGAGGGGGGGGTGGATTACGGGACTAATTGACACACTCGGCAGCTACTCCGTCTGATCGTCCAGCTGTTTTAGGGAAAAATTTCTGTCTGGATGGGAGTTATTTTTAATTTGAACCTTAGCGCTTGAGCGTGTCTCACAGCGCGGTGGAGCAACAACCCAACAGTAACGGACCTGCACCGCCCCCACGATTTAAGTCGGCAGAATAAATGGCGGTGAAGACTATACAACAGATGTGCATACTGTACATGCAATGCATCCCATCATGTGATCTGATCGGATCGGATCTGATCTGATCTCAAAGTGGTGAATTGTTGTCTAGTCAGACAGTACAATCAAAAGGAAAATTAGTTGGTCATGCCTTTAGAAATAAGTTTCAGTGTATAAAAACATTATCTTTTATAAATTGGGAGACTCTCCCCCCCCAACAATCTCTCCAGATGCTTCCATTTCTGTATTTCCTGCATGTATTGCCTGGCCCATCAGGCATCAGCTCGCTTGCGGCGGCTATCCCGTTGCGGCGGCACGACAACCAGCCAGAGGGCCGGAAAGCCCATCGCTTCATCCCATCATCCGCCTTACGATTGAACACCTTCTGCGACCCGCGTTTCCAGGGCTTCGATATCTCCCTGGCCCTGGCCCTGACCAACTGTACCTCTTCCTCCGCGGGTCTCCCTGCGCCCCGGCCTCGTCTCCGAGCGAACACGTCGTGACCCGCCGGGATTATCGCCTTTCGACCCCCTCCTCTGACGCTGACACCAAACTCCTCTTGTTTGCTGCTGCGCGCCACTCCCAACGGACCTGCCGAGGAGCTTTTCGGATTTTTGTTCGCCTAGCGGAGGTTCACCCTTTGTTGAGTTGGTCCTTGCATTGGATTGACCGGAGCTTTGTTGGTAGGTTCTTTCGCTCTCTCCCGCTCTCCGCTTTGGTCGTTCATTCTAGTCACCCCACCCACCTTGATACGAACTCGTTTCTCTAACCGACGACTCTGCGCTGGTCATAAATAGTCATACTGCCGAGGCAGTCGCTCCAAGCTTCATATCCACCATGACGACGCATGTATCGGCCGCTCCGGCGCCATCGACCAACGGTGACGCGCGGGGACCCTTGAGCCATTCAGCAATCGATACCATGTCAACTCCAGCCCCCGCTGTGAATCGCAAGAAGCAAAAGCGCCGACAGAAACAAGCCGCTCGCCTAGATGCTCACTCCCACGGAGATCCTACTGACGTCGCTGCGGCCGAAGATCGACATTCCGACGATGATATTGCGGACCACGATAGCGCGGACTTTGACCACCATGAACAAGATGATGTCTATCGAAATGGAGACCTTGGATCACACTCGCATCCTTCATTGTTGAACGGACCCGATGATCATCACGAACATTTAACCGACCACAAATTCAAGAAAAAGAGGAACAAAAAAGGCCGCTCGGATTCGCACACTCTCGCTGATGGCAGCTCGACACCTCTCTCTACCCCGTCCGCTTCATTCTCTCACCCACCACCGTCGCACTCCCTCCCGTATTCCGCTACCCGTTTCCCCGCCAAGTCCGCCAAAGAGAGCAGTATCTGGAACCAGTCCTCTTTGGAGGAGCGTGAGAATATCCGGACTTTCTGGTTCGAGCTGGGCGAGGAAGAACGCCGTCAGTTGGTGAAGGTGGAGAAGGATGCCGTGTTGAGGAAGATGAAAGAGCAACAAAAGCATTCTTGCAGCTGCACTGTCTGTGGCCGAAAACGCACCGCCATTGAGGAGGAGCTTGAGGTTTTGTATGATGCGTATTACGAAGAGCTCGAACAATATGCCAACAACAACCAAGGCTCCTTCGATGAAGGCGCCCCTATCATCCCCCCGCCTCGATTGTACCAACCACCCCTACGATCACCTGGCCAACATACTCACACCCATGGCCAATTCCACCCATCACGGGGTAGAGTTCAGGAATTACCCGAAGACGACGACGATCTTGAGGACGATTATGACGAGGAAGAGGATGAGGAGGATGAGGAGGAGGAGGATGAAGACGACGATGAGCTTTACAGTGATGACGACGAATTTGAAGACGAGGAGACTCGTGCAGCCCGTGCGGACTTCTTCGCCTTTGGGAATAGTTTGACGGTGAAAGGTGGGTGCACTTATACTCCCTTCTCTACTAAGGGCTAGCTGTTCTAACCATTTGAAAAAATTCCAGATGGCATTCTTACTGTGGCAGACGATCTTCTGAAAAACGATGGCAAGCATTTTATTGACATGATGGAGCAGTTGGCCGAGCGTCGAATGCAGCGTGAAGAAGATACCCAGTATAATATCGCCGCCGCCCACCAATCATTTCATGCTGGTCATAACCACGGCCCTCTCGACGATGAGGACTATGATGATGAAGAGGATGAAGACTATGACAGCCAAGAAGAAGAGGAAGAGTTCGACGAAGACGAGATGGTATGTATTTGCCAAATCTCTGTGTAAAGTTTGATCATGTTAACCAATTTTGTAGGACGCCATGACCGAAGAGCAGCGCATGCAAGAAGGGCGACGAATGTTCCAAATATTTGCCGCCCGCATGTTCGAGCAGCGAGTCATGACTGCATATCGAGAAAAAGTTGCTGAACAACGCCAGAAGCAGCTCATAGAGGAATTATTGGAAGAGGAGAACCGGAATGAGCAACGGAATGCTAAGAAAGCACGAGAAGCGCAGAAAAAGAAGGACAAGAAGCGCTTGCAGAAGCAAGCCAAGGAAGAGGAAAAGTCTCGCCGGGATGCCGAGAAAGCAGCCGAGGAGGCTGCAGCGAAAGCGGCGCAGGAGAAGAAGCTGGAAGAGCAGCGACTGAAGCGTGAAGAACAAAGGAAGAAGCGCGAAGCAGAACGCAAGGCCCAGGAGGAGGAGCGTGCCCGCAAAGAAGCCGAAAAGCAACGTCGCCTAAAGGAAGATCGAGAACGACAAGCCGAAATAGAGCGTAAGCAACGCGAGCAGAAGGAGGAGAAAAAGAAGCGCGACGATGCGAAACGCAAGGAGAGAGAGGAACGAGAAGCCCGAGAGAAGAAGGCCAAGGAGGATCAGGAGAACAAGACTCGAGAAGATCAGGCCAGAAGGGACCGCGACCTGGCCGCTAAAGCCGAACAGGAGTCTAGAGAGAGGTTTGGAAAAGCATTTGTCCAACCCAAAGCTGCATTACATGCTGGTTCTATTCCCCTGATACCGTCGTCTCTTCCGCTCCAAGCTATCCCTGGACCTCTTCAGTCGCCGCATTACTCTGTGGCTTCGCCTGCAGCTCCTAAAGCTTCGACTCCTGCCAGGCCGCGACAACCGTCTCAGCAAGGCTCACACACATCTTCGCCCCATTCACAAACCACTTCCTCCGACTTTCCTTTCCAGCCCTCCATCTCACCACGCTCTTTGGCTCAGTCGTATTCTGGAGCCCCAGGCATTGGCGGGAGACCGGGCCACCAGCAGCATCCGCCTCTACACCATCCTCAACCTTCCGCACCTTTATCTCCGCTAGGTCGCATCAATCCACCTGGCTTCCCGGGACTGGGTAGCTTACCGTCAAACCCACCTGGTCTACCTGGAATGGGTGGTCGACCGATTCCCCCGGACTTGCAAATGTACCCTCCGAATTCTGGGATGATGAGCCATCGTGGGTTTGGCGGCCCGGGTGGAATTCCTGCACCTCCTGGAATCAATGGAGTCCGTCCCATACATCCAGGTCGCGGGTTCCCGCCTGACCTTGGACATGGTCTCCCATTCCCGGGACATCATGGGGCGCCTGGCGCATATCCTATGCAGCAACCTGGCTTGGCCAAGTCTCATTCACGACAACAGTCTGGATCATTTGAGCGCTCTCCTTTAGATTCAGCCGGCCAGCCCTTCCCAATTTCACGACCAAGTCCGATCAAGCGTCCTCCAAGCACCGCGCAGGACCACCATGATGGTGGACATGCTTCTTCCCGGCGAGATGTGGATGATTTAAGTACGCAGCTCGGTAGCAGTGCACTTCTCGATGATACAGATGATCCGTACTCGTCAAAACTCTCCCAGTCGTTGCCTGGTGCTTCTGCGCCAGGACAGTTCCCCCCGCCGTCGAGGGCCAGTTTTCAAGGATCTTCTTTGTTTGCAGAGCCCCTGGGTGAGTCTGCGTGTCAGCACAAATTCCAGAAAAGTGAACTAATTAGGTTACTAGGAGCTAAACATGCGGCTTTTGCAACTGGTCCTGGTTGGGGTGCTCCTGCACCCTTTGGTTCCGCTTTCCCTGGTGCTTCTACCTGGGGAGTAGCGACTGGTAAGCATCACCCTCAAATTACCACTAAAAATGCCACTCACACTTATATAGGGGGGAGTGGCTGGGCTCACAATCACAATGCTTTTGCCGCCGGCGGCCATCATCGCGTTCACACGACTCGGCCTGTTACAATCCGCCTTCTTGTGATTCAAGCATGCAAGCACCTCAACACGATAAACCCCCCAACCGGGCTCGGGTGGCTACCATGATGTGAAGGCGGTTCTCAGTCAGGTTGGACAATTGCGCCCATCTAGCGAGCCCGCAATTTCACTCGGTGAGATGCTCGACATCTGCGACACGGAAGGTAGCCCTCAGAATGGTGGTGGGTCATTCTCCATCAAAGAAGATAAAAATGGCCAGTACGTCAAGTTTGAGCCGGATACCAACAGTGCGATTGGTGGCCACCGAGGTAGCATTGTACCAGGTGATATCGGCAGCCCAATCCCTGGAAACAGCAACCCTGCTGCATTTGGCGGACTTGGCGCGCCCTCTGTATTCAGACAGTACTCCTCTCCCCCGACTGGACTGTTTGGCGGGACTTCCTAATTTCGTCATGATCAGCGAACGGTCCTCGTTTTCATCATGAGCCTGACTTCGAGTTGCAACCTCGGTGACCTTTGTCTTCTTACGCACTTCTTTCCTCCATCTGGAAATGATCCCTGAAATGCCCCTTTACCCTTTTCCTTTTTCTCTTGTCTCTTTTCCTTTTTCTCTTGTCTCTTTTCCTTTTTCGAATTGAAGCGTCACGGATTAACGTCTCTCATCCACACGTCCTCAAATATTTGATATGTTTTCGCTGCTATGGGTTTCATCTGATCGGGTTTTCTTATTTGAATGTGTCCAAGTTGGAATGACTTGGACTGGGGCATCCGGGTTTGCTATTGTGTATGGTATGATCTACTTTTTTACTGGCCTTTCTGCATTATGCAGCGATATCCGTGGGGATTGGGACAATCTCCCTCTCCATCATTGTCCTTGACTCAATTGCATGATCGAAGGTTTCTTCGTCCTATTTTCCCTGGTCACGTAAGCATATTCTCTGTAGATCGAATTTATGATATGCAAGTCGCTGTTTTACCTTTCGCCCGATTGCATCCATGGATGTAGCGATGCCGCGTCGATGCAGTTGTTCAGTACAAGACTACTACTACTACTACTACTACTACTACTACTACTACTACTACTACTACTACTGATGTGCTATCAGAAACACCCGGGAGGACTGTCGATACTAAATGCAAACAACCACGGAATTTACACTTCAAAATAAAGTTCAAGGGTATGGGATTATCCAGAGACGATGGTACAGCTGTATATACTCAAACGAAAAGAACAAAGCATCATGGCAGAGGCCGGCTTCCGGAAAGAAAATAGACGAGACGTTAAAAGAAACAAGGAAAAGGTTAGCCAAGGGAATTAGGAACCAGATTCACTGAGACCAAAATAGCCCTTCATATAGATACAATGGTTTTGCACCCATGATAAGAGAGTATCATTCCGGTTTAAAAAACCCGAGTCCATCAATAATTTGAATCTAGACGAAGAATGACAGGTGATCTGATTTATTGCCGTTCTGTGACGATACCTTCGTAATCTCTAGAGCGGATGTATGCCAGCGTACGCTCAAAATGACGCTTGGGGCCCTCGAGATTAGGATTAGGATCATCTTCGCTGGTTTGCAGATTGGAGTGGATAAGCTCAATGAGACCATTGAGGTACTTTGTGGTGACGTTCTCATTTTGTTGGTCAAAGTAGTAGACGTAGCGGTTGAGAATCTCGACGAATAGCTCGACGGAGACAGCGTTGTCCATGCAGGCATCGGCGACACGAAGGGCTCGTTGGAGGCACTCCAAAACACGCTTCCCATCGCGATAGAGCTGTTGTAGTGTAAGCATCATAACCAAAGATGAGCCAGTGGTGAACGGTCGATCACTTACGTCCTTAGGTTCCTCTTCCTCACGCTGGGGATTCTCGACCACCCACCAAAGGTGGCTTGCAAGATAGACTGCCCGACATTGGTCAGGCTTCTTGAGCAGCTTGCTTCCGTGTAGAGCGGTCTTGGTGATTAGAGTATCGTAATTCTCTTTGCAGAAACCACGAGTGCCTTGCAAAGCACCGGCCACAACACAGACAGCCTGGAATTGGGCACGAGAGTCGCTGATGGAGTCCTCATAGATGGTGAAAGCTTGAGCGAAGAACTCGTAGCTGACCTCCTCAAAGCCTGTTTGGTCGGCAACTTCACCACACATCACGAACAACCGGAGAGCCAGGTCTGCACAGCCTGGGTTCACCCGCTGGTAGAGGTTATTAACGCATTGGTGCATGAACCGATAGAGAACGGAGGACTGCGATTGCCAGTTATCGTCGTAGTGTTCACGAGACTTCAGTTTGCGAGCAAGGCGGATAGAGGCTGTAACAATGGCGGGTGTAGTGTATCGAATGCGCTCATTGCCATCGCCATATGCTTTACGCGTGGCTTGAAGAAGCTGCCCGGGACATGTTAGATGTATAATAAATGCGGTGATGATAGTTCTCATTATCTTACCTTGAGTTGGGTATCGTTCTCCGGTGCTTGGATCAAGTGTACCAATCTTGCAAGCCAGCCTTGCTCCTCGACTGTCTCATCCGTTTCTCCTCCACGGCGTTGGGCCTGTGCTCCGGGATATCCTGCAGATTGCTGCATGCCCTCTTTAATCAATACTCTTGAGACTTGCAGCACACGATCGAGGTTTTCGGTAGTTGTGATAAAGATCTTGTTCTTCAGGAGACTCCGAATGATCTCGCCAGCGATAGATCTCCGGGTGGGATACGACTGTGATGTCAAAAGCGGCAGATAGTGTGGCAGAGCCAAGGCTGTAAAGATAGAGACATAGGCACGGAGTGGGGCGTTAAGGAGGTGAAGTATGTGCTGTTGTGTCGGTGCTGAGTGCAGATCGGCGTGATCGGTGTACTCGGCTGTCTTTTGAGTAGCAAAGTCAAGGACCTGATCAACATACTCTAACTGTCCTGGGTAGATGTTGAGCGCCAAGTTGACAAGAGACACAAGGAGGGCCATGGTATCTTGGATGGGCAATGCCCGCGTCTTGATCAGGTTAACAACCTGTTCGTAGAAGATATCGTACAATTTCACTTCTGCAGGAACCTCGGGCTTCTCTTCTGTCTCGTTCTTGCTTTCATCTTCTTTCTTTGCTGGCTCTGGTGTCTCTTCTGACTTATTCGTTGCCTCGATGCCATTCTCTGTGGAGGGTTCTGGGGTAGCAGTCTTGCCTGATTCGGTCTTCTTCGTCTCCTTCTCGATTTCCAGTTTATGTAACAACCGGGTAACAGCTTCCTCTTCGTTTTCCTTCCTCGTATCTGGCTGGGCATTGGTATCGGAATCCTTTGTTGCATACGTCGACAAGCGGTCCATCAATCCAATGACGATTTTCTTAAGATCAACGTGCGGGTTGAGCCGGGCGATGGCGGACAAGAGCTGATCAAGAGTGTGAAGATGGAATTCATCTGGGAACACCTTAGTAATAACTATTGAACAAGTCAGCGGCTAAGTGCTGGTTTGGACTCCAATTTTAAGCCTTACCTTCCAAAAGATATTCCTGCGCCAGAACGTCGCGGCATTGCACTACCTGTTCTAGAAGCGCTTGTAGAATGCCTGTCTTGTACGTTTCGAGATCCACCAACTGGCTGAGACGGACAACATTGCTGCCCACAAGCAACTCCAGCTCGCGTCTCTCTTGTATCCGGCGCTCGCGTTCTCTCTCGAAGGACCTTGGTGCTGCAGCCGAACCCAGAGCTTATTCATTTCCACAAAATTGGTCAAGACGAAATTGATCGAGTCCTGCAGATTGCCCTCCGGGCCATCGCTGGTGCCCGAGGGGAGGTAGTCTCTCGCCTGGCCGGACAAGTAATATCGCAGGAAGAGGCCACGGATCGGGTGCTGCACACCCCGGCTCATCTCCATCATATCTTTCATAATCTCCTTGACCGGCGCATCCTGGACTGACATATAGACCGTCCCCACAGTGATCATCAAGTATAAGCGTGGAACGATGTTCCCAGCATATTGCACAAGTTCGTATAGGTCCGCAAGGTGATTGACCGGGTGGTTCTCCTTAAGGTAGACGGAGAGGTGTCGCAACGCATCGAAGACCGCCATGTACAATTCATAGTACTGTTTTGGGCCAAGGCTGGGGGTTCGCAATTCGGAAACGAGGGTTGATCTGTCGTGTCGCGCCCCGGGGACGCATCAATTAGTACGCGGGGGGTCATCATCGCGCAGACACCGGAGATGGTTGCCTTGGGGGGGTAGAGAACAGCTTACCCGCACTTCAGCGCGTCCATGAGCTTGCCAGGAGTTTCTAAGCATTTGCGCATCAGGCCTGACTGTTGCCTCACGACTCCCAGGGCCTCCTCGAGGAGGCGGGTTTGGTCCTCGGCGACCGGCGGTGGGCTGGACATCGTGGAGAGCGGATGAGGGGGAGCTGTGGAAACAGAGCAGGCGATAACACCTGGGGTTCAAAGCAATTGTTCAAGCCGAGAGGGACTTCGGCACGGGGCGCTCAGAATTGCAATTCATAAAAGAAAAGGAAGGGTGGGGAGAGCGAAGTAGTGGAAGGGTTGGGAGTGGGAGCGGAGGAAGAAGAGGATGAAGTGTCGAAGTGTCGGGGTTACTAACTAAACTCACAAGCTGAGGTCAAGTCGGGTTAACCTTCCCACAACGTCACTGCCTCACCCTACACCACACCACACCACACCACATCACACCGCAATGGGATCAACGCTCACACTACAACTACGCACTACACATTTACTATTTTCAAAAAGACCATAGTTCTACTCTTTCTCGGGACTACAGTACGAGCCACGTGAGATGAGAAGGACCCAGGTGCACCCTCAAGCCCAGCTTTATCCAAGTTATCTTGGTCTCGTTCGCTGATTGTGATCGCGAACGACTGGCCGAGTCGTTGTAGCTTTTGTAGCTGACCCAAATAGGGTGTGAGAACCGCAATCTCTCCCCTTCCATAAGATCCTTGCCGGACAATGTGCTTGACAAGACAGTGTCATTTCAATCTCAAAATCGTTCCAGTGAGACATTGGAACCGAATCATCCTCGGACAACTGCCCCTCCAGCTAGAATAGACTTTTCTCAACACAGAAGCTTCCGGGTACTCCGAAACACAAGGGTCGTCCTGCAACTGCGGGTACAATGATTCTCGTATCAGTTGAGCGATGGATGGGTGCATCCGGCGCTGCATCTTCAATGTGCTAGAGGGATTCCACAGCTCATGGGATTACTGTCCAAACTAATGAGTCTCTCGAAAAGAGATACATCTAGTGAGTACTTGTCGCCACCTCGTTGGTTCTCCCGTGAAAGGTTGTAGTTGTGAGCCTACGGAGGAAGCTGAAGATCGTTTCCTATGAGGAAAGCTTGTTCCACTGACGGGAGAAAAGCCGGTAGTAAATGGGCTTTAAGGACCTCGCCAGCCTCTTCACACAAAATAATTTTTGGTTGGAGTTTTTGAATCATATCGAGTCTTTGCGCGAGGCCTGTTGTTGTCATGCCGATGACATCCGCTTTGGAAAGACATCGAAGATGATGTTCATCACGAGTACGGCCAATACGCGATTTGATCCCTGCATAGCATTCAAGAGCATGATAGCTTTTTCATTAGTTTCCTTCCTCATCTCTTTTACCCAAGACTCATAAAGCAGATTCCGTTCCTCTCGAGACATATGAAACACACTGCTTTGGTGCAGTTCAGTTACAGGTCGTGCGTTTGCCCTTCGTTCGCCGGCCCCCCTCCATGTTTTGAACAGAGATTTGGAGGTTTTTCCATCTGGGATCCTTCTTTGATTTCTCTAAATAATTGTTGATAATGACCTGGATACCATCTCTGAAGGTGTGCACGGAGGCAGGCATCGGAGACGCTCTGTCCAATATGGAGGTCATCGAATTCATTCTTACATGCTGACAAGTCGACACGTGCTTTGTAGTCCACCCTTTTCCCTATCCTTGCACGGTCTGTTTTTCCTGCTATAGCGCTGAGGGAAAAGCCAGCTAGCTTTTTTGATTTTGATTGTGAACCAAGTCGAATGATTTGCGCGGTGACACCGTGATCGAGTAAATTTTCTAGCAATTGGTCAAGGGCATGGCTAGTGTAAGTTACACAAATAATGAGCCCGATTCTGGAATTCAAATGTTTTTTGTTGTCGAGGAGAACCTTGATGGAGATGCCAGTGAAGCTTTTCCCCGTCCCGGGCGGACCTCAGATTAGGCCAATCTTCCGTTGGAGACAATCAACGAGAGCCTCGACCTGACCGTCATCCAGACTCGAGTTCGCACAAAGTTCGTCCAGATTGACTGGTCCCCTGCTAGGAACAAAGAAATCGGCACCGTTCTTCATCAGGCTCCGAAGATTGAAAGCGAAACCCGACTCGAGAGTGTAGACTGGAGGGTCATTTGGACTTGGATTCCCGTGATTTCTGGGAATCGAAAGGTCTGAAAACGGCACATTTCCAGTTCTTTTCATTATTTGAAGCCTCTTCAACGTCGTTTCAAATGTAGCCAACAGCACGTGAGGGAATTCAAACACGGAGAACCGTCTTGTATTCACACCAAGAAGACCAAGGAGAGCCCGCATATTGGACTCCTCCGAGTCAACGATTGTAAAAGTGGCGTGTGCGTGGGTTTTTTATCGTTCCACAATTCCTGAAGACCGAAATTTTCTTCCATCGCTCGAGCGTTGTTCCTAAGATTTTCTGTGCATACTTCTCTAGCTAGGCCTAGACTAGTCCTTCCTTTTAAGCCAAAGCTAGTATTTCCATGGTCTTAGTCAACGAAGGCTCGGAAAACAAAGATGTTGATAGAGCATGTCGGGATGGGATCAGCTTGGCTTCGGCAATGCGCTCAAAAGCAATGATGTAACCCATTCCGACTGGATACTCTTCTTTGAACCCAATGTCTATAATCTTATCCAAGCACATTTCACGATCTCGGTCAAGCATGACGAATCCAGCCTTCATGAAAATCCACGAGGAGGGTGAAATATCACGGCGTTCCAGTCTGTAAGTCTTGCACATATGTCGGTAGTCAGATTGGTGATCATTCCACCACTTCTCAAGGTCTTCCCAACCTTTTTCTCCGGGGCCGATCCCCTTCAGTTCAAAGCAATCGGCCAAAATAGGCCATTTCACGGACCAAGGACCAGGTACGTCGGTGTCGGCAATATTAAGGGCCTCTCTATTAGCTTTATCCGGGGCTTGAACCGAAAGGTAGATCTCAGATTTGGAAACCAAGTCCTGAGACGCGTCTGTGAAGGTATGGGTGAAGTTGTTTCTGGTTCCGGGGAAGGCGATGTTTGCGCCCGGCCCGTTGATGAATCGGTAAAGCGAGAGATATAGTGCCAAGGGCTCAACAAATGTCATACCAGTCACGTTGGGTACAAATCCTGTATATGATTCAGTGAGAAACCTTGGTGACCGAGAGGAAGGGAGTATCTTATTTACCAATAATCTGGTCCAGGCGAATTTCGCACCACTTCCACGACTTCTCCATAGAAGCCCCCTTGATCAAATCCACTTGTTCGTAGTCAAATATCTCATCCGCGTAGGGAGATGGATGGAACGCGGGGGTTGTCTTCTCTCAAGGGAAGACTGATCTCAATTTGCCCTGGTGCTGGAATACTGCCACACCATAGTTGTTTAAAGGTCAGTCTCTTTTATGGTGTATAGAGCTAAGAAAGCTTACATCAGTGCCAGTTTGGAGAACTAGAAACTCTAGGTGGCTGCAAAGTGTATCGGTCAAAGGGACGGCATTGTAGGTCATATTTTTGTTGATGCTTTTGATGTCCATGACATTTTCGCTGTATGCAGTGGCGTCGGATTATGCTATTTTTTCAAAGTTGGTTAATAAATAGGACACATGGAGATATTTGGTCATATAAAACTCAAAGTGCAACACATACCACAATAATACATATGTGGAACCTGATTCAGGTTGTGAACTCGTTCCTGCATCTGACTCTTAACAGTATCCAGGTCTGTACGGAGATCTACCCCCGAGTATAGTTCGAGACGCGGGTCTTGTGGTAAGTCGCTCTCGACAATTGTACGTGGGCGATGTGTCAAGCCGATCACCCGGTCAAAGGCTGTAGGAGTAGGATAGGGGAGCAAGTTTTTAGCTAGAGCCCATCCAGAAATGCCACCGGCGCCAAAAACCAGCGCAACTTCATAGTATCTGCCATTTAGATACGTTTCATTGCGATCTCGTTGTCAAACTTCAAGTGAAATTTGAAATCAGCCTCAGATAGGGATTTGTTTCTTATTTTAAGCCTAGGTCCTTCTAGGTAAGCCGACCAAGGCCAATAACTAAAAATTTGGGCACCGTGCCCCGTTACCTTGAGCCTTGTGCGGCGTGGATCTTTCAAAATAACAGCTTGCAACTTGACCTGATCGCGGGTGAGTGGGGGCCAAGAATGAACCACTTGACATGTAGCCTACAAGCTATTTGCTTCCAGTTATAGATTAAATTGACCTAAAAAGCTCTGGTGTTCGAAAACCAAACCGGGAGCATGTGTGGCTTTCAATAGTCTTTGGACAAGCAATATGGAAACAGGGCACGCTCCAAGCCCCACTATAGGCTTGGCATCTGTGCGCAACTGTATGGAGTATCTAACATCTGCGATTCCTCAGGATGGGAGATTGCCATACCCGAAGCTTCCAAAGCTATCCGTAGATAGAACCGGTTGTAGAATCGGCGGGGTGAGGGAACCTGGAATGTCGGAGCCTATTTCGCAGGTATAGAGCTGGGGGTTTTATGGAACTTGGAAGCCAAGCTGCTAGACAACTGCCTTCAAGGTCATTGATTTCGAGTTTCGCGACTGCAAGCAATTGCATTGCAGACATTCGCTACAGAGCCCACGGAGAAGAATGGATTCTACTGTAGACAGCAAGGCAGTGGAAGACTTCCTCAAGTTTGAACTTATAATTCGAGTAAATGAACATTATATACACACACACGGAGAACGGCGGCATAGGATGAAGAAAAACCCCGAAATCGCGACACAACAACCACAATGCATGTCTGGTAGAATCCCCCAACGAGGCAGCCCGGGGAAGGAGAGAATCAGGTAAACAACGAAAACAAAACCGAGCATCTCGTCTATCAGACACCGCAGAATTTTTGCCATGCCATGTTCAACCATGGCGACGGTGTGGTGGTTTTTTTTTTTTTCTTAATTTAAAAAAAAAAAAATTTGATTTCTTCCTTGTGTTGAGGAAATTCCGGGTTCGATCAGTCCCAATTGCTTTTGGTGAACCGGCCAAGAAAACGCCATGGATATCAGTGGGAAAAAATAAACGACGGCCAATAGGGACAGGCATCCAGGGCGGTGCGGTTAGGATGCCAGTTTGCCTAGCGTGCTTTAATCGCGGTAGTTGACAGCGAAGTCGACGTTACGCTTGCGCATAACTTCCTTGCGGTCCTTCTCCTTGGCTGTGAGGATAGTTAGTAATTGAGTTTTGAAGTGGTATGTTGGAATCACGAGTTTTCTTACCTTCGTCGTAGACCAGGAACTCGTGCAGACCATGGCCGGCAGGGACCATGGGCAAGACGGGAACCTTGCGATCGGTGATGACCTCCAGAAGGGCAGGGCCATCTTGCTCGATGAGCCACTTCAGCTTGGACTCAAGGTCAGAGGTCTTGGAGACGCGCTCAGCAGCGACGCGCATAGCGCGGGCTAGAGGAACGAAGTCAGGGTTCTGCTGGTGAGTGTGGGAGTAGCGGTCCTCGTAAAATAGGTTCTGCCATTGCGTGACCATGCCCTGCTCCTCGTTGTTAAGCAGGAGAACCTTGACACCGATACCGAACTGAGCAGCGGTGGAGAGCTCAGTCAGGGTCATGTTGAAAGAAGCATCACCATCGATATCGATGACCAGGCAGTCGGGGCGAGCGACCTTGGCACCGATAGCGGAGGGCAGACCGTAACCCATCGTACCAAGACCACCGGAGGTGATCATGGTACGGGGCTGGCGCCAGCGGAAGTGCTGAGCGGCCCACATTTGGTGCTGACCAACACCGGTGGTGATGATGGTCTTTTCCTTAATGTCGGCGGTCAAGTTGCTGAGGGTCTCAATTACGGCCTGGGGCTTGATGGGGCCGTCGGCGGACTGGCGTTCGTACAGAGATAGGGGGAAAACGAGCCTTCCAGTCGTTGATCTGTTCGAACCACTCAGTGCGCTCGGGAACGGCGTTGACCTGAGGCAAAAGAAGGCGAAGGTTATCGGCGCAGTCACCCTCAACAGCCTCGGTGGCCTCGACGACCTTGTTGATGTTCTTGGGCATGATCTCGAAGTGAACGATACCACCACGGCCCTCAGAGGCAGCTAGCTTAGCCTGGGGGGCGAACTTGGGGATGCTACCAGTGACACGATCGTCAAAACGGGCACCAACGGCGATGATCAGATCGGCCTCCTGCATGGCCATGTTAGCGTAGGCAGAGCCGTGCATACCGAGCATGTGCAGAGACTTGGGGTCCAGCTCGTCGAATCCACCAAGACCCTGGAGGGTAGTAGTGACAGGAATCTGGACCTTGTCCGCAAGCTCCTTCAGGACCTGAGGGCCATCGGGGCGGGCAAGAAGACCCTGACCAACGTAGAGGACGGGCTTCTTAGCGACGTTGACCAGGCGGGCGACGCGAGCAACGGTGGAGTCAAGAGACTTCTTGCTCAGCTCACGGGCAGCCATGGTGGCAGCACTGGGGAGAGAAGGAATGGTGCTTTGCATGGGGATCGGGTTGCGGAGAATGCTGGCGGTAACATCCTTGGGGAGGTCAACCAGGACGGGACCGGGACGGCCGCTAGTAGCGATCTCGAAAGCCTCCTGGATACGGCGGGGCAGCTCTGCAACGGACTTGACCATGACGTTCCACTTGGTACAGGCGCGAGAGATACCAATAACATCAGCCTCCTGGAAGGCATCGGTTCCAATAGCGCTGGTAACGACCTGACCACAGAAGACAACCATAGGGGTGCCATCAGACATGGCATCCTGCATGGGGGTAATTGTGTTGGTAGCACCGGGACCGGAAGTGACGAGAACAACACCGGGCTTGCCAGAAGCACGGGCATAGCCCTGGGCCATGTGACCGGCGCCCTGCTCGTGCTTGGGGAGAATGAAGTCGAAGTGTTTTGAGTTATAGATGGCATCGAAGACGGGAAGAATGGCACCACCAGGGTAGCCGACTGTGATAGCAAGGTGAGTCAATTGGATCCATTGGTATGCAAAAGCAGGGAATATATGATGACTTACAGACGTGCTTAACGTCCAGGCGAAGCATCATCTCGTGGAAGATTTCACCACCGCTCATGCCAACCATACTGTGTTACATTAGCCTCCCGGGTCCATTGAAGTGGTCCGCAATTTATTTCGTGCTGTGGCCTATCGAGACCAGGATGGGTGAATCGAGAGACACCTACGAGTCATCGAGCTCAGGGAGCTGGCGGGTTTGCAGAGGAGAGACCTCATTGCGGTGAGGTTCTTGGTTGAAGGCCGGGCTGGGAGCAGGCCGAGAGCCCCTAAGTCAATGGTGTCAGTAAAGCTAGAGTGATTAAAACACCAACCATCCGACTTACGAGGTGGCGGTCGCCGTGCTTTGGGACCGTTTCTGAGGAGAAGAGCGGTGGGGCGACGCAGCCGAGGCCACGAACGAGGTCGAGAAAGACCGACGGGCAGAGATCAGCTGCCTCTGGAGGTGAATGGAGCGCCAGGCGCTATTTGAAGGTCTGAGAGGCATCATCATGACCAACGACAGCCCAGGGAGTGAGTAGAGAGGTACCGCGAGGGTAGAGAAATGATAATTGCCCTTGCCGTGAATCTTCCTGGGGACGAAAATCGCCTTAAACCAAAACCGACCGCTCTGACTCAAATTTCGGTCTTTCTGATTGGTCCGCGTTGCCTCCGCGCTCCGACCTCGGCGAGTCACGTGTGTCAGTTATCGTGTCACGTGACATGATCCGATGCAGTGCAGTATACAGCACCGTCGTAGCAGTAGCAGTAGCAGGTAACAACCGTTTGGGAAGGAGGTTCCGTAGCCAGCAGCATGGTGATCGAGCTTGTACATAATAGAGTAAGAGTACGAGTACTTGTACCAGTGGATCTACAATACCCTGGTTGGTTAACCGGGTCATCCATTGCCCGCCTCTGCCGATCGTGTTTAGCCGACATGACGGGTATTCTGTCCATAATTTCTTTTCCCGAGTGCGATGTGGATTGTCATCCCGATTTCTACGGAAAGCCGGGCGGGGCGAGCTATTCGGCCCGGTCTACAGACTGTGCAACTGCAACTGCAACTGCAACCTGCATTTCAAGATCCGAGTATACCAGATCTTGCCAGATCTTATACCTTCCAGCAGTACGAGCAACCTTGGAAGTATTGGGTCAAACTTGAAATATATCAGCTTCCCTTGTGAGATGGAGTACGCTGTGTACATATAGTACGCTAAGTATGGCATCCATGACATAGCATCACCAATTTGAACGCCACTTACATCTCCTGGCAACAATACTCCGTAGACAATGGACAATGGACAAAGGCCCCTGCGTCCCCGCAAGGTCGACTGGAAAGGGACACCGGGGGATGAAACCTTCCCCACCAAAGGTATTTTTCCGGGGACTTTCTTCGCGGGGCTTGGCTGCCATCATCGTTCCGTTTTGGGTTATAACCCCCCGCCATTTTTTCTGGAGGACTCTTAGTACTAGTACCACCACCACTACCACCTTTGCTTTCCCTCTCTCTCAACTTCTTTGCTTTCTTTTCTTTTCTTTTCTTTCCTTCTTACGGATCCCCCAAAAAGAAGAATCTTTACCCCGCCATGTCTTCCCCGGAACTGGTCCCACAAACCGAGTCCATCGCCGAGGTTTATGCCACTGACGATGCCTCCGTCAACTCGGTTGCGCCGGAGCACCAGCAGCGCTGGTCTGCTCTCATTCAGCAATTCTACAAGCAATATAACCACCGTCCCGATTTTGTCGCTCGCAGCCCTGGTCGTGTGAACATCATCGGCGAGCACATTGACTATTCTCTCTACGATGTCCTACCTACCGCCGTCAGTGTTGACGTGATTATGGCCGTCAAGGTCACCCCCGCTGCCGCCTCCGGCACCACCATCAAGATTGCCAATGTGAACCCGGAAAAATTCCCCACGCGCGAATTCTCCGTACCCCACGATTCCGACATCGAGATCGACCCCAAGAAGCATGAATGGATTAACTACTTCAAGGCCGGCCTGCTTGGCTCCTTGAAGTTCCTGCGCAAAGAAAAACCCGATGGCACACTCGTCCCCGCCAGCATGGAGATCCTGGTCGACGGAAACGTTCCCCCCGGTGGTGGCATTTCCAGCAGTGCTGCTTTCGTCTGTGCCTCTGCGCTGGCCGTCATGAAGGCCAATAATCACAATGTCTCCAAGCAGGATCTATTGGATCTGGCTGTTGTTTCGGAGCGCGCAGTCGGTGTGTACTCTGGCGGGTAAGTATATCTCTATTTCGACCCCCCCCCCCCCTCCTCCTCCACAAGACAAAAAAAATGCCGACCAAATGAACTTCTACAGAATGGATCAAGCTGCCTCCATCTTTTCCAAGCGCGGATACCTCCTCTACACCCAGTTCTACCCCGCCTTCAAGGCCGAGCATGTTCCCATTCCCACTGCCGCCGACGAAATCACCTTCCTCATGGCCCAGAGCTTCGTCACGTCCAACAAGGCCGACACTGCTCCCTGCCACTACAACCTGCGTGTGGCAGAGTGCACCCTCGCTGCCGTGATCCTGGCCAAGAACTTCGACCTCACCCTCCCCAAGGACAACAGCTCGCTTGGCTACAGTTTGCGCAACTTCCAAAACCAACTAATGACCAAGGAAGGCCGTCTGGGCGATCCTCTCGAGTACCAGATTGACTCCGTTATCCAGGCCACCCAGGACCTCTTTACCAAGGAGGAGGGCTACACACGCGAGGAGATGGCCCAGCTCCTCGGCACCACAGTCCCGGAGCTGGAGTCCAAGTTCCTCTCCGCATTCCCTGTCCAAGCTGATCGTTTCAAGCTGCGCCAGCGTGCTCTGCACTGCTTCAAGGAGGCGCGCCGGGTATTAGATTTTAAGGCTTGTCTTGCCAATGCGTCCAAGCTGGATGAGAAGCGCATTAAGTACCTGGGTCAGCTTCTGAACGAGTCGCAGCAGTCTTGCTTCGCTTCATACGAATGCAGTGCTCCCGAGGTGGATGATATCTGTGCTATCGCGCGACGTGCGGGCACATGGGGTAGTCGTTTGACTGGTGCTGGCTGGGGTGGTTGCACCGTACACATGTTGCCCCAGGGCAAGGTTGAGGCAGTGACGACTGCCCTGCGCAACGAGTACTACCTGAAGAAGTTCCCCGATATCAGCCCCGAGAAGCTGGAACAGGCTATGGTTATCAGCAAGCCTTCCAATGGCTCATTTGTGTATGTCTTCTCCACCCCCTCCACCCCCGGAGGTGGCTCATTATTTTGAATCCAAGACTAATGGTGGGTTTGTTTCAGGATTGCCGGCGCTGCTATTGATGGAGTTGCTCTTTGAATTGCATAAGATATTTCCAGCCTACTTTCGTTGGTCTGCAGATTATAGAAAATCTAAAATTATTTCAAGCCCAGATCCTTCCGTGGTGCCCTGTTGCACGCTTCGTGAATTACTTGACAGTAAATTTCCAGGTGTTGACAATTATATTCGAGTTATGCAAGCTCCGATATCGCATACAAGTCAATGTGCCTGCGCATACCTCGGGCCGGACATTGAAGTGCCAAGAAGAGTGCACCGTTCTGCCGTTGACCCTGCAAGGGGGTACTGCAAGGTACGCTTGGAAAGCTTCGGTGCTTTGAGACGTTGCGGCGGTCGAGACTTCAAAATTGCCAAGTACCGCAGTTTGGTAACGTGCTGCGCTTTCAGAGACGCGGCGCTTGTTTGCTGCATAATGCAGCGCTGCTGGGGAAGGATTTGCTGATCACAATATGAGAATCAGGTCTTCTGTTTAGAAGCAGCCTTCCCGAAAAAGTCGCTCATCTTCTTCATGCCGGTCGTGTTGACCTTCTTCAGATCTCGAATGCCACGAGATTCCATAGCCTTGGCCTTTTTATCTTCATCATCCTTCTTGCGTTTTTTCTCCGCGCGAGACTCCACCTCCTCGTCGTCCAGACCGCGCTTGCGACTGAAGTCGGTCAGTGTACGCGACGCAAGGGCTTCAGCGCGGAGCGCAGCAATTTCCTTGATGCGATCTGTCAGGGGCTTGAAATCCAGAGGGCTCTCCGGGGATGCAAGCATCTCATCGATTCGAGAGCAAAGGGAGGCTGGCAGATAGGAATCTTTCATGAACGTCAAAGCAGTGGAGACTCGTTGCAAGTGAACGATCTTGTCTGAGGTAGAGTTGTCCGTGGGTGGCTGAGGAGCTGGTGTAGATTCGCTTGCTGGCGTTGACACGGACGGCGTCGTAGACGTGGCCGCTGTTGACGGAGAGTCCTGTCCCTCCTCTGACTTGGAGCTTGCATCTCCATTGGAAGGTACTTGACCGGTGAGGGCATCCTCTCGCTTGACCGACATGAGTGGCGGGGCCAATGGCTGGCGAACGAAGCGCTCTTCCAAACTGGCAGGTAGCCCTTGAGTCGCCAATCGATCTGCCTTTGCGACCAGTTCATTGAGCAGCTTTGCTTCGTTGAAGCGCAGCATCTTCTCATCCCCAGCCTCCACGGTATCACAAATCGCTTGCGCGCGTGCTAAAAGGGTGTTGCGGAAGGTGTCATCGTAGAGAACATTGCGGAGATGCTGTGGTAGGTCGTCGTTTGAATCGATGATATCGTCCAGTGGTTGGAATAGCGATTGGCCCGATTTAGAGGTGGCATTGAAGAGGGCAATTAAGAAGAAGATAGAGTCAATTGGAGTTGCCACCAAGAGTTCGGCCTTCTTCGCAATTGAAGCTGTCTGGGTGTCGGTCTCTTCGTCTGGTGACGCGGTTGTCGTTTGACGCGTGCGAGGAGTGAACAAAATGCTGCGAGGCGATATAGTAGGCGAGGCGACCACGGTAAACTCGTAGATACCGCGCTCCGGACAGAAGAAGTAACGGGTGAGCTCGCCCGACTGGGGATTGGGAAGGGAGAGCAAGCGCGCATTAGCACTGGTTGAGGATGGAAGGATGAAAGTCTTGCTAGGCTTTTCAACAGTGGTTAATTTCTTCTTCTGCTCGACCTCAGGCATCTCTTCAATCGCCTTTGCAGGCGCAGATGCTCTTGTGCGAGGCATTTTGGGGGAGGATATAGTGTGGAGAAGGAGGGAGAGAGGTGAAGGTGTGTACGGAGTAATATGTAACTTGAAGTGGAAGGTGCCGCGGGCAGACGCGCCCCGACGCGCGCGGATCGGGATCGGATCATGTGCGGCCAATGCCATGCAGGATCCCTCACATTCGTAAAGTCGCCCTTCTTGCCAATCCTTGTTGATTCAGAACTGAGCCTTTCAGGGTTTTCCACACCCCTACGGACTGCCAGAGCTGAATATTTACAACTGGCTTTCGCAACCTATATCTCCAATTTGTGCGCGTGGCCGTTGAAGCGGCAAGACCAGCGGGGAATGACGCTCCGTGGTGATCGCTTCCTATAAAGATACCCGAATCTCGACATAAAAGTGAGTCTTTTTCGACAACTGGAGAGGCAGAATGGTCTGCTAACTGGCCTCTTTTTCTTTTCTTCAGTGGTTGACAGCGCGTGGCCGCCCAAGTCGCCCCGCGACGCCCTCCTCAGCTCGCCTGGGGGCCGAAGGAAGTACCAGGACATGCGCCGAGAACTTCAACCATCTCCCTTGAAACGCTCCAACACCACTCCTAATTTCCGATCAAAAGCTAGTCAAGTCTTGGATGAAGGCGAAGACGAAGATGGAGAGGAAGGAGAGGAAGAAGACGAGGAGACTCTCCAATTGCGACTGGCCGAAATCCAGGCTCGTCTCAAGCTAAAGCAACTGCAGAAGAGCCGAGGCCGATCCGATAGTGCGACTTCTTATATCGAAGAGGGAGAGTAGAGACGCACTCGGCCAGCCTCTGCACTTGCGTCATCTTCACGGACCATCTCCCATTTTTCCGAGCTGAGAAGCCCACAAAGTAAACCGCAGAAAGCACGCACCGATGAAGTTCAGGTTCCGGTGTCGCCTCAGAAGCGAGAAGCCCCCGCGCCAGAGCCTTGGTCTCCGCGAAGGTACCAGATGGGCATTGACAAAGGCTGGAAGGCAAACGATGTGTCGCTTAAGCGACCTCCGCGGCCAACGAGCCAACTCGGAACAAGAAGTGGCGCAATGTCCCGTCCTGGCGATGTTTACTCGCCCAGGCCACAGACGTCGCCCGGGGGTGGAGGGATAAACAGAATAAAAAGTTTCAGTGAGCGCATGGCGGAAGGTCGAGCCACGGAGAAGTCTCGCCTAGAGCGAGCAGAGAGAGCAGAGAGAATCCAGGCAAATCGAAGCTCAGCATTCCAGCTGAATGAAGCTGAGATTGAAGCATTCAAGACCGCAGCTGCAAATGAAATGCCACCGCCTGCACAATCTACTCATCGGCAACCGGAAGTGCAACATTTTAGCCGCGAGGAAATCATGCAGTCTCTGGCGAAACCCGGAGGTGTAAAACGAAGCCAAACAACTCCTAATCTGAAAGATCCCCCCCGGCTCGAACAAGAAGCCAACTAACGTGCGCCATCATTTTACTCAATCAGGAAGGACTTCGCCATACAAAGATTCCTGCCAAGATGAACACGCCGCTGGAGAAGCTACCAATCAACCAGACTCTTCTAAATTCGAATCTTACTCCGGCATGCACCTGACAAACCGCATCCTACCTCATTCTTTCTTGAGCCGCAACTTGAGTGACAAAAAGGTTCTTCGTATACCCGATCTACTAAAGGTGGTCAAGGCACCATCCTTCGAGCTCCCCGAGGAGATTGATACGGACTTTGTCGTGTTTGGGATACTTGCATCGAAGTCTGATCCGAGGCAGATCAAGACCCCAGCAAACAGCACCAAGAAGGAGGTAGACCCCTACGACGAGGGACGCAATAATACCGATAAATATCTGGTCTTGACCCTGACCGATCTGAAATGGACTATCGATGTCTTTCTTTTTGAAACCGCGTACACTCGCTACTACAAAATGTCAGAGGGAACACTCGTTGCGATTCTGAACCCTACGATAATGCCTCCACCAAAGCATAAGTTGGATACAAACCGATTCAGTTTGTCTTTGAATTCTTCAGACGATAAAATTTTGGAGATTGGCTATGCTCGGGACATTGGCTACTGCAAGGCCGTACGGAAGGATGGCAAGAATTGCCAATCCTGGCTGGATGCGCGGAAAACTGAATTTTGTGAATTTCACGTTGACATTCAAGTGCGGCGCACTCAGGGCAAGCGCATGGGAGTCAACTCCAACACGGGTTATGGCCCCGGTGGTCGATCTGGCTCACGGATCATAGACGCGGCGGATAATTGCAGTGGTCCGAACCCTACGAGCTATCGAAGATCTTCGACGGTTCGAGATCCTGGCTCCAAGAAAGACTCGAAAAACCCTGGCGCCCAGTATGATGGAGAATCTCAGTCACTCTATTACGTGGCGCCGGCTGCCAATCGCGGTAATCGCACATCATACCATCATGGCGCTGCGAACGGATCGGCGGCAGCCCTGATTGACGCTCATGACGACCCATTCCTTGCTTCGGGCATGATAGGGCGCGGCCAGGAGAGCAAGGAACAACGAATGCGGCGACGCTTGGCCACTCAGAAGCGTGAACTTGACATCACACGCAGGCTTGTCACAACTCGTGCTGGCCCTGGTGCAGATTATCTTCGAACCCGAACTGGTAACGAGACTTCTCAAAAAGGCGAGACGCCAAGCACACCAAAGTCTCAACCCACAGATCATGGTTTCAACCTTTCTACCCTGGGCATGGCAAAGAATGTTCGGTTGAGCCCCCAGAAGCGTGCTCATGGCAAACCACATGGAAGCGGCGTCAAAAAAACTCGGTTCATCACATCAAAGGGGATTAGAGAGGCTGGGCGGGAAAGCTTAGGAGCTGGAGCTGAGGCAGCCCAGGGAGGAAGACGGGTTTTGTCAGATGATGACGATGATGAACTGGATATCATTTGATACCGGAGAAAGCTGTGCAATAAGGGAAGCCTGTATTCTATCCACTCTGTCCTACTCTAATGCGTCACGAAATAAAAGAGGCTCTTTCGTCCCATGCGGTATTCTGAATAAAGGGCGGACCCGTAGAACAATGCTTTTTGAAGACCATTTACCTCTTCTCGTAGTTCCTGATAGTTCGCCCCTCTAGTTCCCATTCCATGATTCGCAACTTTGGTTGATATCGATGGATCCGTTCATCTGGCCAACCCCTCCAATGCAATATGCTTTTGGTCAGAATATAATTCATGCGTCTAGTTTTCTCGGGCGATGTGAATGGACCGCTTGAGCCTCTTGAGGCTTTCTATGAGCGGCCATCGGAGCCGGGCCAGTCAAATAATCCGACTTTGGGCAAATAGGGTATTCCAAAATCGGTGGAAAGAAATGGTTTCAGGAACCGTATTTCGAAGTCAATTGGGGGGGGGGGGGGCATGAGTACTAGTATCGACTCGATGACGAGTGCGAGCGATGGCTTGCTACAAGATACCACGACAACCGTTGAACCACGGCTTCAATCTCACATTATGACATTCCAAGGTTGGAGACCATGTCCAAATAAGCTAAGAAATGAGTCACACTAGGCCCTATATGCATTTACGTGCAAAGGGGATGATACGAAGAAAGCGAAAGGAACAAGTACTACTCTTGCAGTATTGTGTAAGACCATCATGAGAGGGTTCATTTAAATCGGAATAGTAGTCACTTCAACCAGTCTGTTATATGTGGAAGCATCTCCTTCAACAAGGACGATAAGACCAATATGAACAGAGCAGCGATAAAGTAACCACAGAAAGAGTGACAAAAAAAAGAACCACTATGAGCCCAAACGCCTCACACCCTGCCATCCCAGAAAGTCCCAGAAGCACATGATACCTGGTATCCCATTTTCCCACGCCACAACGCACGCGCTGGAGAAACAAAAAAAAGAGAAGCGCACATGAGTCATTATGGATAGGAGCAAATCGAATCGCAAAGTAGGACCGAAGGAAAAGGAGTATGAAAGCCAAGCAAAAAATAAAATAAAACAAAACCATGAGTATCTGCAGCAATTCGCTGTGCTGTAATAATGGTTGCAATCCATGCTCCAGAGTGAGAAAGGTAAAATGCAGTCACTCGGGGTGGCAGAGGAAGAATGCAGTGAATAGAAGAATAAGAAGACACCGCTCAGTCAATGCATCATCATATGTTGGATATGCTGGCTTTCTGAAACAGAAGATCATGTGAACTTAATCAACGACGAAGACACTTAAGCGGACTGAGACTCGGCGGCCGCGCGAGTGCTTCGAGTCTTCTTAGGAGCAGGAGCTTCCGGGCTGCCAGAGCGCAGTTCACGCTTCGTAGGAGAGGTACCCTGAGACACAGTCTCATCGGGCGTGGGCTTCTGGCGTAGCCAATGATCGAATGGGCTAGCACGCTTGCGCTTGTTGTCAGAGATCAGGGCTGTGGCCGTTGGCGTCACATCAAGCTCGCCACCGTAGCGAGCAGCCGAACGAAGGTTGCGGTTACCGCCGGGAGCTCGAGGAAACTCTGGAGACTGGGGAGTGTAGGGAGACTTGGACCCCTTGTGTATAACCTCAACCTCAGCATGGCACTCATCGTCCGTGGCTTCTTCCTCGATCGGAATTTGGGGAGCTGCCTGGGGCTTTGGTGCAGCCTCAGCAAAGAGGCGACGAGGTCGGATAGAAGAGCGTGTTAGAGACTTCACACCGCTAAGATCGGCGTCTTGCAGCAGATCAGGACGGGCGGCGAACAATCCCAAGTCGTCGCCCTCATCAGAGGATTCTCCAAACTTGTTGAAGACCTTTTTACCTCGACTGGGAGAGAGGTCTTGTTAGTGAACGTACTTTCCAAAATGATTCCATGAAATGATAACTCACAAGATCATTGTCATACCACCAGCACGGGCGATCGCATCATCCTCGGTAAATTCATTATCATCACAGCTGTGAAGTCTGTTAGCGTTGGGTGCAATTAAAAATGGGGATAATTTGCGACAAACTCACTCGGTGAGATCATCGCGACCATGCTGATCGTGTTCATCGTATTGCTTATACCGCACATTTCCATCGTTAGGCTTGTCCTGTTTGCGAGCACGCTTTCCAGTCTTGGGTGCTTCGACAGAACCAGAGGACACGGTCTCTTCGATCTTCGCATTAAATGGAGTTTCCATATCGGTAACTGGCTTAGGAATCTTGTCACGGGAATCTGTGTATATTTGGATTGTCTTCGAAGCTGGAGCTTCAAAGCTCTCCAGCGACAAGGGAGTGGACTTCTTGGGGCGTGCCGATGATTGCGTTGGGAACAATGTCCGAGAGGCAGATGAAATATCAGAAGAAGAAAGTTTCCGTTTGGAGGGAGTTTTTGCAGGAGTGGGTAAAGCTTGATTCACTGTTGGGCGAGATCGGGGGTTGGGCGAGTGAGAGGTGCGGGAGGAGAGGTCGTAATCGTCAAAAGCAATAGACGGGACCGAGGCACCCGTACGTTTCCGAGTATATGATTTGGAACTTTTGCCTGGAGCAGAAAGCATCTCATCCCCATCAACTTCTAACGTCTGACACTTCCGCACAGCTTGCTTCGACCGGGCCTTATTAGGAGAGCTAGGGCACACAGGTTCTGAAGTCTTATCGGCAACTCTTGATGTCCGCTGGTTGGCAATTCTGGCTGAACACCTGGTAGGATATGGCTCATATTGATCATAACCAGAGCCATGACGAGGCGCGGCCGGAGTACGCAGAGATGACGGCGAGGGCGGGGGAGGAGTTGCAGCCATGTTGAACAAAGGAATTTGACGGACGACCAAAGACGTTTTTTGCGCCAAATTCACACCTTTTACAGTGGTTTTTTGACAAGGGGTCGGACCAAGAGTGACACGGGGATCGGGGTTTGCGTTGGGATGAACTGGAACAATGGTGGGACGCTGTTCGAGGAATCTTTCGAGATTGATGATGAGTCGGACGATAATTCAAGAACGAAGGGAATCGAGTACTTGACACAAGCGACACAAAATTTCAATGCGAAGACACGGGTGAGAGAGTTGCAGAGGGGATTCGTGAAAAGAAGGGATGAAGTCCATTCAAGGGCGCGGCATGTTTTGGCGCCCAGAACGAGGTGGCTGGTCACGAGGCGGTGAAGAAGCTACCGCCTCATTTCATTCGCCCCGCCCCGCGATTCTACACCTACTGGAGCACTACTCTTCTTGTACGGAATACTCTATTTTGGATTCACTGCAGAATTTCCGTGGGTCCTACCAACGTTCTCCCCTCCCATTCGTCTGTTGGTTTCAGGGGAACCTTTGGGGACCAAGGTCGGGCCGACATTGCCTTTCTGTTTGTTGATTTTGTTTGCCAATCCTCGACTTCGCCAACCAGAACCTACTCCCCCCACCACAAATTTGACATTTTATTATGGCCGTCCGATCTACCGCCGAGGAAATGGAGAGGCTTCAGCTTTCCGATGAAGATACCGAGGACCTCTGGGATTCTCCTTCTAAAAGGCAAACACGCCAGACCTTCAAACAACGATCCTCTGAAGAGCACATTGCCCCCGAACCTCGGCCAATCCAGGATAACAGCGACAATGCGTTTGATCGCGAAGAAGCCCGTGAAGCCGCTCTTCACCACGAGCTCCAAAGTGTGCGAAACATCAACGAGGTTCTTGAAGGGTTGCTTGGGAGTATTGATCGGGCCAAAGGAAATATGGAGGTATGTCCAACCTTTCCGATCGATCATAGAAATATCTATCTAACCTTTTTCAAGACTGTGTCAAAAACAGTCACCTCCGCCTCAACTCTCCTCAACACATGGACCCGGATCCTGTCGCAGACCGAACACAACCAACGGCTGATTTTGAACCCCAATTGGCAGGGTGCAACACAAGACGTGGCCGATATAGAGAATGAGGCTATTGAAAAACAGCAAGCGGCAGAACGACGGGAACGGGCACTCCAGGAACAACGTGAGGCAGCAGCACGTCGGGCAGAGGAGGAAGAACGAAGACGCGTCTTGAACCCCAAAGCCGGCCGGGGAGCCAGTCGAGGAACTGTGCGAAGTACCGGCCTCGGCAGAACCCCGAGCGTGAGCACCTCTCGAACGGGCGCCACGCGTGGCACATCAACAGCGAATGCAGGGACTCGCCGGCCCCTCAGTGGGATTGCTAGAGGCAGTGGGATCGCCCGTGGTAGGGGGAAGCCATGATAAAAACAATGTTGTTTTTAATGTACCATACCTTATGCCATTTCATGAACATACAAACTCAATAAATATGATACCCACACCCGAGCATCGAAGTCAATTAACTCTTGAATCTGTACTTAGTAGTTGGTAGTGGTCCCACGGGGTGGTATCCTATGGCCTAAGGCATTGATTGGGTGGACGCGAACACGCGCCGATAGCGATAAGGAGCTTTATCCCCCGGCCGCTGCGACCTTAGTGGTGACCTCGAGTTTCCCCAGCTTCACTTCTGCTCTACCTTCACACAATGAATTTCGCTCCTTACCAGGACGAATCACCAGAGCTCGAAAGGGCCCTGTCCCCGCCAAACCTAGAGAGTCGCGTCAAATCCCCTAACCTCCGCTCACCCCGGGCATCTGCCGACTTACCTTCGCCGGGTCATTTCGCAGGAGGTGGACATGGCAACACTGGCTTTGGTCGGGATATTGAGGGCGGTCATGTGAGCCTAGGTGCATTTGAGACCAGCCTGCCGGTTCGCATGGATGTGGAAGCTATGCTGGCATATCTACTTCTGCCTCCAGCCGGAGGAGTCTTTCTGCTCTTGGCCGAGCACAAGAGTGATTACGTTCGGTAAGGAATCTCAATTTCGCAACAATGAAATCCGATGGTGGATCTAACATTAACCACAGATTCCATGCGTGGCAATCTAGTATGCTCTTCAGTGCTATTTTCGTGAGTCTAAACGACTTTTTTCCATTCCATGGACTGTATCTAACATACCACCAGGTCATCCATCTCATCTTCGCCTGGTCTTCCTTCCTCTCCTGGACCCTCTTCATAATCGATATCCTACTTATTGGGTTTCTCAGCATGCGCGCTTATCGTGATGGTAAGTCCAGCCCCTTGTGCCCGTCTCTGGTATAACTTACACTAACACTGCCTCAGTCGACACATTAGATCACTTCGAGGTTCCTTTCATCGGTCGTATGGCTAACTCCTTCGTGGACAACGAATGATCCGATTCCGAGGCGACCGTTACTGCGTTTAAACGGCTCAACAAGCTTTACGTGTACTTGAAATTTCATGGCCGGCAGACGCGTGTTTTTGCTCCATATACCCTTGTCTGTCAGTGCTTTCAGCTTTTCAGAGTATGGCATTTTCAGCCTACGTCTTTCTTTTGTGGATATATACTTTTAACGTATCAGTTCCTAGGCCACAGGCGGGGCCTTGGTACGGCTCTCCTTTAGTGACATATGTACTGGCATTCCAGATCCCTTCCATCACTGCATGGCGTCGCTTTCCTGGCACGCAACAGGAGTGGTGCGATAATTCAGCTCCGTAGTAGTGTTATAACTCCACCAAAAGTCAAGAGACTGTGGGTATGACGAAGGGATCTTGCAAGTAGACTTGTAGTCTAAAAGATTCTTCGAGACAATCGAGGTGTAATCTTCCAGAGTGCAGGAATAGCCAGGGCCAGATGTGCACTTTCTAAATGGAAATACGGCCTCGTTGAGGACCAAGCGAACGAATGACCCTGCCTTTGATAGCGCAGTGGCGTTGCAGCTAAGACGTTCGATCGTGAATCGACCACCCCGAGGAACGATGTCGCCAGTGGAGTAGGGGTTACCAAATGGAACCCGGCCCAATGGGAGGTCCTCGTCTGGAACCAGGACACCTAGAGCGGCGAGGATCGGTGTGATGTTTGTGTCATGGGTACTAGATTTGTGGTTAATCGCGATATTCTGAGCCCAGAACGTGGGTAGCATACAAGTTGAGGTAGAGAGGGGCTGCCTTCTCGGGGCCTTCATTAAGAAGGGTCAAACTAGCGTTGGCATAGACAGAGCCGACAGCCGCCATATTCTTATCACCAGGTCTGCATAGATACTACATAGATATGGATTTTCCTGGTATGAGCATTGTGTAGAGCAAACTTACCCATCGCAGTAGTAATAGTTCATGTCTTCGACGTAGCCGAAGCTCACCCACTCGTCCTGGGTGAATACATTGATGCATTCTGAAAAGGCAGGGACATTGAGCTCAAAGGAAGCCATAGCTGTTTATAGTATGTGTTAGTCTATTAGAGCTAAATCACATATAAAAAGAAATGGGGCAGACACTCACACATCAGGTAGTACACATCAGATTCGTTGAGACTGAGACCAGGGTTTTGAGAATTCAAGCGTGCCGCTGCAACTTTGAACTGCGGCATGGGATTGGTCAAGTTATCGCAAGTGGTATCATCATTGTCGGTATCACAAGAAGGGGTCAGGCTGTTGGCTCCCATGCTCTCCGACTCGGAGATAATATTGAGAGCGGCGTTTGTCGAATAGTTGTACCCAAAGAAGCCTTCACCGAATTTGCGAGCGCTGGAAATAACGCGTCTATATCCACTGCTCCAAAATGGTACGACGGAATCTTCATCCAGCAAGTGGCCGTATCGATCACGGTACTCCGTGCCGTGGGTGTAGGCATCTAGAAGACCTGCGTAGGGCCCGCTGAAGGTCTCGGCGTTGTAGTAGCACTTGTTGGGAACGTAGTAGGACCAGTCATTGAAAAAGGCGAGATCATCCTTGAACTCTTCAACGCCAGAGCTTTGCAATTTTGCCAATGTCTTTTCGATGCCCCCGCCGAGTGCTGGTGACGGGTACCTCTCTCCATGTCGCCTAATCATGATCACTTGGTCGACGGCACAGCTTTCCGGTGGGTCGCGTGAAATACCGAATGACCTTCTCTCTGAATAAGGCCCATTTCCACCATAGTGCTTTAGAATGCTATATCCATCGCGAAACTCCTGAGAAAACTTCTTCTCAAAGGGAGACTTGGTCACGGGGTCACCGTATGATAGAGCCGTCACTCCGGCAGTGAGGCCCAAGGCACACACAATTACAGAGACTAGATGGTAATCCATTTCCCCTTCAAAGTTGTATCAACAAATATTGAGAGATGATTTCAGGTTCTTGCTTCGGAGCTAGCAAGGAGTAACAGGCGTGGGAATTTCGAAATACTTATAGTGCGTCTAGATCGAAAACACACCCCAAACACTGTCTACTAAAATAGATGCTATGACAATTTAAGACTAGGCCAGGCAGCTAAACAGGCATTTTTCGCAGAAATGTCCTAAATGCCTTCGTACGCTTCTTCCTAGCAGCCCACGTGCTGAACATTCGAAAAGGGTATTCGTAGGGCTGGCCTCCATCTAACCTGTCGGCAGTATACTCGGGTTCGATCAAGAATTATCAAGGGCTCCGCATCGAAACAAGGCATATTCTACAATAGAATGGGGCGAGAAGGCGGCGTGCAGCGCCCACTTGCTTCGACTGGACCGGTCTGGGCCTACGCTAGTCTGGAGGTGGGTCTCGAATCGATATCTCAAGCTTTTTAGCTCCACGCTTGGTATCCCGCCCCTTGAACGGTTAAGCAGAGAACTACCCCGGTTTCGTACGACCATGCCGAGTAGCTGATGTAATCTCGCTTAAGCTGCAAAGGCTCTCGTGTATACGGAGTGGTATGGATCATTTCGGAGCAAGCATGGCGTAACGAGGCCATCCCAATATAGTAACCAACAAATCCGTCTGCGATGAAAGTTGGATATAGTGGACCCCGGTGGGAAAAGCTGTATCTTGCGCCAGTGCCGAAGTTATGATATATTTGATCTTTTGAAGTCGTCCATGATCTGCAAAATAGGTATACACGAAAAAGAAGAAGTGTCAAGAAACAAGGGAATAGCCGGGCACTATGCAATGAGAACTAGTACTAGCTCCGTTTCACTGCTATGTAGATCATGATACCCTCCATCCGATTAGGAGTCATTATTGTATGTATATTTAAGCGGTTTATTCACACCTCAATGACAATACGAGAGTCCGTATATAGAAATTCAGAAATGATCTTGACTCAGGTAGTCAAATGAGAAGCCAATGAAGTACTAGTGCCCTGCAATCAAACAGCGGCCGCAACGGGTAGGACTAGTTGCGACACCCCACCAGCAATAGCCAAAGTGTGCCGCTGGGGGACTGTCTTATCACTGTACACGCGATTTTCCGCAGTCCCAAGACTTCTTGCATACATTGGGAAAAAGCCCCCAGCAATAATCAGTCTCACACGTGTACCAACCCGAAATCGATGAGCACATTCTTGCAACTCTAACTTCAGTGGCTGCGACATATCGCGCGCTGGATCAAGCGCTCGATATACCTCAGCGATGTTGTGGGAAACATCGTCGGTGTCAACCTCACTGAGTCGCACCCACAGGTCTACGAAGGGTGGATCGCTTTCGTGCATCAGATGGACGAAGGGGCAGCCCATGATCTCAAGATCTTCTGTCATAGGCTCGCTAGTAAATGCGAGAACGTCCGTTCTGTCTGCATATGCACTATCGTTGACTCTTCCACCTCCAGACATCTGGTTGCCGCCAATGCTGGGAGTAGGGTCCAACGGGTCGAAGACGAAAGACGAGGGTCTGGCGTCCTGCGTTGGTAGAGTCAATCCAACGCCACCTTGTGCTTGTAAGTAGAAAGCGATAGGCTGGCTCGGTGGAGGCCAGTTTGACAGTGAACGCCATTCCTCAGAGCCGGTGACAAACACCCGAGCTTGGGAGTGATTGTATTTTCCAGTTTTTGCTAGATGCTCAGCGAGGAAGTCCATTATCTCTGGCAGAGAATGGAGTCCAGAGCCTTGGACATGGGTCCATGGACCGACAACGAGGTTGACATTCACTCCTCGGTCATGCAGCTTTTGGAACTGGTGTATTGTCTGCCTCGTGAAAGTGTCGTACCAACCGCTCACTAACAAGATAGGAATATTTGCACGTTCAAGCGAAACATGATGCCTTCGCGATGCCCAGTAGCTACTCTCAACATCAGGATGCTTAAGATATTCGAATAGCCATGGAGCCCTATCACCGAAGTATTTCTGTAAACTTTCTTCCAGTGGTAGACCCTCTACGGCCTTTTCGAGTTCTACGGGCCGCAAAAAGCTCAGCCCCGGTAAATGTGACAGACGCGAAAGAAAATTCCCTTTTTCATCGTCTGGTCGTGACATCATGTCGCTCCAGGAGGCACGGTCTAGGCGAAATGATCCAGTGTCCCACGCGTGCGAGGCCTGATCATGAGGCCCAACGGGGATGACAGCAGCGACGCAATCCTCAGGCGGGTCATGCAAAAGCGCCCATTGACTATAGCCAAGGTATGAGGGACCGAGAGTTGCAAAAGAGCCGGGATACCAGGATTGCTGACGCATCCAAGTGACGATGTCCTGACTGTCAGACTGCTCGTTGCTTCCCGGGTCGAACGTCCCGCCGGAGCCATAAGTACCGCGTGTGCTAACGAATATAGCTTGATAACCTCGAGCCGCGAAAACACGGGCATTGATGAAGGATATACCTGCTCCCCTACCATAGCAACACTGGATCATGATCAAACCGGCGGGGCTCTGTTTGTCGGGCAACTCTGGTGAGTAGAAGTCGGCTTCCAGGTTGATGCCATCTCGCATGGGAATCCGAACGGCTTGTATCGTGTAGCTGCACAATTCAGAGCTGACGCCCAGGTAGCGTGCCCCAAGATAGTCCAAAATTGCGTTCGCATAGCTTCGCTTCACAGGTTGTCCTGCCATCCTGGCTGGGGTTGGACGGGTATCGAAAGACGCAACAGGAGCTGCGCGGGGTATTGGGTGAAATTGAAGACCCAAAATGATCACAGATGGCCTATATTCGCCAGTATTGTCTGTGGTATTTTGTTATTGTTTTGTTCCGGTGCCACGTGTTGATTCAGGACATGAAGGTATAATCAGCGGGGAATTCATCCATGACGTTGCTGAGACGCAGGGGCCTCCAATTACATGGGGGGGCCTGACGATCGACCGGGTCTCGGCCCGCCCGTCCACTACGAGTACAACTATGGAACTACAGCCTTCTAGTACGGCCGGAAATCGACAATCACAGAGAAAGATTTGGAAATCAGAATATAGCTGTGGCATTTACTGCAGCCCAAGGGATTTTCAGAAGGAAATGGCCATGAATTAAGGTAGGAAAAGAAAAGCATGTAGCATATCCAGCGGCCGTGGAGGACACAGCCCAAGATCATTCCTCATACAATTTGACTCGACAGATCTCGTGGAAGAAAAAAAACGCATCCTGCAAATACACAAAATGCCCAATGGGCCAAAGACGCTCAAACCCCGAGGCTTCCCAAGCAAGATCCAGAAAAGAAAGAAAGACGAGAAAATATTCGCAGGCACGACGTGAGGAAGTATTTGACAAGGCGGCCAGACGAAATAGCAAAAGAAGGATGCGCAAATAAGGCATCGAATAATAAGAAACAGACGATGTGGAAGCTAAATAAGAGATCGTGAATGTGCAAAAAATTGACTCGGAAGAAGGCATGGTATCTACGTGAGAGCGTAAGCAAAAACACAAGAAAAGTGCCCCGTCAGGACGAGAGATTGTGAGGGTCGTGGCGGTTCATGAGTGGCGAAAATTTCCAGATCTAGATGATCTGGAGGTAGTTGCTCGGCACCAAGCCAGGGTGTCCGCGAGCATTGGTGACTTCTGCTTCCCACCAGCCATCATCTTGGAGGCGAATAACAGCCAAGACATCCCCTTTAGTAAATCCAAGCTCTTCAGGAATGGCGGCACTATAGGTGTACATTGAGCGAGCTGCAAGGGCGTTAGCTGGTAATTCAAAGGTTTCCTCTACATACAGCTGTGGGAAATGGCTGATGCTTACCAAAGTGTAGAATAGGACGACCATCACGACTGAATTTTCGACCGGGGTCAGCAACGGCAACGGTGCGACTGCGAGATCGACCGACTGGCGGCGGTGCATTGTTATCTCCCCCGTACTGGGACATCGGCCGACCGTCATGACGAGAGCCATAGCTTGATCCACCACCGTACATGTCAACTTGATTAGAAAGCTGCAGCTCCATGCCGCCAGCGCTAGAAGGACGGGTTTGTTGTCTGAAAGCAGGCTGAGGGGAGACTGCACGGTGACTACTAGCAGCCGGGGAAGCGCGCCTAGCGTAGTCGTTTGGCGAGTATGGCGGCTCCTGGGCGCGGCGTGGAATAGGAGACTGGCTGTAGCGGCTGCGCGCGCTACTCGATTGGTATGTGGTTGGGCTTGGAGCTGGGCTGGCTCCGCCACCACCATACCCTGACCGGGTGTCGACGCGTGGAGATACTTGAGGACTGGCGCTGCGTCGCATGGATGGAGCAGGAGACCGTGCACGAGGAACCTCCTGGGGCTTTGCTGTGGGGGGAGCATTGGGGTTATTGCTGCCGCCTCGAAGCATGCTCTGTGTTTGACCAGTATACCTCTGAGTGGTCTTCTGCATCTGCTTAGATGTGAAAGCTGGCTCGGGAGCATCGAGGCGTTTAACCGACGGGTCGTGGTATGCGGGAGGAGCGCCAGAAGAGCTGCCACCGTAGGTAGACGAGGGGGCCGAAGGGGTCGGGGTCGAGATTCCGTGGTATCGATCAGCGGAAACACGGAGAGTAGATTGTTTCCCAGTGGTCTTCAGATCGGCCAAAGCACGCGCGATGGGGTCCGCATCATCCTCACCACCCTTGGCTTTCTGTGCTGACCGGTTGGCTGCATTCTTCTCGGGAGAAGCAACATCGAAAACATTGTTTCCAACATTGAGCTGGAAGTTAGCACGTGGGTCAACAGGCTCAGGGCTCCGGGTGCGGCGCTCTAGCTGAGGTTGAGGCTGAGGCTGAGGTTGAGGTGCCTTTGGTGGGCTGGCCTGCTTAGTAGGGGAGCTCCACGGGCTCCTGGAAGATTGCGATCCGATGGCAGGCCTCTCCTTATCATGACGGCTCTTACGACGGAAGGGGCTGTTGCTAAAGAAGGCAGTCTTCTTTTTCGGTGTAGCTTGCTTGTCTTCTCTTTGGCTTGGCAAAGGTTCGCTGTTTGTCGGCTTAGGTGGTGGCTTTGCGGTGATTGGCTGTTCTACACTCGACATGGAGGTAGGGTTCGATACTTCACTCTGGGAGTCACGGCTGGATGGTCGGTATGCGCTAGCGGCTGAGCTTCGCTCCGAAGGGGGCCCAGTGCGACAGAACATGGTCATACCATCAGTGGGGTAAGCGTTGTGAGGAATGGCATTAATCTCCCCATGCTGATCCGGATCATAGTTCGGCGGGAGTTGTCCACCCCGTCGAAGGTCCAAGGGAGGAGGCTGCTGAGCATCGTCCTGCGCAGAAAGTGGTGCCGGATGACCCATCTGAGCTGCAAGATCCGACTGCGGGTCATGGTGGGACTCAAAGGTCGAAGGCTGAGGAGACGATGTGCGGAATGCCGGGTTCATAGTCCTCTGGAACTGGGCAACTGAGTAGCCCTCACCTTCATCAACTTCAGATCCTGTGTCTGTGTCCTCTTTGCAGAAATTGATAAAGCGTGGCGGGTCCGGAATTTCCTGGCCAGTGCCTTTGTCCTTGATGAAGAAGACGATGTCCTTCTCAACCTCGCAGCCTTCGAGGGAGAGACGGATCTTCTCGCACGAAGCATCGTCGCTAACGCAGACTGTGGACGCAATGTTCGCATAGGTCCAGAGACTGCTCTTAGAGAAATCTAGACGCTCTTCCTCCAGATCTTGGAATTTGTCGCAGGCTGCCTTCCACTCCTTGTTCCAGCGACCGGTCGTCTCCTCAAGTGTCTTAACGGCGGCCTCGTATTCGTTGCTGTTTGATGCAAGTTGAATCTGAGTCTTCTCAAGCTTGGCCTTGTTCTTGCGCTCTTCTTGGCCCATTACCATGTGACCCTGTGCGAGATAGCCCTTAATGCGCAGACAGTCTTGTTCGTAGCGATCCCGTGTCTAAAAAATAAGAAATTGGTCAGGAGACAAAACCATAAGCTGGGCATGGAATACCGACTTTGTTGACAGCCTGTGTCTGTTGGACTTTGGTCTTGTGAAGGCGTTCAATAGTGTTTTGGATGATCTTTCGTCTTTCCTTCAGTCCGCTGGCAAAAGCGGATAGCGGCTCCTCCAGCTCAGTTTTCATCTGACCTGCAATCGCGGAGTGTGCTTTGGCAATCGCTTCCGTTTCTCCCCGTACCACGTCGAGCGAGAGTCGTAGAGAGCCAGTTTCGGATGCCCCTAGCGACTTACGGCACAGCGCTGAAAGTTTCCGGGCATATTCGTCTTCAATCGCGGCTCGTACTATTGAGTGATACCAGTTAGTTGGTCGATCTGTATTTTGTAAATAATCTCTTTCGTACCGCTGTAGAACACTTTCAATTCATCACTAGTCGTTTTCGAGCAGTGCATGCGGTCAAGCATGGGTTGTAAGCCTGCATCATCTTTTCCCCAGAAGTTGTTCGCGACTAAGTTTGAGGATGTTAGTTATCGTATCTTGCGCGGAGGAGTCAAGATGCCTTACAGGACATGGAGACCGTCGGTCCCTCAGCCACCGTCCCAGGCATTGTTTTCGTAGTTGAGCCTCGGCCAGCCTTTGCTCAATTAAGTTGCAGATGATAGTTTGGGCACAAAGGATAGATGGGAACAAAGAAACACGGTATGTAGCAGGAGGAAGACACAAACAGACCCTGCGGTCGCTGAATGTCAAGGTGTAGTCAGAAGCAGCTGCAGCTGGGCATGTTTACTCCGGTGGACGGGCGCGTCACTCGGGGCAACCAGCCATGCAGCCGCCATGACTAAGCCGATCACTGCCCTTATCTGACGCGTCGCTAGGATCTTTAGACTTTTGAGGCAAATGCTACGATTCAAATCAGGTTTGTTTTTTCTTGTTTTTTTTCTTGTTTTTTTGGTAGAAGTTTTCTTTGCATTTTCAGCTAACTAATCTATCTACATAAGTATGTCATTCTTGGGACCCTCATTTCAGTAAATCCAGTCTGTCTAGTTGGCCCCATAACAATGTCGCAAGTTAATTCATATCCATGAACAAAGACAGAAGAAGAAAAAAATACACATGGTGAAGTAGTTCGTGTCTTGACTTGGAAATTCCCTTAGAAAAAAAAAACTCCAGAAATGCGTGTTCGTAACCGCCATCGGTAAAAGCAAATTCGCCAGGGTAAAATGCCCAATGATCCGCTGCATGTTCGCAGCTCTTTCGTATCATGTTGTAAATCGTTCGTATGTCATCTTCGAGTCCATCCGTTGTTCAAGGATCTCATGAAATTCATCTCTATTCTTTCTTTTCATCAAGCCATAATGTTGGTAACAGGCCCAGGCCCCTTTAGTAGGGCAGGAGGGAGGCAGCAGCGGGAAGAGACCAGCTGGAGCTAGGAGTAGCCACGCTCGAAGTGCTGGAAATAGCTCGGCGGGCAAAAGGAGTGGGCGAGGCTGAGGCGCTCACGCTTGGTGTAGAAGAAGCGGCGGATAGGCCGGGGGAGTACGAGTCGTCATCAAAGTCGCGAGCGGCCAGGGGAGTGGCGGATGCACTTGGAGTAGCAGAAGATGGCAGACCGATGCTGGAGGACCAGCCACCCCACTGGCGAGCGACCAAAGAAGAGGAAGCAATCACACTCGAGGTGGGAGTAGCAACCGAGGATGAAGGATACCAGCCATTGAGATCACGGGCGATGAGGGGGGTGGCGGATACGCTCGGGGTGGCAGAAGATGGCAGACCGATACTGGAGGACCAGCCACCCCACTGGCGAGCGACGAGAGAAGTAGAGGAAATCGCACTTGAGGTAGGAGTAGCCACCGAGGAAGACGGATACCAGCCACCAAAATCGCGAGCAACGAGAGAAGTCGCAGACACAGGCCAGGAACTAGAAGATGGAACCCAGCTGCGGGCGTACAGGAATGGATCACCGGCAGCCTTCAGGCCACGTCGGAAAAAGGAAGAAGAGTCCGGGGGCGGCATGAAAGAGCCACCGGGGGGAGGAGCATGATGGGCGTGAGGGGTCGAGCTGGGAGCCACGGAAGACGGAGACAGGGTGGGAGATGGAGTGGCGGTGATAGTCACAGTAGAAGGCACAGCAGGAGCTCCGGCTGCAGTCACCACTGAGTTGAGCGTCTGAGTAACAGTCTCGACCTCTGGAACAGCCGAGCTAGAGGACTCGCCGCCAACATTCACAACGTCATACTCTGGCTTGCGGCGAGTGAGGTCGTCTTGGGAGTTGGCCAAAGGCGCAGCGTAGGTCACACCGATGGAGGAGAGGGCAACGAGTGCGGCAGCAGATGTGAAATGCATAGTACAGAAAGGTATGTGTTTGTTGGAGTATTTCGTGAAAAGAGTATTGAGAGTAAACAGTCAAGTCACTGAACAGTCAAGAGACACGAAAGTTTAAGAGTAATAGATAGTTGAAGGATTTGGTAGAAGAGTAATTTGGTTGAAGATATTGAGAACAGAGGATGAATGGGTGCCGGTTTAAAAGTGGACGAAAACATCGATCTCGATCACAGTATCACTCAACATGAAGTCAGTGAGGTCCACATGGCAACCTTGCGATTGGCACGAAAATAAGCTGGCTGGAGATGGGACGAGTGGCTGGGGAGATGAACCAGCCACCATTTTTTTTGTTGTTGACAGGCGGGAAGCCGGTCTCCACATGGCAACCACCCACGCTAATTGGAAGCCGAGGAAGCCGAGCAAACCAAAGCGGAGCAACAGAAGCACCCTAGAGTACCCTAGGGTACTAGTTACCCTCCGGAGAGATAAGCCATCGGCGTGGCTGGGGGATCCACTCCTTCTCAAGACCGCTGCCTAGTTACTTTTCTTAGCTTCTGGAAGCGATGGTACCTAGGGCAATTGATCCATCGCCTCTCGATCGGCAACTGTGACACAATGTGTTTCCACTGATCTACCGGATCTACCGTCTCTGCCGGGGGTGTTTCGGTCGGGGGCTGGCCAACTCATGCTAGGAAATGGCCAGATCCTCGACCCGTAACAGGCCACAGCCCAATGCCGCGCAAGCCCAGGCCGCACATCGGCGGTTGGGATTCCAGCCAAGCGCCGTGACGTGAGTACCTTCCTCATAGATGCTGGTGATGCTGCAATCTGCAATGTGTCGAGTTCTACTGGCGAGATTCTTGGCCAGTTGGTTTTCCTCCGCTTTGTAACCGTCAAAGAACCGGCTAGTCCCAGAGCCATCTGCATCTGGCTCAGCCACCCATTCATGAGTGAACCAATATTGTTGCCAGTGCTCCGGTTTAGTGTGGAGAAGCTTGCGGAATGGATTGGTTGCCGTGACTTCACCTCCCGTGCCACCCTGGAGGATACAGGGGTGCCAGAAGCTACAAGGTGCGAGACTGATCACGGAACTCGGAAGGTTTGCTACCGCCGTCGATGAGAAGAAACGACGAATGGGCATCATACGCCCAAAGTCATTTTCGTCAATCGAGATGACGGATTGCAAAACAGGCGAATAGCTAACGTGACGGGCAGCCATACGCATGCGGACCGTTGAGGTGATTTCGCCCTGGGGCTCAATCATTGACCAGAGTTGGGTTTCGCCATCCATGGAAATCGTGCTTATGAGATGAGGGTTGCTCGGGTAAGCAGACGTTATACTCAACACCCATGTCGAATGAATGAGCCGGTAAAAAAATGGATGCGGCTCTGGGGATGATGGAGGTAGGATGCTCCAGGCGGCAACATGGCCATCAGAGCAGCCCACCGCTATATCACTGGGAGACAGCCATGTCACACATGAACAGACCGTTGAAGGCGGTCGAGCCTCAAAAACAGGAGAGGTTATTCGAACTTAAATCATTTGTTAAAACCCTTTATCAATTGTTCGATATATTCAGAACAAAGAAGTGACATACCATATTCTTCTTGCTGAGAGACTCGGTGCACCTTGATATCCAAAACTCGCACTTTTCCGTCTCCCCAGATTCCAGCCAGAAGTCCTATACTTTGTGTGTCTCCCTCGCTGTCCTCGTGTCGCTCTTCTCGGGGCATTGGGCACCAAGCAATGCTGCGTATGTCGCCCCAATTTGTACAAGCGACCAGTCGTCTTTGCGGTTTTGTGCTCATATCGAGCGATTTGGTTGGACATCCAATTTCTTTTCCCCTAAATTCCCACAGCTGTAGAGCACAGGGATAAGAAGGTGTCGGTTGAAATGAATTACCAGAATCCGCTCCAAGAAAGCTGCATTTCTTTTTCTGTGCTTCGGTGATTGGGACCACCACAACCAGGTATTGAGAAAGCCCTTCTTGATTGGGCGCCCAGGCCAAACATTGAATTTTGCGACCAAAACTCATGAGCCAGCCTTCCCGAGTAGATTTTCTGGGTTTTTGGTTATTTGAGCCGCTGGTGAAATCCCAGGGTTTGCTGTAATCATAAGGCTCATCATAACCCAGATCAATCTGGGTCTGCTGGTCTGCCGGCCCCATAAGAACTGTATGTTTTTTGGTTGGCGGCTTCGCGAGATATTTATTGATATCGGTTTTCTTCAGTTTTTCAAAGTGCTGTGTGGCCCGGAATCGGTCTCCAATGTCCTTATCGTAATACCAATCCCACGCGGATTTGCTCTCAGCCTCAAAATCCTCGGGGCTAAGGCCTAAAGTAGGACCATATGGATAGTCGGGCTGTCTCTTTGGATTTTCAAGAGTATTGCGACGGGGGAGGCATGCATCTCCACCTTCAAGCCATTGGTCTCGCTGGTATAATGCGGCAAATAGATCCCTTTCATCTGAACCAAATGCAAATCTATAGAGCATTTCTTTCGAGGTATTGTGGTTGTGGTTCAGGCCACCCCGATAATGTGTTTCATTGGGATCCATCTCCATTGAGCCATCAGGTGCTTTTGTTCTAGGTCGTGCGGTTGAGATCGCAGCCTTCTTTTTTGGAATGAATGCGGCCGCGTTGACATTGACGACCGTCTCATCGGGGGATCTTCTTCCATCTTCCTCTGCTTCCCCTGCTTCCCCTTCTTCCTCATCTTCAGCTTCTTCAGAGGCAGCCGCATCTTCCATTTCCTCATCATCCACGTCATCATCATCCACTTCTTCTTCTTCTTCATCCTCGCCGCCAACGAATTCATCGTCTGATGGGGATTCCTGCTTCAATCTTCTGGCCCTTTTCGGGGGATTCTCATCGGGTTCATCATCGCTGATGCCGGCGACAGCAAATGGATCCTCAGTGTAGACCGCCTTGGAAGCTCTCACGCGGCCGGATTTGCGCGCCATTCTAGCCGAGATGATCGGGTATCGTTAGCAATCGGGAGAGGTCTACCAACGCTCTCATGTGAAATTGGTAGATACAAAACGGCCAAATTCGTCAAGAAATGACGAGCCAGGTTAAGACGATAGGGTGTGGTGACGCGCGAGGAGCATCGCGATTCATCGGAATGTTCTGCACGTCGCGGCAGTTCGCAGCTTCCCAAGCTATACCCGATCGGGACGGTGGGCTCCCCGCTCTCTACATAATACATAGTAATACCATAATAGTTGCTAGTACTACTAGTATACATACTGCTGCCTAGGCTACGAGAATACCAGTACTAGAATTAACACAAGGGGACGGTACTACACACCACTACCAAGTTTAATCAGATTGCCACTCCCAAATGTTTTATTTGGTTGTTGCATCATAGTCCATTTAGCCAGATCTGAGATCTTGTTAGTTATACATGTGAAAAGTGGTAACTGTCCCTAGCTGTAAATTATCTGCACGTACTCTGCATTATTCAAATTCTAGTGTAGCTTCTGTTAACTTCGGAAGCTTGAAGTCTGTACACAGTTGCATTCAAGTTGTTGTGAGTCATCGTCGAGGCGAAACACATAGACTGTTTCTATACTAGTACAACGACACCACCTCCTAACTGGTAGGAAATGAATGATGTCAGTGGCATCATTAGAGTCCCAAGGTTGACTTTTACGGTTGCGTGGAGCTTGATATGTTATACAAACAACGTATGAGGAAGGTGTGGGTCTAACAAGCTTCTAGGTAAGAAGGTCAAACCTTGGGAACAGAATATGTATCCTCTAGTTAGTAGCCCTGGAGTAGTAGTAACACCAGGCCTGGCAGTATACAGTCTCTCTGTAAGTACGTCTAGCAGTACCTGGACCCAAGACAAACTTTTCACCACTGCGACAGTGATACAGTACGGTCAGCCTGAGGACATGCATGAGTTCCGGCATCCTAACATTCAAGTTGGAACTATCTAGAAATCCTTATCGGGTTCTTGTGAGCGCAAGCTCAGTAACCGGTAAGAAAGAATAATGAGGGCACGAGAACATGCTAATCATAGAGGATCAGATGAAAAAAAAAAAACGGATGTTGTAGTAGTATGTACATATATATAGTACACCACTGTAGGAGGAAGACCTATGGAAATGAGGGGATCGCCAAAAAGCCCCGCGGTGGGTCAGGTAACTCAATCGTCCCCCTCCACCAGCCTCAGCTTCACTCCTTCACTCCCTCTACCCGTAATGGCTTCCAACCCAGACCGTGGATTGTCTCACCGTGGTGTTCTCCACGAATATGTATGTTCATGTTCTTCATCTACTTAAGCATAGCTAGGAAGAATGCCGGTCTGACTATTGGATACACAGGCCCCTAGGCTGGTAGCCTTTGAGTTTACACCGCCAGCCAGCGTCAACAAGCCAAACAGCTTGATTTTCGTGGGCGGACTCACTGATGGATTCTGCACAGTGCCATATGTGTCGAAACTAGCAGAGGCACTGGAGTCGACCGATTGGTCCGTCTTTTCCATCCTGTTATCTTCCTCCTACAATGGCTTCGGAGTTGGCAGTCTCGACAAGGATGTAGAGGAGATTGGTCACTGTGTGCGGTACATTCGCGACCTCAAGGCCTCTAGACAGCCCGGAGCCCCATCCAAATCTGCAAAGATTGTGGTCATGGGCCACTCAACCGGCAGTCAGGATGTCCTCCACTACATCCATGCGCCTAACCCGTTGCCAAAGCCCGAGTTCGACATTGGGCTTGAACATATCGTTCGGCCAGAACTTGACGGTGCTATCATGCAGGCCCCCGTTTCAGACCGCGAGGCTGTCCTGGCAATTATGAAATCTGCCACAAACCCTTCCGAGGTCCGAGGGGCCTTCGATCAGCTCGTCAGCTCTGCCAAAAAGCAGCCCTGGACCGAGGAAGGAAGCGACACTCTCCTACCCATGAATATGACTGCAAAGCTTGGTCTTCCAGGCGATGCCCCGCTCAGCGCTCGTCGATTCTTGAGCCTGATCAGTCCGGATAGCCCCGCAAGTCCCTCACAGGATGACCTTTTCAGTTCCGACTTGAGCGACAAGCGTCACCAAGAAACGTTTGGAGCTGTTGGATCCCGAGGCATCCTACAATCCAAGCTGCTGGCTCTTTACTCTGGGAGCGACGAATGGTGCCCCGCCTGGGTTGATAAAGAGAAGCTGATGCAGAGATGGAAGCAAGCACTCGAGGCTGGAGGCGCGTCCTGGGCAGAACAGAGTGGTATTGTCCCCGGTGCGAGTCATAATGTTCGGGACGAAGGTCAGAGGGACTTGATCGATCGCGTCTTAGGTTACTTGGAAAGCATCTAGAGGCTACGAACAGTGAAAGACGGGTCCGTATACTAGAAATAGAATCAAATTCGGATTTCTATCGGCCATAACAAGCATATAGAGAAACGTGAACACCGCCCAGAAGTATGTAGATATGGAGTAAGGAGAAGATCTCAAAAAATTGGGGTATATCGAAGGACGGGGTTGAACGAGTTCAAAACCTTCCGAGTTATTATGCGCGACTCGACACATCATTAGATTGGTGAATTTGGCGTCGTTCAAACCTTAAGCCAGAGGTTGAACACGCCCTTGAGGTATTCAACAATTTCAGATCCACCCAGCTTGCTGTCGCCGTAAATGCGGTCCACGAAAGTGATAGGGCACTCCTCCACCTTGTAGCCCATAGCTTTGGCTCGGACCATCATCTCCATTTGGAAGCTGTAGCCCTTGGACTCAGTGCTGGTGATGACCTTGTCGAGCACCTCCTTCTTGTACAAGCGGAAGCTGCCAGTCAGATCGCTGACACCAGGCATGAGCATGACATCTGCGATCAGGTTGGCGGTACGCGAGGTAAACTTGCGGAAGAGATCCCAGCCATAAACACCACCCTTGATATCTCCACGATTGGCGTAGCGGGTACCGGTGACAATGTCTGCGTTGCTCTCCTTCTGGATGCGAACCATCTCGGGAATAAACTTGGGGTGGTGGCTGAAGTCGGCATCCATGATGATGACAAAGTTTCCGGTGCAGTGGACTAGGCCGTGGACGTAGGCAGTACCGAGACCGAGCTTTCCCTCGCGCGGCTTGAGATTGATATGTTCAGGGCCGTAGAGTTTCTGGAGTTGCTTGGCAATTTCAAGGGTGCCATCAGGGGAACCATCGTCAACAACAACAACCTCCCAATCCAGATTGCTGGTCGGAAAAACGTAAGAGTTAGCAAGGTGTACCGGATTGGTGTTGTTTTATTAGGTTCGTCATACTTCTCGGTGAAAGTCTTCTGAATCAGCCAGACAATGATAGGGAGGTTCTTCCGCTCGTTGTAGGTCGGCAGGATGACCGAGTACTTGTTCTTGGTGGCGCCCATTGTGAGAATTAAGAAGGAGACTTCAAGTGGTGTCTCCAGGACAAGTGTGAGAGAAAAAGAAAAGAAAGGGAAAGAAAGGGAGTAGAGAGCGAATGGCTGGACAGCTAGCTTGTCGTGTCCGGGGAAGACCACCATGGCCGCTCGCGCCAACTCGCCCTTGACTGTGGCCCCACACCGCCTTAGGCAAAACACGATCGATAGCTTATCGTAGCTGCATTGGATTCGGCCTCGACAACAAACGTCGAGGTCAGCGTCTTGAATTTGTTTCTTTCGGTCACAGAATAGGCCAATCCGCGATGGACTTATCGCCAACAAAACACACTCGCAATGCTTCACGGTGTGCGTGTCCACTTTCCCTCATTTTCGCCCATGGACCCCTGCCTGCTCTTCTGGAAACTGCCAGTACTGATTGATTCCCCAGCTTCTCGACCCCGCAGCTCAACACGAGGGCCGTTGGATGCATCAGATGAGTGAGCAGATCAGCTGAATCGCGGAACTTTCGACCATTTAATCTAACACGCGGTAGCCCTCTCTCGTCCCCGGGTTCAGCTCCCTCGCCCAGTATTATCCAACAGAAGTTTACTAGCGGTGACGACTTTTCCGGCGCTTCCCTACACGAACTAGATCCGCTGGCCCCAGATGACCTCCCTGAAACCCTGGGTAAAGATCTTTCGTTTCTACTACGACCAAATATATATCACCCACTATCTCATATCGATATTCCTTCTCCACTTCGCTCCCATTTCATCGTCCTCGATCCCGGCGAACCGCTGTCGACGAACCTCGGAATTTTAGAGAAATTGCTGGTAGAAGGTCGCTTTCTGGTTGCTGCGCATTTTGCGGGCTCAGTTCTCACTTCGTCATTGATAACGCCCACCGATATAAAGATCATATTCTCTCTATTTTACACCCGTCTTGCCTGCCTGGAGCTTTCGGGAAACACAGTTCTCGCAGCACAGGAGTCGAAAGCTCTGGAGGATCTCAACTCCACATTCTACTATATTGACTCCAGTCTCGATTCGTCCAAGAAAAAAATTCAAAATGAAGATCTTAAGGATATTGAGCGTGACCCTTTCCCACGCCATATCGTTCCTTGGCCACTTCGCGTTCTAGCGGTTCGGCTTCAAAGTATTGGATTTGGTGACTCTCGCAGGAGTATTGGGGGTCTGTATGAGATAGGCCTCGAAGCAAGAGCCCAACTTATGAAAAATGAGACCAGCGAATCAGAAAGAAAAGTCTGGAAAGAGCGGTTAGCGGACTTGGGCATGAGAAGCGTGAATGCGTTGGTCGAGATGGGCGATCTCGATGCAGCTAACAGGTCGCTTGAAGGACTAGACACGCCTGGGCTGGAATCCGATACTACAAAGCTGAGAAAGGCGCTTCTTTCCTTAAGGATGGGTGATCTTGACGCGGCACAACGAGTCTTCGATAACCCTCCCAATTCCAAGGAGGCTTCCCTGTTAAAACCCCTCATCAGCATGTCTGATGGCCGCTATCAAGATGCGACCAACGAGTGGCGCATATTATTAGAAGATAGCCAGAGAACTGATGGGGCTTTGGTGGCACACAATCTTGCGGTGTGTCTTCTTTACACTGGTCAATTGGATGAGGTACGTTGGCTCCCTGGTTTAAATTGGAATGATTTGACTTATCATTTCTGCAGGCTCGCCAGCTACTGGAATCTCAGATCTCGGCCAACCACTCGTTCAGCAGCCTCATATTTAACCTCTCGACTGTGTATGAACTTTGTTCCGACAACGCTGGCCAATTGAAGGGACAGCTCGCAGCCACCATTTCTAACCAACCTATTTCTGGTCAAACCAACCTAGACCGATCAAACGCGGACTTTAAGCTATGATACCAATTGAAAATGATTGTGTTGTGTTGATTGACTCCAGTGTGTATGTAAAGCGGCAGACCGAAACACAACAAATGCTGCCCTAAAAGATAATGACCTTGACCAAATATGCACCAATTCACTCATGCATCCGCTACCAAACAACGCCTTAAAAATGCTGACACGTCTAGGCACGCGGCATTGGAGGGGGCCGCGTCTTTGGTCGTCGGATGATGATCTTGTCCCCTTCTTTTTCCCAACCAAGTTTCTCGGCTTCGACCAATTTCTCCCAGGTCCAATTCTCCTCGTCTCCTGTACATCCACCCACAATCCAGCTGACGTGAACATTGAGGTATGCACTGCCCACAGCCTTGAGAGCTTGCCGTCGGACTCGACCCACGGCCCAAGTCATCACCGCACGCACGTACGAATCCACGCTCTTATGGGCTTGCCAAAATACAACCCAATTGTCATGCATCAATGCAGCCAGAACATTGTCGATGGTTTGTGATTGGAACCCATATTCCTTCCGTGCCCGAGCACGCCACTCAAATGCAGACACCATATCATTCTGACGACAGGCATAGTCGAGTATCAAGTAGGACACAATCTCTTTTACCTCGCAATCTGGTAGTGGGTGGGCCTTGGAATGCAATCTATCGAGGCTATATCGCAAGGAGGGGAAATACGATGGCGGGTGCTGCGCGCGAATTGATAAGCGGATGGAGAAGACATGCACTCGCTGGGAAAAGATAGCCGGTGTCGTCGTTGAAGTTGCAAGAATGGCCTCTCGCAGCTTTCGGAGGGAAAGGAGAAGAGTGGATAGCTCCGCAGATGGGGGAGGTCCCCCGCGAACAGCGGGGTTCGACTTGGTTGTTGGTTGAGCGGCAGCTGGATTCGAGGTTACATCGTTGGACGAGCTAGTGGGAAGTGAGGTGAGTGCAGCATCGAGGTCTTTGCTGTGGTGAGCGCAGAATTTCATGTATCTTTCGACTATCTTGTCAAAGTATTCTTTCTGGGCGGAGTGTTCGAGCAGTCTGCGGGGGATCCTTGTCAATAAACACCGTCAACCAAGCAGGCCCTGAGGCGAACATACTTCTTGTCCCCCTTCGAGACAAACCCCACAGTTTCTAGGAAGTCCGCCACCGGTCGCAGCCGGCTTCCTGGTACTCGTTTCGACATGACGTGAGGATGTTCATCCTAGAGACAGGTTGCAAATGACGGCAGGAGTGTCAGGCAGAAAATCAGGCATTAATAATCTAGGCCTCAGGCATCATGAACCCCCAAATAGGAAGCTGGCAGAAAGTTCAGGCGGTCGGCACATGCGTTTGCACTGTTTGTGCCGAGGCTCCACCGAGTGGACCCACTATGGCTTTTTGGCTATGGCTTTGGCTTACCCCAACTACCCAACACTCGCTATTCTTATTCTTCTTGTTCTTGTTACATATAGGTCGCTGTGTGTTTGGAACCTTTTCGTGTTCATGACATAGACCATTCGTATGCTTACCTATCGTGCATAATTCTGTGGCTGATCCCGCCATATTCGAAACCCTGAGCCCTGCATCTCTTGCATGTGATCATGGCTCATCAGCGTCGCCAAGTACAGGAGAACCAGAAGATCGCGGAGAAAAGTAGTCAAGATAAGACATTTCCCGCAGTCGTGAAGAATTTGCTGCACTGGGATGATTTGCCTCACTGGCAACGTGACAACCGCCATATTCATACGGGATATCGACCGGCCTCGTCTTCATTCTGGGTCTCGTTCCAATCGCTGGGCTACATCCACAACGAGACCGTCAACATTTACACTCATCTATTACCGGGTATACTAGCCGTTCCTGCAGCCTACCAACTCTATCATGCCCTGACGCCTCGCTATCACACTGCCGATGATTCGGATATATTGGCTTTTGCCTGCTTTTTCGCGGGGGCTGCGTTCTGTCTCGGAATGTCAGCCACTTACCATACAATCTCGAACCATTCGCCTGCTGTGGCTCGATATGGCAATGCTCTTGATTACATTGGTATTGTGGGGCTTATTGTAGGAAGTTTTGTTCCCAGCGTGTTCTATGGATTCTACTGCGTTCCTCACCTCCAACACCGATACTGGACAATGATCTGCACCCTTGGCCTAGGATGTGTGTGTGTTTTGGTTCTTCCGCGCTTCCGAACGCCCCGTTGGAGGCCATTCCGAGCGGCGATGTTTGTCGGGATGGGCCTGTCGGCCGTCTTCCCCGTCCTTCATGGCCTGTTCGTCTTCGGATTCGACCGTATGCGCCAGCAAATCGGCCTCACCTGGCTTGTCCTTCAAGGTTTCCTGTACATTCTTGGTGCAGGTATCTATGCCGCTCGTGTACCGGAACGGCTCCGGCCCGGCCACTTTGACATCGTTGGAAGCTCGCACCAGATATTTCACGTATTGGTCGTCTGCGCGGCGGTGGCTCATCTGACTGGTCTTCTCAAAGCGTTTGACTATCGGCACAGTGGCACTGCCGAGATTTGTCAGATCGCACGCGGCTGAGTCTAGATGGTGAAGACGAGGAGGGGAAGGCGAGGTTGGACAACATGCTCCTGGAATCCTTTGGAGGTAGCATGGAATGAAACATACACACTGTAGTGTACGTTAGCCGGGGGGGGGGGGGGGGTAGACGTCTTTCCACGACCTCTCCGGTCCCTGCTGACGATGGCCTAGCTTAGCGATGTGCAACAATGACAATTGAAGAAGCGGTGAATCGATCCCTTCTGGTAAATACGCAAATACCGTGATTCCGGTCAGCCGAGTTCATCCTAAGACGTCGGGTTTCTTCACATGGCGCGCCATCTCCTAGTATACGTATCATTGGATAGGCCTAGCCGACTTGTCAGCACCGTGAGTTCGTGGAGAGTGAAAGTTAACGCCCAGCCATGACTTCACGATGTTGCATCCGGGTGTGCGACTTGAGAGGACCCCTATGTGAATCCAGGGACTCTGCTGTGCCGTCACGAGCAATGCTCCGGAACAGCAACAGCTCAGCTAATTCCGTCCGGGTCGGATCAGACTGCAGCATGGGGGAAGTCCGCCTGGGGGTAGAGAGAGCCCTTTTCAATGTGCTAGTTGGTATCCCATGCGAGGTTGATCAGATGGAAGCATCTGGGGTTTCACAGCGGCTGATCTCTTGATGCGGCTGCCGCCGGTACAGGAATTCCAATGCGAGTGTGACATTTTTCCCTGCGCTGGTTCTCTTCCATGAAGCTTGATTTTGGTTTTTTTTTTCCCTGCGTTATATATACAAGAATAGGGGGAGAAGCCCCCAAAAGAGAAACGAACCTTGAAGAGGATGTCCGTGCTCTCTTTAGATGTGTGCTTCCTTTCCATTCCCTCCTCTTCAAGTTTTTATATCAACCGTCGATCCTTGTTACATCACCCAAATCTCCCATTATCGAGGGACCAAGCTCAAATCTCGCCGATCTCGATGCTCACCGAGACCAGCGGCAGTCCGTATGCTGAGGGTGACGCACCAAAACTCCGAACCGCATGCGAGAATTGTAGGCAGTCCAAAGTCAAATGCAATCTGTCCGGCAAAAACGTTTGCACCCGGTGTCTACGCCATGGCCTACAATGCCAGTATGGCTTCGCTAACCGGTCTGGTAAACCGAAGGGCAGCAAAAATCGAGCCACGCTCCGGAAGCTAGGTCAGCTCCAAGAAGACAAGCCCCCAATGCGTGGGTTCCGAGGCAGTCGGCTCGTCCCTCCTATCCCCATGCCTGATCGAGACCCTATGTCAGCTGTGGGCTATTCAGCCCATGTTGCCGACCCAATGTTAGATGACGAGGTAAGCCCTGTGCGCAATGTTCGCGCTGCTCATACTGAATTTCACAGATTTACCTGATCTCAGCCCCCCCCGGGCATTTGGGAGAGCCCACGGAGTTTCGGCAGCGGCGTGGGATTGGAAACGCCCATATGCCCATCGCAGTTGACAGTAGTGGATGGCTCGCCTTTTACAGATCCTGCGGATTCTTGCCCTCCCCTGCCCATCGGTTTGGGCTACCCACACACACCAAGAACACCGAGCTTTCTCTCCTCGGATAATTTAACAGATGGAATGTCGAGTCCACCATTCGGCGGATCGGTGTCGTCTCCTTTTCAAAATGCGCCTTGTGAGTGTATTGATATGCAACTGTTTCACATGAACAGGTTGAATCAACTACATGCCGATACGATGCCTCTTCGATTTGATCACAGCCTCCAGACGATTAAAACTACATTCTGCGCATGTCAGGTGTTCTTACAATGTATTAAATGTGCTAAGGATAATGCAAATTTACTCCTGGTCATTTCGGTACTTAATTTGACCCTGCAACTATTTGAATATTGGATATCGCGCGAGACCGAGCGGATCCCGCGAGCGGAGTTCGGTGTTGATATCCGGTACGGATACTATGAGGTCTGTCAGGATGAAAACCGACGAATTCGTACTTTTTTACTTCAGGGCTTGCTGTTTCAATGCCGAGTAACGTTGTCCATGCTGACGGCGGCGATCAACACTGCCTGCCTTGATGGACCAAAGCTTGTCGACAACGACATTACGGTCGATTCCAAATTGCTTACTGGGGACCCGCAAAGCATGACCTGGCCATCTACGAGCTCATGTATGCCAGATATAGATTCAGATCTTCTAAACAACGGCGGTGGGAACATCTGTCTTCTCCCCATAATCGCCGGCTATGAAGCTAAGGTGGAATCTTTCTTGCAATCGATCTCGTCAAACGAATGTATCTGTGAAGCCAAGGGTACGATGCGAGATGATTATATTTAGCATGGGTGTGTACAGGTGGAGGAACCTGGCGGAGGTCATATTTTGTTTTTGTTATCGTTCTTCTCTCTTTTCTTGTAATCTAGGGGAGGATTCTTTTGTTGCGTAAATAGGATTCCCAGCAGCTCGAGAGTAAACGCGGATCGGCTAAATCGATAGGAAGAAAATTGAATAAATAGGCTACACCGGTTACTTGAGGGACTGCATCAGTGCATTATTTATTTGTTCGAATTCATGTCCCTTTTCCTCCTAGTCTTAACTCCGTCGTTGTTAGTAGTTTCAGTCAACCCCACACTTTCGGTCCGCGGCGAGCCTCGGCATTTCTGATCGCCGAACGGTGTATAAGGTCAGCCCCGCTTCCATCTTCCCTCTTCACCAACTCTTTGTTCATCCCAAAACATTATGGCTCCTTCCGATCGTCTTAATCAGGTCAACAAGCACCTCAATTATCCGGCCGGCATGCTTGCCGGCCAGGTTGCCATCATCACTGGTGCTGGCCAGGGTATTGGTGCCGAGGCTGCGCGGCTGTTTGCGAACGAAGGCGCCAAGGTCGTGGTCGCTGATATTGACAGCAGTACGTGGGATCTCTATATATTCAAATAGATGGTGTCATATGTACTAATCTCAGATATCATCAATCAGACAAGGCCAACGCGGTGGCTGGCGCCATCAATGCCGCCGAATCCGGCCGCGCTCTCGCTGTGGTCGGTGATATCACGGATGCCAACTACATCAATGAACTGGTGAAACGCACTGCTGAGTTTGGCGGTGGCAAGATTCATATCATTGTGAACAACGCTGGGTTCACCTGGGACGGGGTCATTCACAAGGTGTGTCGGCGTTTTTTCTCTCTTTTATTTTGAGCCGAGATGATGCTGGTTGATAATATCCTCGTCCGAACCACGATCTGTCTCGATTTCACCGTGAAAACTCACTGACTGATCATGTAATTACCAGATGACCGACAAGCAATGGGAGACAATGCTTGCTGTGCATAACACAGCTCCCTTCCGCCTGGTACGAGCGGTGGCGCCCTACTTCCGTGTCAAGGACCAGGAGCCGCGGGTAATTATCAATATCAGCAGTACGAGTGGCATTCATGGCAATGCGTAAGTTTGCTTCTTCGTGTTTTGTTGAACACGGGTACCATCCTCCTCTTCTGCTTCCCTTTCTATTGCATCATGTATTACTACACAGTCATCTACAGATACATCTACACAGCTGCCTACAACAGAAACTAACATCACACAGTGGACAGGCCAACTACGCCGTCGGCAAAGCTGGTGTCGTTGGCCTTACCCGCACTATCGCAAAGGAATGGGGCCCTGCTTTCGGCGTTCGCTCTAATACCATCGCTTTCGGCTATGTGACCACTCGCCTGACAGCCGCCAAGGAAGCAGGCGCCTTCATCACTGCCCCTGACGGTACCAAGGTTGCGCTGGGAATCCCTGGCAAGCAGCTAGCCACCAAGCAAGGCGACGCAGATGCCAACACTTTCCCGGATATTCCCCTCCGGCGCCCAGCGAGCCCCGAGGAAGCAGCGCGGTCAATTCTGGGCGTAGTCAGCCCATACTTCTCCTACGTGAATGGAGAGACCATTCGCGTGACTGGAGGCCGCAATATGTGATGGGGATGTGACATGATGATATTGATTCATCTGGCTCATTCCCCCTCTCTATCTAGCGAGTGTACATAAACTACCTATCGACGACTCCCAATACTTTAACCATTTCACCCGATCATATCTGAGGAAATGAATGCTTGAGGAACCTTGATTTCCAATATCAAATCAAATGCTTTATAAAAACGAGTCATGGGGACAACTCTAATTCCCTAGCCATTGATCTTTTCGAGTAATTACATACTCACCTTCTCGGGCTGGCGCTCGTCAATGTTCATTGCTTCACGTCTCACTTGGGCAGCAAAGACGGGTCTCACAGTGCCACGGCCTAGCTGGAACGACCACACGAAACGTACCGCAGAATCGGGCCAGGGCCACGATTTTCGGCGATGCCGTAGGACTGCGCAACGTTGCACAGGGGGTTAGTGAGACAAGCATTAATTCAATGAGTAGGAATTAATTAACGTAATTCCCGGCCGATCTGGCCACCCGGTCGTCCTGGCCACCCCAAAACACCATAATGAATGAGATAAATTACAACTTCATATCTCAACAACCATACATATCTAAGTCCAACCATTAAGGATATATAAACTAAAGAGTATAAAAAATCTCATCGTATAGTAGGAAAAGACAAATATAAGTATTAAGAGAGATATATATATTTGACTCTGGAACATGAAAATTACGGTGTATTTTATCGTAAAGCATATAAATAATAGTCTGAAAGACCTGAAGTCAGGTTACATTCTTCCTTTACATCTATATATGTATATTGTAGAAGTTTGACTGAAATAAATTTATGGTGGTTGAAATATAGAGGAATGAATATGCAACACCTAGTATGGTGTTTTAGGGTGGCCAGGACGGCCGGGTGGCCATATCGGCCGGGAATTACGTTAGTCAGAATGGTATATGAGTAAGACTAAGGTTCGTCCCAACCTAGGAAGGTTCCTCAAGTCAAGGCTACCCTTATAGCACTTAAGTTTACCAGCATTGATCGGATCTGAATGTCAAAAACAGACAAGGTTGTATTGCGTAGCGATGATGCAATTGTTTTGCTTCATTTGAATTCCAAAGGTATCATATCGTAAAAAGTAAGCCCAAACCATGCCGCGAGCAATGTCTATGCACGTGATGCAAAATATATCACCAAAAACCGGGATCAGATCAGATCACCACCCATAAAGTCATAACAGGAGAAAAAAAGAAACAAGAAAGTATAGACACCATCGTTTCCAACCAGGTGAGAAACGGGCCAGACGCGAAACAAATCCCAGACAGGGTTCAACCCATCCCCATCGTTTGATAACAAACGCCGTATAGAAGTAAAAGAACTAAGACAAAAGCAGCAGCACAAATGTCAAAACCAATATTTATCAAAAGACCCCACCCTGGGGTATGATCTCTTCAGTTTTGTCCCCCAAAATATTAACGTTCCGAAAAAGCTTCGACAAGAAAAAAGACAATGATTCCTCCTGGTATGTGTGGGAAATATTAAAACAATCGAAAAGAAAAATCCAGAATAGTCAGCCCGGAAGAGTGGATAAGAAGCCCAGGATCCGGTGGGCAATGCAAAGGTAGGACTCGAGAGTTGCTCGAAGCCGGTTTATGGCATGGTCCAATCAGAAAGAAATATATGTCCAGTGAGAAAAGGGAGAAAGGGACAGCTGGTGGCCAAGTCCAAATGGGCCAGGGCTGTCCGAAGTTGGGGGCTTTTGAGTAAAAGAAAAAAGCACCGATAAAACAAGTTATAACCGGTGGTGTAGAAACACCAAGGCGACAATTATCCCGGTCGAGTGTGGTTAAAAAATAGTGGAAGTAGAAAAGCGTATAGGTCATGTAGGTGCGTCATAGAGAAGAATGCGAGGGGTGAGAGCCCCTTAGCAAACCGGAATCAGAGGGCCCATGAAGGTATCGAGAATGGGCTGCTCCACGCAGTTGGTATGGGGGAAGACCACCTTGCAGTCAGGCACTTGTTGTGATACAACAGGTGACATGCAGTTCAGGTCTGAGTAGTCCTCCGTGATGGCAGAAGTATCGGACACGGCAGCCTCGGAAAAGTCCGAATAGTGTGAGGAAGAATCCGAGGAAGAGCCAGAGTGTTGGGCATGCATGGGGTCCACGAGAATGTTGAATGGCATCTGGGGCTGGACGTAGTAGTCGGCCTGCGGGATCTGGTCCTGCACCCAGGGGGCCATGGGCGTCTCTGTGAAGCGGGGGCACTCCAAGATCAGTTGACGCAACTCTGGGATGGTGATCCTCTTGGCTGGGTCGCGCTCGAATACCCGGCTTAGAATACAAACCATCTCCGTGGAAAGAGGGAGTATTGACTTGAGAAAAAATGGATCCTTCAGGTACGCCCGGAATGTGGAATCCTCCATCGAAGCACGCTTCCATGGGTTACGGCCACACGTAAGATTGACTAACATGACGCCGAGGCTCCAGACGTCATTGGCGGCGGAGACGTAGCAGGACATGGGTCGAGGGTTGGTTTGCTGACATTCTGTGTTTCGGATATATTAGGAGGGGCTGTCTCACTGGGAGGGGGGAGGGGGAGCTGTCAAAGGAGAGGACGGATCTATAACTTACCAGGTGACATGTAGAAGGTAGAGCCGCATCCGAAGTCGGAGGTAAAGTAGTCCGTGGTTGCGAGGCCAAAGTCAGCAAGTTTGACGGTCATAGCCTGGTCCGTGACGAGTACGTTCTCGGGCTTGAGATCGCGGTGGTAGATTCCAAGGTTGTGGCAGAACTGCACGGCATCTAGCAGTTGCAAGAACACGCGCTTGACCAAGGGGTCATTTCCGACGAAGTTTCCCTTGTCGGTGATACTGGAGAACAGATCACCCTCCGGGCAAAACTCCATCACGACGTAGGTGCAGTCCAAAGAATCCATAATGCGAACCAAGGAAACCACGTTAGGATGTTGACTCGCCAAATGGTGGAGGCGGATTTCGCGTTGCTGGTATTTCAGCTGGCGGGGATCCAGACCATTTTTGTTGAGCGCCTTGACGGCATAACGGATGTTGGTGTGGATATCGACGGCAGTGTAGACAACACCGTACGCACCCACACCCAGAATGCCAGTCAGTTCAAGCCGGTTGGCCAAGATAAATCCTAAGCGGTCCTCGGGAGCATAACAACGGGGTGATGGCGATGGCGGCGGCGTGGGAAGCATAGTAGGATACATGGTCGCCGTCACAAGGAGTAGAGGGCGAAAGAAGAGAATATAAATGGATTCAAGTCGTATAAAGGAATGAGTTGTCCTCTCTTTTACTCCCGGGGGGCGGGAATATAGAGTTGTGATGGGGGAGGGGAGGCGGGATAGGTCCTGGGTATTTAGAGATCCAAAGTCCACGGCATTCAGAGGCAGGAGTCCATTCCACGGGGAAGTCCGACTGGTCCTAGGGAGAATATTTCTGTTGAAAGGGAGAAATTTCGGTCCAGATGGAAAGTGGTATATAGAAATCAAATCCAGAAAAAAAAAACGAACAGCAACAACCGGATGGAAAAGGAGAGAAGTAGCACAAGGCTAAGAATCGAATTGTTATGGTTGGGGGGGGGGGGCCCATAGATAAAAATAATCGATGATGCGTCCAGTTCGTGGGCATAGCCCATGTGGACAAGCTGCGGGCCAGGCCACCGTGGCTTTCGACGCTTCGACAAGCGGTGTGCAGGCAATGCGACCTACAGGCCAATCAGGGCTGCCCCGGGTGCAGCTATGCAGGCGCCACCTGCAGGCGGTGATTGGGTGGAGCCGGGGGGGGGGGTCGCACATAACGATCGTCTGGCGTTGCAGAAGCCTCCTAGAAAATAGGGGCCGTTGGCTGTGTGGCAATACAGTTGAGGAGGGTGGTCGGCCGGTGGGCACACCACTGGCCACACCACTGGCCACTGCCAGTGGGTCTGCTGTTGGCCTGTTGCTGGCCTGCTGCTGGCCTCTGCTGGCGCCTTTCTGTTGGTGGTCCCGCCACCTCATCGGATCCAACGAGGATCCAGCCCCCCTTTCCTCCCAGCCCCGCAGGATGATGTGTGGATACGAGTTAGGAATGGAATGGAGGCGATGTTTCTGCCTTGTCTCGTTTCACCCGTCCATGGTTCCAAGGGGCGATGGAGTGTTGAATGCAGGCCATCGAACCTCCCAGACCACCAGCGTGACTGGATCGCTCTTCCGTCCTTCCGTCCTTCCGTCCTTCCCACGCCTTCTACACCGCGAGTTGGGTCTTTCCACACGCAACTTTATTCCCCACCGCGTGAGAGCCTGGGTGAAAGAACCGGGATTCTGGGAAGAGTCTGGAAGTGAGGCGATGAGGGAGGGGTGCTCTGGCCAACCATTTGCCCAAGGCGTTCGTTTTCGAGAATAGTGTGGAGATCGTTAGACCTTCGCACGGGCCTGGGATGTCGAGACCCTGGCAGCAGAGATGGAGATTGATTGGGTGAAGAAAGGGAAGGGCCACGCACAGCCCAGGAGCGGCCTGTGTGACTTGGTGTCTGTTTTTGACTCTGTGACTCTTGGTCTGACTCTTGGTCTGACATTGGGGGTTGGTCCAGTTGGAGTCTACCGCCAAGGCAAAGAAAAGGTTGTGGTTGTGGTTGCCCGGTGATGTCTGCCCTGTTTATCCGTACGGAGTAGGCAGTAACTTCTGCTACTGCTGCTTGGCCAGTCAGGTGATGGATGCATCACATCGCTCCTTCCCTTTTCCCGCACCTCCACCTGCACCTGCCGTACCCCAGGATTGGCACTGCAGGTCGCTTGCTTCCGAGACTTCGTAGCTCTACAGTGTCCAGTATGTACTCCGTACCAGATAGTACTCCGTACTGTAGCTTGTACTCCGACTCTGTATACACTTCAACCTTCACCTTCACCGCCATCTTCTACATCACAACAATCTGCATGTATGGAGTACTGACTCCATACTTCTGAAGATACTCCATACTCTGATTCCCACTAGTCCTGTGCTATTGCAGCAGGATCCAAACTATTCAAACTACACTACGGTGTGACATAGTGTCCCGAGTACATCCCACTATGGATATGGATACTCGTACTATGTACTACTGTACTCCGTACTCCGTACATACGTACGCTCTATATCTCCATTCAGATCTCAGCCAATCTCCATAGTCGACCCTATCCATCGCCCCTTCACTCTAGCCTTCACCCTCCCCATGATTACAGTATTATTATGCTGATCCTCCCTATCCTGCATGTGGCGGAATGCCGCAGGGGATGCGGCCACGCAGATTACTTCTGGCGGGACCCACATAATAAACACATCTCGACATCATCCAAAAACTAACAGTATCATCATATTAACCCGGTGTGGTTGTTCGCGGATACCTTTGCCACTGGCGAGAAAGACTCGCAGAAAGGTGGCAATAGCAATACCTGTGACAGGCCCGGAACTCAAGATCGACGACAGCTCGCCTTCGAGAAAACTCTCATCGACCCGATGCCGCCCTCCATCCTATGGGATTCTTTTCCAAGGCGTCCCAGATAACCATGCGGCCGCGTTGCTCCATTCTCCATCCGGCATAGTCCACAGCACGCAAATATCTGGGGAGGGGGAGGAGACTCCGTATTTCTCTCCAGCCAGTGACCACAGGTTGGCCACTCAATTAATTATTGTCAGATAGGCCAATCGGCTGCCATCCACTCCAATGGACGCCTTTCATCCCCATCCCGTCTGCTCCCTATTTGCCCACGTCTCGAGCTATCTAGAAAAAGCACCGAGGAACTGCATGCTCCTCACACGATGACTTGGTTTTGCCTCCTCTTACTGGTTCCTTCCAAGGAATTCTCTCAAAGCAATGCCGACCGACGAAAGGGGCAAGAGAGAAAACCGTTTGTGATGCGTCAAGCCGGGGCACTCTCCTTCTCCTTCCAGCGATCAGCTGTCAGACTTGTACCATGGATCGTTGATGTCAGAACTGCTGATCTAGAGCCTTTGTCGAATGCGAGCTGAACTACGGAGTACGGAGTACGGAGTGTATTACTGGTGGTGTTTACCTTGTAGTACGTACTACGGAGTACAGTATGTACGCTTTAGATTGCTAGAGTGAGCCGTGGATCCGGGGATTTCATGGCAATCTCTCTTCTTCCAATGATCGCCCTTTGAGCAGCCCAAAGCTCCAAGGCTGCTGTTCATATAGTACACATAGGGTGCTCCTTCCAGTAGAAAATAGTCGCCACGTCTGATTATTGGGTTCAAAAATCTCGGATCCCGGAATCACTTTTGACGATTTCTAGGATGGCATCCTATCCACCCGAACCCGAATGCAGCTGCGATGGTGTCTTGCAGTAGCTTTCTCCATAGGCTCGGCATTGTCTTGGAAGCCGCCACCGACAAGGATAGACGACGATGATGTCGTAGTCTAATCATCTTCACCTTCACTACGGAGTATGATTCTACGAACTTCTACATGAAGGGTGCGGAAACAGGCTACGAGTACTTACTATTCCAGGAGCGGCGGCGGAGAGGCGAGTGGGGCGTCTGGCTGAAGCTGGGGGTCGGTGGAGGCTGAACTGGTTGAAACGGACTCACAGAGGATGCCTTGCTATCAGCTGATCTGTCGACTATGCAGCATTGCGACAGGTGTTTCGCTGGACCCACGCTAGGGTGGTTGAGCGATCAATAATTTGATCTCAGCAAAAGCAACGTGTATCCCTCCAAATATTTTGGTTTTGGCCCCATTCTCCCAGAGCCGCATAGCCCCTTTAGAATGATTGCATAGAGGAACTTGTGCATCCTGATAAATACATCTTACAGCGTTGCGTCAAAGGATCATTAAGTCCATCAGTCCGAGTCCATACTAGTGGTTGCTGCCCGTTTGCCAAAGTACCATTATAACGTAAATATTCCAAGGTTGTGTTCAACTTGGAATTATAGTATCAGCCGAGTCAGCCTAAAATCTGCGTGGAGTTTAGCGCAAGCCCTGGTTTGCAGTAGTGAAATTTGAAATGCAAGGGAGGTCGATCTCGCAAAACGTTCACTACTACTCCGTACATGATGCATGATGCGATTTGCTTGCTTGAATACTCCGAGTCCGTACTGCTAGTACGTACATTTCTAGCTCAATGCGTCGATACGTCCAACGAGTTCAAGTCTCTACAGGGTCCACGGGTAAAATGAATTGTTTGTAGCGGAACGACTCAGGATAGTTCAAGTTGTATACTACTAGTAGTCTTGTTATTGAAAATTGGAAGTTTCAACAATACTAGTAGTACTGGTATTGTACCGCCAGAGCCTTCCGAATCTATGAATATATCGTGGTTCATATCTATTTGCGAAGATAGTCTGTAAAATCAAGAGGTAAATATACTGGGGTAGGGCGCTAGGTTATTGTTCTAAAACTGAGTTGACCAGGATTAATCTCCACAGGCAAGGAAAAGGCTTGGAATATTCCACGCGCAAGGTATAAAGATGATATCAATATGGAGACACTATGTAAAATCGACCATGTCACTATTTGCGGGTTAAGAAAGGGTGTTTCAACGCCTCGGTAGGGGTGCAACGTTTCTCAGGGTTCAGACTGAGACAACGGTCCAGGAAATCCACAAATGATTGCAAGTCTTTCACCTCGACATCTGACATTCCGCGCGTGCCCTTGCCCATGAGCCGGGTTTTGATATCACGAGTCGGTTTCTTGAAATCCACAATCTTGGTGACAAGACGGCCGGTGATCTTGTCTTCCTCTGTGCCGTGGAAGTTGAGCATGTCATCGAAGTGGAGGTGGGCGAGAGATCCTCGCCGCAGGAGTTTAGGCGGGTACTTTCCGCGACACTCCATGATGGAACGGAGCATTTGATTGTTGTTGCGACCGGTGAAGAGGATTTTGCCGGTGTAAAGCTCGAAAAGGGTGCATCCGATGGACCAGACGTCAATTGCGTAATCATAAGGAATGCCGAGGATAATCTCTGGAGCACGGTAGAAACGACTGACGAGGTAGGGAGTAATCTCATTGTCCGAGGCGGACGATGCAGATCCCAGATCGCACACTTTCAGGAGGTTGAGCTGCTCATTAACAAGCAGATTGTCTGGCTTCAGATCTGCATGCAAGATGTTACACTTGCGCATGAGGCTGAGTCCTAGGAAAATCTGCTGAGCATAGGCACGGATGGCACCTAGATTCAATCCGACATCGCGTCCGAATTTCTTGAGAACCTCGCGAAGATTCAGACTTAAATTCTCAAAGACCATGCACAAATGACCCTTGTGTTCGAAGTAGCGCTCGAACTTGATGACATGCTTCTTGTCTTCTGGGTCGGCCTCATGCAGTTGCTCTAGGATATCAATTTCTTTCATACCGGCTTTGCGCATGGTATCATTCTGGCGAATGATCTTGATAGCAACCAGCTTGTTGGTCTTGGAGTCGGTGGCCCGTACGACAGCAGAAAACATTCCCTTGCCGAGGGTTTGGGTGACATGATAACGACCGTTGATCAACTCACCAAGCCGCACGTTGTAGTACCCTTCGGGATCATCCCAGTTGTCCATCATGCTAATGTCTAATTCCTGGGGCTGCGGGACAGCCATCGCCGATGCATGAGAAGGATGGTCATCTTTCGGGTCTTCGGCAAACATGTCATCGTCGTCGTCCTCAGCAAACATGTCGTAAGGATCCTTGGTCTTTGGTGGTGCTGGTGCTGGTTGCTCAGGGGCAACGTCGGGGATCAGAATGTCCTGCTTTGCGGCTATTGTCTCGTCATAGGCAGCGGATGATAGTTCGTCTTTCGAGCTCTGAACTCCCCTGTGCTTTTGTGTCTCTTCTTTCATGTCGAATGTAGGATCGTAATCTGCAGCGGAAGGCTCGTCTTTTTCAGAGCTATCTACGGGAGTTCCAGGATTGGCGAGGTCGGCGTCCCTGCCAATGTTAAAGCGAGGGAAAGAATCTCCAGCCAGATCATTAGGTGTCTGAGACGGAGACAATTGCGGTGAGCCTACGGTTACAGCAGAGAGGTTAGTTGGCTTTGTACCATCGTGTCTCGGGTCGCGAAGCCTACCTGACTTGTCTAATGCGCTGGCGGGCTCTGCGCCGGGTGTAGATGAATCCGTATCCACATCAGCATGAACGGCTTTTAAATGTAAGGGTGTTGCTTGACTCCGATATTTCGCTCGAATCGCCTCGCGCCGTTTCCGACGGGCTTCCAAAGCAGCGGCTTCGTCAATCGGCTCAGCCGACTGCGGCTCTTCTGCCGTTTCAGGCGTCTCCGATCTGTAATAAGTATTAGTTACGCGATTCTTGAGGCAGGTGTTGAATAAAACATACTCGTCAGCAAAATGGGCTCGCCTGGGCAGAACCTGTTGCACCTGATTCTCTCGTTTTTCAGCATCAAGCCTAGAGTCTCGAGCACTAGCAGGAGCCTTTCTCTCACTCGTCACCTGTTCAAAAGACGGCCTGCGCCTCTTGGTGTCCTTTGGAGGCAATACCCCGTTTGCTTTCGAATATGATTCGTCGTATTGCTTAGGCTTCCGGATTTCGCGATAAGGAGATCGGCTCCGGGGGCGAGGTCGCTTGTCTTTTCCCGAATCGTGATCATGGTCGTCGGTATATCGCAATCCGCCACCGTAACCCTCCTCGCGGTCGTAGTCATAATACGACTTCGGGCGGCGGGGAGGTACGGCTCGATCCTGGGTTCTTTCGTCGTATCTCGACCCATAACGGCGGGTAGGCTCGTGTCGAGCGCGACTAGTTTCGTAATCATCATATCCGTCGTTGCGTCTGCGCTTGTAGCCTCTGTTGTCGCGATACGGGGATCGGGATCTTGACCGCGACCGTGACCAGGATTTCCGTCGGCGTGGTGATGTACTGCCTCTTAGGGACGAGGGAGATCTGAGCGCCGATGAAGTGCTATCTCTGAGGGGACGGTCAACGCTGGTGCCATTTAAAGGAGGTTGTGAGGCAGTTGCCTTCATCTCAGAACCTGATTCAATGATCTCACCCTCAGAAGGGGTCGACGGAGACCGCGACCGGTGATGCAACGCCATGTTGATGGACTATCGCTGGGCAAACAATTTACCACTGAATGAAACCGTGGTGCCCTTCTTTTCTTCTTTCTTTCCTCTTGATGAAATGTCTTCTTCGGCCTTTGGAGGAGGCTTCAGTAATCAAAGCTCAGTTAGCGCGAGCTCCAGAGATAAAACCAATTGTTAGGTATTTGAAAGTCCAACCGGCTTGAGGGGCCTGCCTTCGCACCAAAGCCTCAAAAACTTTGATCAATCCAAACACATGTGAGGCCCAATACTGGCAAGTTGATGAATGCGAAGAATATCAGTCGAGATCAATTCGATGCTGTTGCTGGGAAGAGGAAGATGAGCGGAGGTCAACCAAAATTGCCTCGGGGGATTCCCGCCCAGTTCCAAATCCGGAAAGCGGTATGGTCGCCCCTCCCGATAAGCGTCTCTGGGGATTTTTTTCATTTGCCCTCGCCGCTGACAACCCCTCAACCCTCTCTTTTTCGATCAAATCTCTTTCGTTTCAATCTATTTTCACAACTCAAAATGGGTGGCGCAAGCAGAGAAGGTATGCGGAATGCGTCTCTCTCCCTCTCCCCTCCTCCGATGCTCTATTCCATCTTCAACATAACAAGACTAACGGTCGTTTTTTTGACTAGGTGGCAAAGTCAAGCCTCTCAAGTCCGCCAAGAAGGACAAGAAGGAACTGGACGAGGATGAAATTGCTTATCGCGAGAAGCTCAAAGCCGGTAAGTTTTGCCCTCATATCAGAATGCTTTGATATCTCTTCCTAACGTGAGACATCACAGACGCCAAGGCCAAGAAGGACATGATGGAATCGGCCAAGGGCAAGAAGGGTCCGCTGAACACCGGCCAGCAGGGCATCAAGAAGTCGGGCAAGAAATAAGTTGATCGGAAAATGGAACTTGGGAAATCTACATTCGCATGTTCGCCCGCCATTTTTCCAGGGGCGCTCAGTCCCTTTCACGACCTCAACGAGCCATACCTACGAGCGATTTGAGAGGGTGGCATTCCTCTACTTTAGCAATCAATATCATGAGCAGTGCCCTGGATGTACTCCTGCATTCCTGCATATACATAAGCCATCAATCAATACCAAACATTTTTGAATAATTTCTTGAGGGGGGGGGGGGGAAAAAGGGTCAGAAGACCCAATTTTATAGATTGAGGAGATTGTTTGGATATTAGAAAGAAACAACAACAACACAGGAACCCTTGCTAAAGAATGGAAACAGAACGCTGGGGAATTAAGCATCACCAAATAGCACGCGGGGTATCCAAATCAGAATAATAGGAGAAATAGGGATCATTCACCGCAAGGAAACCTTGGAAGCACTACGTCTCTCATTTCCTCGGTTGACACTCAACTCGTGACGCGCTTAATCCAAAGATTACTGCCATCGCCATTATTCTCCTTCTCATCCAACCGTCTCCACGCTCGCGCGACCTTCAAGCCAAGCTCGTGCTCCTCACGCTTGATCTCCGCAATCTCATTTTCGATGCTCTGCACACTCTTCTTCACTTCGGCCTTCGCAGCCACGTCATATACGAAGGAACCGGGCTGGATCACCCGGGTTAATTCATGGATGACAGTTTCCAGGTTGTGTCTGCGTTTCGCGAGTTCATCCCGTTTAGCCTCCAGAGACTCGATCCGGCCCACTGCATCCTTCGGCTGGTCCTCCATCGGATTCTGAACAGTCAATGTCGGCTCCTGGGTTACCTCCGAGGGAGTGGGTTTCCGTACAGGCTTTTTAGAGACCGGCATGCCTGGAATATTGATAGGGACTGGTCGTCGTCTAGACATAATTGGAACGTCATCCGTAGACTTTGAGTCGAGCTGAAAGCTTTCGCGCGGGCTATCATCCGGGCTGTCGCTTGGACCGCAAGTCTTCATGGTGGGTTGAATCCTGGCGCCACGGCTGGTTGGCCTCATCATATTCTCAGGTATGGTGTCGACAAAACTAGTCTCGTCTCGAATTCGTTGCTCTGGCTGCTCGAGTTGTTTCGGATATACTCGGGGTTTGCTCGAGTGGGCATACTCCGTGGCCGGTCTCTCTGGCAACGTTCTGGGGGGACCACCAGCAGTGATCGTTGTTACGGTCGTCGGCATGAATCCCAGCGTATTGTCTAATTGGGGACTGGCGTCTCTCGTGCCAGAGTGATTACCGGAATGCTCTGATAATGGGAGCACGCGTGACGATGATCTGCCTCGAGCGTCCTTCTGCATAGGAGATTCGTTTTTGGAAAAACTGCTGATCCGGTTGCGAGCCTGTGCGAGCTTTTTCTTGGTTTGGAGTTGCTCTCGAACCCCGTGGAGGAAATTGGATGCGTGTGATCCGGAGGGCTTGTGAAAAGTAGTGCTACGCGGGTTCACCTGACTTGTTTTGCCATTGTTGCTGTCGGTCGGTTCTCCTGAGTAATCGTCCCAGCGCCCAGGTTGGATTTGATCTTCGTGTGTCGCGAATTGCACAGCCTTTGGCATAGGCTGTGCGGGTTCCGAAGCCAAGGGGGAAATATCGAGTTGGGGGAGCGGCGCATTGACAGAGGTCCGAGAGTTGTCGCGGTTATGTTGAATAGGTTGATCCGTCTCGTTGATCGGCGAGACGCAGAAGCTGCTTTCACTATCACGTCTGTCTGTAGATCCAAGTTCTGGTGATTCTACTGGGGAGACGGCGGAGTGTCTCGTGTCGTCAGCACCACCCCGCGGGAGTGGCAGGGTTGTTGCGGACTGTTGGGCCAACGAGGATCTAGATGCGCTGCGACGAAAGACGGGAATTAGGATAAATGGACAGATCAGATCGATCGTTTGCGCGCTTACCTTGGCAAGGCGGGCAGGTCCTTTGCGTACGAGTACTTGTTGACCAGCGAGGGATCCGCAGAAGCCGAGACGTTCGTCATATCATCCGGTGTGGGGTTGTTGCCCACCGGCCGTCGCGATCGACTAAATGGTCCTTTAGGCCACATATTGATCTGCGGTGTTGTGATGAATCGATGAGAGACTGTTGCAGATCAAGGAATTGCGGTCTGTGATGTGATCCTCTCTAAATCGAAGAGAGGAGGCTGAATGAAGACGGGTGACGAGCAAGGAAGCCTGGCAATACACCACCCTTTTTGTTTACCACGGGAATCAAAGAGCGGGTGCGACCAACCAGCTGAACCCCAAATGCCAGTTAGATACTTTGGGCTGTCAGGCTCTGTTAGTAGGTTGTCAGACTGTCAGACTGTCAGACTTGTCAGAATGGACAAGGGAAAAAAAAAAACAAGGCGCTTCTTCAAAAACCACCATGGCATCATTAGGCTACCCTAAGTGGGTAGCGACAAATTAAAATGGGGGTGATTGACGAGTGGAGTTGAAACATGGAGCTTTCAGGGACTGGGCTGTGTTGGCAAGGACGTTTCATATGAGAAGCGGAGCTTTGGGCGCCAGTCTGGAGGGGCTATTAATACTCCGTAAATGGACATGAATAGAAGGGAGAATATGATTCAATAATCAGTAGTCAGTCATGTAAAATTAGTGATTCAATGTACAACAACAAATCTGCATACAAATAAGCGGTATCACGTGGACGATGACATCGGCCTCCCCGCTTTGCAGCTCCTCCGCAGAATCCGATCGGTTCTCCCGTCCTGTCAAAAATATCCCCTTCCATCACATTCCTGCCATTCCATCCATCATGACCTCTGTTGGTAATTATGTCTCAGCTCAGCTTCCATGGCCTCTTAAGCTCTACTAATCAGGCCTAATCCAGAGGATTCTGTACCACCGGCCGAAGTGTCCGTCATCCCGTTGATCCGTCAATCACCCACCCCAAGGATAGAGAATCCCGTACTAATCTTCCACAAACAGCATGTCGGTCGCCTCACCCATCAACCTCATCCTCCTCTCGCTCTTCGTCGTTCTGGTATACTACCATTTCCGCCCAAAGCAAGCCATCAGCCTTCCGCGCGGCCCACCCCCCGTTGTCTTCCGCACCTACACTCCCAAGACCTTGATTGAGTTCAACGGCGAGAATGATCGCCCCGTATACCTAGCCGTGCGGGGCCGTGTATTCGACGTGTCCCCCAGCCGAAATTTCTATGGACCGGTAGGTGGATGTTATTCTCCGTCGATCTCAATGTGATCAAGACCCTCCACGACAGATTTGCTAACAAGCTCGGTATCATAAAGGGTGGCCCTTACGAAAACTTCGCCGGCCGCGACGCCTCGCGTGGCTTGGCTCACCAGAGCTTCGATGTTGAGATGCTGACGGAGGACCTGTCAGCTCCATTGGATGAGCTCAAGGATCTGGATGCTGATCAGCTGGAGAACCTCCAGTCGTGGGAAGACCGCTTCTCCGAAAAGTACCTGGTGGTTGGTAAACTCGTGGCTGAGGGTGATTCTGAAGCACCCAAGTCTTGATCGACAAGATCTACATGAGCATTATCGATATGAAATGGCTTTTTGAGCGATTGACAGCGGGAAAGAAGAAAGATTCGATATGACAAGTGTCCTACGCCATTTTCACTTGTGGAAAACCCACTCCGAGCTTGTTCCTGGTCTTAATATGGGAGCATGGATAGTGGATTTCCATCTACGGCTTCAATTGTAAATAGACCGAGCCGCGTTTTCGTTTTAGGGCTAAAATATGTGTTATCTCCAAGTATATTGTATTGTCAGCATTTCGGAGAATAATTATGACCATACTAGTATTGTCGATCCACCTGTACAGTCATTCTGTCCTGCCATCTAAACCGCTACCATAGTACTCCTAGTACATACCGCCATACTAGTATTTATATCCACTGGCAAGCCCGAGTTACTGGGCCATGTTGCCGCCGGCGAAATTAAGTCTGGAATGCCATTGAATAGTACCGTTTATATATAAGCATATTTGAATCAACATACGGAGTATTTCCAGACTCATTTTGGTACTTAATGAACTATCTTATGCTCTGGTTGCCTTATGTTGTGATTCTCTTATCTGGTGACATGCATTCTTCATTGATCTACATCCTTAGAAAAACACCCTCTCTTTTGCAAGTATCTTGGTGTTTGTCTTCAAGCAAGCACACATTGCTTCAAAGTTTACTTTCTAAACGCACATTCTTCTTTTCTTTAGTAATTAATATCTAGGCATTATGGTGTGTTATAATCCCCTTCATGTTCGCTTTGTAAATATAAATACTGGTAGTAATGCCAGTGGGAAATGTAATTATAGATGCCTGGATACTGTATTTAAAAAACTACTGATTTGAATCTGACTTGGAATTTTCAATGAGAATACTACTATATTGATTTAAACATTGCTGTGACTATCGTGTCTTAGAACCTTTTATATACTAAACGTGGTCAGGGCCCCATCTCCGGGCCTCATCTCCGGGCCTCATCTCCGGGCCCCATCTCCGCTACTGGTCGTTTCTTTGATACCTACTGGCATTAGAGTAGTAGCTACCACTACGATTATAGTCGGTCATCTACAAAGTACCCTACTGGTATCTACTGGGGACTGCTTTTGATCAAAAAAAGTATGAACTTGAGAGTCAATTACAACCTGAATAACGATAGTGTCTCTGCTGGCCAAGGTATTTATTGCATAATCCCTTAAGCCATGATATCATGGAAAATAGCTCTAGCAGTAGCAGCTAGAAGCTGTCCGTTAAGTTGCTTCTGGGCTAAGAGAAGCAACGCCTGTGGTTGACCATAGGTTTTTAGGTCGAGATCTTGAAACAAACCTCGACAGACAGGATCGGGATCATGCTGCAGCAACAATTGAACGATTGTGATGTGTTTTCTGGTCGCTGCAATTTGAATTGGGGTTTCACCTCGATGGTTCAATGGCTCTATCTCCACGTGCCTCTCAAGCAATCGATGTGCAGTATGGAAATCACCTGAGGACGCAGCTTCATGCAATGGGGTGTTCCCGAGTCTATCGGGTGTTGAGATATCAGCGCCCGATTCTAGCAGAAGCGCTGCCATCCTATTGTTGGGTATCCCGTAGCTTATTGAGTTGTGAAGAGGCGTGGAGTTATCAATCCCGGGCTGAGCATCGACAAAAGCGCCGTGATTCAACAAGACCTCAGCTGTTCTGATCGAATGGCTCAAAACAGCGTTGAAAAGTGGTGTTTGCAGATCATAATCAGTCGCGTCAACATCAGCTCCCAGCTGAATCAAGCGTTCCGCAACTTCATGGTAGTCAAAGTAAGCAGCGTAGTGCAACGGAGTAGAGCCACGGGGACCCGGGGTCGTAACATCAATTTTGTGGCTACTTTCGTGATCCAGCATGAGTCTAAGCAGAGGAGTCTTGGTTAATTTGCGACGGTGCTCCATGCAGCGTCTTCTAGCGAGATCTGACGCAGCTTCTTGAGTTCGGTCTTCATGGAGCGCTGGGATGTTGAACAAGTTCCGGTCTTTGGGTTTGAGATACCACAACAGAGGAGATGTGTTTCCCCAGTGACGGCCATTCGGATCTGCCCCGGCATCTAGAAGCAGCCGGAGCATATCAATGTTTCGATTCTCCAGGGCCTTCATCAAAACATAGCCTTCTCTAGCATCTGCATCGGCTTCTTTGGAAAGTGACAGTTGTGCGGTCCTCATGAGACCGTTTTCAACGGCAAAGACCAGAGCGCAGGAACCAGTTTGAGCATCTTTAGCATACAGCACGGGGTTGAGAAGCGCATAAAAAAATCGGTTTGTTCTGGCCAATACAGCGATGCCGCTGTTATTCATCGTGTCGGCGAGGTGGAGAAAAACTTCGTTCGGCAGACGATAAATGGGTGAATTGAGCTCAACCCCTTGAGCCTGGAAAGCGACGGAGGAAGACTGGAATGAAAGTGAGGTTAGAAATAAACATCCGTCTCAGGATAGCAGAAGACGATGGATGACTTGCATTGTTATTATCCATGATGGCGCTCAAGTTGAAATGGGAATGCATAGGTTACTATCTAAACAGGGTGAAGTGGTAGAAGATGAAGTGGCAGGTGCAGAAAAGTTGGAAAGAAGTGAAGGAAGTGAAGGAAGTCACCTGGGCACCATTGGAGAGCTTTGGTGACCACCCTGAGGCACTCTTGCTTCGGTTTAGAAACACGCTTCTGCCTAGTATGTCAGTACTGTAGTAGATATAAACATTGGTTATCCTACCCTACCCTAGGGTACTTGGGTATCTTACTTAGTTATCTACTAGTAGATAGGTAAAGTGTGATACGTGTGATACTAGTATAATTTTGATGCAAATAATCAATGATACAAAGACATGATCGAGGTAGCTGCAGGATGTTACAACTTTATGTGAAATAGTTATTCCCCGGAGGAACTGGAGTGCGCCTTGCCCATCCAGAATCCCTCCATCTCCCAACGGCGGGCAAGAGCGAATTGCTCAACAGCAGGGGTCCTCATACCCGATCCCCACCATTTTGCATTCAAAAGCGCCATTTTCCCATTCAAATCATTGTCGTTGGACCAGTTGATATACCAGGACCAGTGGAGTCGTCTCCACGGCATCGGTCCTCCCCAGCGATGCGCATGGTTGAGGAGATCTTGATCCGGAACGCCCATATAGTATAATTCAGGGAGGTTCAAGAGGTTGGTATAGAACTGAAAGAGCTCTGATGAAGGTGAATAGATGAAGACTCCACCATTGAAATGTCGCACCGTTTTCTCGCGATCCAAGAATGGGTATTCATGTTCACGCTGGAACGACTCGGCCGATGCGGCCATCACAAATTTTGCCGGCGGCTTCCCTAGCTCCGAGTTATCAATGATCGTCTTGTCTGTCTCCGCCGGCTCAGTGCTTGGATCCAGAAAAATACGATCGATGGGTCGTGTGAGAACGATATCGGCCTCGAGAAAAAGGACTGTCTCGTATGGGATTACGGTTGGATCGAAGAGGCGCAGCTTTGTCGCCATTTCCGACCACCGTGAGGGCGTCACTGGCATGCTGTGGGTTGCATGGTCCACCTCAATGACAATCGCTCCATCTTCTCGCAATCTATGGCGTTTAGCCTCGCGAACCTCCGGAGTGACCAAAACAATGATAGGTACTGGGTCCCGTAGCTTCGTGCTCGGCGAATGAAGCAGCTGGTAGACCAGAATGCGGGTGCTCACAAAGTTTCCGTCATCGTTGTCAATTTCGGTTTCGGCTTCATCAGCCTTTGAAGTTAAGAAGGTACTGATCGCGTGCCGACCCTTGTAGATAGATTGTTGCTGCTGATCTGCTTCAATATCGGGAATGTTCAAGGTGTTTGGCGGTGGTGCTCCAAATAAAAGCCAGACAGTGAATCCAATAGAAAATAAGCAGAAAGCTACAAGCTTCTTGCTCATGAAATCATCGGGTCGCGAACTTGAAGTCACGGTACTTTGAAGCATGACTGCCAGTGCTGCCCCAAGTAGAACTCGAATTGTAACTCAGGGGCATTTCGAGCAATACTTATATAAACATCCATCTCGTGGACCCTAGGAGCTTCCAAGGTTGAAGTAGTAATCACCGCAGCCGTCAAAATGGTTGTCATGTAACCTACCACAGCTTATCCCACTACGAATTTAGTATAAGCCCACACCAGAAACTTTAAACCATAGTGATTGATCAATCTAGAAGGCATGGAGGTTACAATGGTGACCGAAAGCGGCGTTCCTCGGAGCCGCTGTGGAGTTCTAAATGCTGATTGGTCGGTTGGCGATGTATACCATTTGGTGCCTCGATCGGTAGACGAGAAGAGAAGACAACTCCGACTCGGACTCGTGAAGAACAAGATATAGGGCCTCTGTTGAAATAAGACTTCTGAGAGCGTATTGATGGTAAGTTTATACCGAATTATTAGATATCTCGATACATCAAGCCTATATACTCGCTCGGTTCTGTCTCTACTTCGAAACGCAAGACACAGAACCACCACAATACGAGGACAAATTCGGGCTGAAGGCGGCGGTGATATCTAACAAAGTAAAGCGAAGTAGAAAACAAAAGGCGATGACGCGAATGTGAATTTGGGGAAGAATGGGAACTTGAAATAGTCCCAGCCTGATGAATCATGTACCAGACCTGGGCCCCGCCAAGCCAACCAGCCAAATTGTTCCCACTACGTCACTGCGCGATCATCCCTGCTCAATGCTTTTTCCCTGTCTACACCCTGTTCTGTTCCAACTCCAATGGTTGCCCCTTTCATCACGATCCGGGCGCTCATATTTAAAACCTCCGTGCGCCTGGCCTTAAAATTTTCCCTTCTTCACCTATTGCCAGTACGTCGAACTTCACTTTGAACTTACCCGACCCACAGTTACACTATACTAACCTAGCTTCCACCTCCAGCTACTTTGATAAATAGCTTAAGTCCAACAACCATCAACATGAGATTCCACCTGGCCTCAGGTCTGGTATTTTTACTCGCCACCACCGAAGTTGTTGCAGCTTCGAGTTGGTGGAGCAAAGCTGGTGCGTCGCCTCAAGATACACATCCATCGATGGGTACTAACATCGTCCTAGTCTACAACAAATGGCACGAAACTGAGCTTGAGCGATGGCTCTCAGATCATGGTAGGGATGACCAGTCATCGTCCTTCCAACTTACCTGGCAAGCAACATTGACTTAGTTCAAACAGATATCCCCTACCCTAGCCCTGCCGACCGCAGGGATCTCGAAAATCTTGTGAAAACCAACTGGGATAGCCGAGTGCAAAAGCCCCTCGGTAATGCTGCAGACCAAGTCTCCGACGAATTTTACTACGCGAAGGAATGGGTCTTTGATACGTAAGATACTTTCCGCCTTTCTTGACAATGTGAACCGTAATTAACTTGGATGGCAGTTGGTCGGATTCGCAGTTGAAGGCATTCCTTGATCGCCACGGCATTCCTGCACCCCAGCCCCGCAAGCACGACGCACTGGTCAAGGCCGCACGCGAGAACTACGAACTGGTCGCAAAAAAGGCCGGCGAGACCGCAGCTTATCCCGGTAACTGGCTGTACGAACAATGGACCGAGTCGGACCTCAAGGGGTGGCTTGATGAGCGCGGATGGCCTGCTCCCCAGCCTACGAGCCGTGACAAGCTTATTGCTTCCGTGCGTCGCAACTCTCGCCTGGCTAGCCTTCAGGCCAAATCTATCTCAGCATCGGCTGCCGCATCTGCTCAAGCTGCTCAGGCATCACTGAGCGATGAGCTTTTCAATGCCTGGTCTGATTCTAAGTTGAAGGAATTCTTTGACGAACACAATGTCAAGGTGCCCCAAGGTTCTAAGCGCAATGAACTCATTGCCCTTGCCCGTAAGCACCGCGCCTACCTCGTCGACAAAGCTGCCAGTGCTTCCGCTGCCGCCGCGGATACAGTTGGTGCCGCTACTACAAGAGCTGGAAACGAATATGCCCGAGCTACCGAGGACGCGAAGCTGAAGGCCGAGCATGAGTTCAACGTTGCAATTAAGTTGTGGTCGGATTCCCGCCTCAAGGCGTTCCTGGATGCCCGAGGCGTTCCTGTTCCCCAAAATGGCAAGCGTGATGAGCTCATTGCGAAGGTTCGCGCCAACGCCCACAAGGCCGCTGGTGGATTCAACCAATACAACTTTGATACATGGGACAAGGAACATCTACTGTAAGGGATCTTACCGACCTCGATTAGGGTTGCTCTAACATAATTTCCTAGCAAATATCTCTCTGCGATGAATGCGAAGGCCGCAAAGAAAGCCGATGCCTCTCGCGAGGAGCTGATCAAGCACGCCAAGGACTCGTACGCAAAGGCCTCCAAGGCTGGCGGCCAGCATTACGCATCTGCCACCTCAGCAATTGCCCAAGCCACCGGCTCCGTCAAGGAAACCACCTTTGACCAGTGGTCGCAGTCCGATATCAAACAGTATCTTGACTCATATGGAATTCCAGCATACCAGGGCTCGAGCATCAATGAGCTCCGCGCAGCAGCCCGACGCCACGCCACATATTTCAGATATGGAACCACCACCCCATCTGAGACGATCTACGCCAAGTTCATGGATACTTTGCATTGGGCTCTGGATCAAGTCAAGATTGGAGCTTCCGGTGGTCGCGCGCAGGGCCAGGAAGCGGCTGAGAAGGTACGCGAGAAGGTCTCGGATGAGACGCAGCGACTGCGTGGAGAGCTGTAAAAAGCTAGATGAATAGGAAAGTGGAGCTGTGATATGGCGTGCGCTTTCGTTCATTGACTTTTCTTTGATCACGACGATATGATTTCTGATTTTTCGTTGAGGCTTTCTTCGGGATTTTCTATTTTATTTCGGGAGCTTACTTTGATGTTGGCGTGTCAATAATACGTAGTTATCCTCCCAATCAAGCTACAGGTCAGCCTGTTGGAACAACCACCTACTCGTAGAAGTAGAATGGGAGTGTGAATTTGGCTCGGCGCTAGTTCGATGCGGGGCCACCCTGACCAGGCACGCTTGTTCCCCCCCTGTTCCCTCGTCTTCTCAGTCACTCCTGCAGATAAACCAAAAGGTACACTTATTTGTCTGTGAAGTACACTAGAGTTCCCCCTGTGAAGTGTGAAGACCCAGCATAAGAATAGCTTGAATATCCGGAAATCCCTGTCACAAAGGGCGGCCGCCACCTTGTGGTAACCCGCGACGTCATCCCGAGCAGCTCCATAACTCTCACTCCACCCCCGACCTGCCATCCTTAACGACCTACACTACACCCCATGGATCCCCTCACGCCACACTGCCGCGAGCTGGCCTCGCCTGGCATTTTCCAACCCATTCTTTCTGTGTAATGTCCCTCTGTCGACTATCTCTCGAAAGAATCCCATCCACTAACTACGACCCCAGCTTGATCATTTTTGGTATCCTCTTCTCCTACCTTCCCCAGCATGCCCGTATCATATCACGCAAAAGCTCCTTCGGCATATCGCCCTACTTCATTCTACTGGGAACAACGTCAGGCACGTCGGCATTTGCGAATATCCTAGTCTTCCCTAAGACATCGCAGGATGTCGGGTGCTGCCAGCAGATTAGCGGGATGGCCTGCTTCGCAGGCCTACTGGGCGTGTTCCAGGTGGGCATGCAATGGCTTTGCTTCTTCTCCATGTAAGCTCACTTTGCTACCGATGTCGAGCGACTCTAATCACTCACTCACTGCCCGCAGTCTTCTTCTCTTTGTAATCTATTTCCCTCGCGCGACCTCCCCGACCGACCCTGTCAGCCCCGTGTCCTCGACGAATGGCCACACCTATCGCACCGCCTTGTCCATAAGTGCCATCTGCATCCTCCATGCTCTGGTGACAGTCATCCTATCCGTCGCCTTTGCCCTCCAGAATCCGTCCGCCATGCAGTCCTGGGCCAACTTCCTCGGCATTCTCGCTGCTGTCCTCGCGTCTATTCAGTACTTCCCGCAGATCTACACTACCTTTCGGCTTCGCTGCGTGGGGAGTCTCAGCATCCCGATGATGTGCATTCAAACCCCCGGTAGTTTGATCTGGGCCTCCAGTCTGGCAGCACGGGAAGGACTGAAGGGCTGGAGTATATGGGGCGTGTTGGTGGTGACTGCATGTCTACAGGGAACACTGTTGGCGATGGCTATCTATTTTGAATACTTTGGCCCGAACGGGAAAGGAAAGCACCAGACTGATGAAACCGACGCCCCGTCCAATGGGACGGCCTCTGAACGGCCTGAGACGCCTGCTGCACGGGAATCGGTGGATGCGGAGCGGCCGTCTGAAGAGACTCCGCTTCTGCAGAGTCAGTAGTAAGCTTACGACTTGGATCTGGTAGATGTACTGGTAGATGTTACAATCTCACGTTTTCTATAGCCCGTTGGATAGCACAGAAAATAAAAGACAAAGTACAATGAAGCAGTGGAGGTCCAAAATGAGAATATTTGATACGTTCGACTTGTATCTTATCCAGGAGCATCCCGTATGGGTTTAAAAAATGCCAATAACTAGGCTACAGTCCCCTCGCCCACTCTGCAAAGTAAATCCCTGTCCCCCGTCATCGCGTCGTTGCAAAATAATCTTGTTCGTACGCACGCCCTTTTTTATGCAGCGTAGATCAGACGGAAGACGTCGTTCAGGACAAAGAAGCTGCCCTGGCCATCGGGTTGGAGGTTGAAGCACTGGGTATAGCTCATGGGCTTCTGCTCCTCATCAACCTATTTCAAAGCGTCAGTATTGGCGATTCGTGAGTTAGAGATTGGACTTAGTTGACGCACAAGCAGACCACCGGTAACCAAGACAACGATGCCTCCCTCGCTAGAAGGCTGGGCGTCAAAGGTGGCAATCTGGTGGCGCACCTGCTGGAAGGGAAGGCTCTATTGATTGGAGATAGATATTAGTATATCTGCTTCCTGTTGGTGGTGCGAGAACTCGCTGGAAGGTTCAAGCTGAATGGAATGGGGGAGGACGAACGGTAAGCTTCTCGACGATGCCGGCGGTACCCTGGACGGAGGAGGTCTCGAAGGTGAGCATCGAGTTATCACGCTATTTCAGAATAATCGTAATTAGTAACCAAAGCTCACTAGATCAATTGCCGCTGGGAGGTTCGCGGCGCACGGGGCGGGACATAAGATCTTACGTAGAGAGGAGCCAGACCGCCGCGGTTGGAGTCGAAGGTCTGGTAGTAGAACTCAACGAACTGTTCTGTAAAGTTGAAGGTCATTGGTCAGATATATGGCTCGCAAACGGGGAACGACGGCTTCATTGGCCGTTTGAGGAGAAGGCCTCTCTCCCCGGCGCGGGGCAGGGATTGTGCGCGGGCGCATCGGGAATAGAGGACGGAGGGCCACGTACGAGCGACAGCGGTGAAGTCTAGGTTGGAGAATTATGTTAGTCAATGCTGCTTCTTTGTATATAACTGTATGTCTTCATATCCATCTGGTTGCTGCTCTATCTTGCATGGCGCAATCCATTCTCGCCAGCGAGGTGGGATGCAAGTACCCCACGCGCATAGAGGGGTAAAATAATCAAGGTGGAATATGGAGACTTCACAAATTGTGAGACTTACCGGCCATTTTGTAGAGAGAAGGTTGAAAAAATGTGAGAGGAGATATGACTGTATAGAAAGCTGGGAGGGCAGAGTGCTGAGAAAGGTATTTGTTGATGCGGGAGGGGCGATGTCCTCTGTGGGGCTCGAATTCTGCCGTTGCTGCCTGGCTGCCTGGCTGCTTGCCCAAGTCGTATACTAGTAGTACAGTAACTAGTAGGTACTAGTAGTAGATAGATCTATTTACTAGTAGTACTATGAAAGTAATTGCTATGGAAAGACCTGTTACTACGCATGGGGGGGCAGAATGCTATTTAAATAATCCTGCGAAGGACTTCGTATCATTGCGTTCGTTGCTATCTCTACCTTACCACACCCTGCGCGAACAACTCACTCCGAGTCTGACGCAAACATGTCCTCGGCTTTGGGCCGTGGTCTTCGAGGACGTCGGGAGGCGGGTTCTCGTTTTTCTGCTTCTGGATTTTGCTGCCTGGTGACATCTTCGGGCTGCTCTGGTGGTTGGTTCATGACAACGTCGCTATCTCGTGGCGTCCTTTCTTCCTCCATCGGCTCTCCTTCGTCGGGCATCTCCAAATCACTGTCCTCCATGGGAACGCCATCGATGTCGCTCATCGATTCGTCTTCGGCGGGGTACGCCCTGCCAGGTGCCTGATGAGCTGCGTTTTCTATCTCGGATGGCCCACTTTGATCGAAATAACTGGATCCCGGGTCTTCATCGTCAACCGTCTTCCATCGGTTCTTTTTCTTAGAAAAGGCGTTACTGGTTTGTTCAACTTCTGCCTTCTCCTTTTCTTTTTGTAACTCTTCGTCGGTGAGAGGTGGTTGCTCAAACATCTGGACAAAATGCTCGTGACTTGACTGCGGAAAAACACACCACCCTTCCCAGAGGTGAAGTAGGGTCCCCACGCTCCGCTTCCATTTCTCTGCCTTGAGTCGTCCCCAATGAAGGTCTTTCTCAAGTCGACCAAGGTGTTCAAAGACTTTCTGCGAGCGTAAGGCTGATTCGAAAAGCTGCCGATATCGCCAGGCATGGCGAACCCCACTAGTGGCTGATGATGAGAGGATATCCGAGATGGTGTATAACCCGACCAATTTGGCGGCAGAGAGGTCCATTTTTCCTTTAGAGGGGTTATCATTATCTTTTTCGTGACTCTCCCGATTTGCCGCATCATTTTCCAAATCTCGGTCAGGGTTGGCACCAGTATATGCCAGTGGATTGAGAATATTCAGGACAATCATATCAACAACTTCGTCGGCACCCAGTCCTGCGTGTTCGATGGCAAAAGCAGTAGTCCGCGCGATATCGCCTCGTCGGAGTCTAGCATGGGTTGTCGGTAGGCGAGCGAGTAGATGAGTGAGCTTGGCCTTTTGTAACGGGTTCATGTACCCGGTTCCATCATTTGGGCCATTCCCTCCCTCTGAAGGCGGTGCTCCTCCAAGATTTCGTCGTTCATCTTCACCATCCGACTGCTCCTCGTCGGAAGAGTTGTAGTCTTCATCAGAGATAATTTCGTCAAGGCGTGTTGTGAACTCGAATTTGATATCTCTTTCCGGGGGAAACCAGCGGGCTCCATCCTCAAAAACAGACGACGGCTTTTGACTCTTTGACTTTCGATTACCGTGAGACCGGGGGTTTGTGATGACCTGCCATAACTTCCAGCGATAGTAAACTCCACCAGGACTTCTTGCATCCCAAATCCAAGCCCATTTTTCCTCTCTCTGGACTTCCGGTCGGCTCATAAGCAGGGCTTCAAATTCGGGGCCATGATTAAGGAGATTCTCCAAGGTTTTGTGAATCAAACGTAATTGCTTAACATCTGCCGGCGCCTTCACTTCGACTTGTGTAGCTGGAACAGTTCGGCCTAGATTTGGTCCATATGAACTCGGGGGCGCAAAGCCCCCGCGATGTGAGCCTGGCGGTGGTGCCCGGCTGAGGTGTCCTCCTCCAAAGCTGGGTTGAATATTCTTTGCGCCGAAAGGGAGTGAGCTGTTGTTTGTCATGCTGATATTTGAAGGCATATTTGAGCTAATTGCAGCCGATGAAAGATGACGGGAGAGCGTTAGATAGTACCCCGGCCAAGATACTTGTTTTGAAGCGAGCTCACGGCGCTATCAATATCTGAGGCTGCCGAATCACTAGCAAGGGTAATGATTGCAGCCACTGATTTTCGCTCTGTTGCGGATTGGTTTTGCGGGCGGAGGATGTGGACGTTCCCGACGACAAGAGGGGAGGTGATCAATGATTTCAGAACAGACGGCGATGTCCCGGGAGGAAGTGATGCGAGGTATAGTGTAGGTTTGGCGGCAGCCTTCTCGGCCTCCTTTGCTTCAGCAGTCCGATCATCTTCATCATCCGAAGGGCTGCGGAATCCGAGCGGGGATCCAGATGAAACAGGCCCTGAATGGTCGTATCCCAACACTCCTTGAGCAGTGTCCCGGCCGCGTGGCTGTGCCACATACCCCTCATGAGGTCTCTTCCGAGACAGCGACGGCGGTGGTGGTCCTAGGCTTCCTGGGCCACTACTGCGTGGTCCAGAGTTGGTGAAGTGTCGTCGGGGAGGACCTCCTCCGAATGCACCGCCCCTTCCTCCAAATGTGTTCGGCCGCCCATCTGAAGCTCGAGGGCCTTCAGGCACATCATCTTCAAATGACTTCACAAAGTCTTCGTACACGGCGGCGGTTTCGGCTTTTTCGCGGGCGCGTTTAGCTTCAGCATCAGCTTTCTGACGTTCGAATAGCGATTTCTTTGGGAGTGCGGAGAGTTTGGCAGAGACACCAGGAAATGCCTTTCCCTTTGTATCGTCCGACATATCGCAAAGGTGCTGCGAATGCAGCAGAATGAGGGCCAGTCAACTAATGGACAATGATGGACCGGCGCAGGAGAGCTAGAGCCCCGATCAGCAAATGGCTGTCAATATGGGCGGGCGGTGACGACCGGCTGGAAGCGGTGAACGGTGTCACAGTCCGAGGTATTATATGGATGACCGCCAAATACTTACATGTTACAACCTCACCAATCGGCCACGAGTGTCAACTCTATTACCAGTAGAGGACCTGGGTGTTCTCTAAAGCGTCCCCAATGCAGCGAAATTGACGTATACTCCAGCAAGATAGGCTCGGCACAATATGCAACGACTATTACTCATATCTATACCGCGACGGCCACGTATCGAATACGGGAAGTGGAGGGGAAAACAGGGCCGAACATCCAATCCCTCTTGAGGCTTTGCTTGTCTCCCTTGCGCATTCCTCTGATACGTTCTCTTGCGAAAACATACCAAAGTCTTTATCTACATACGTACTCGCGTTCTGTTCGTATCTGCCTAAATTTTCAATCCCTTTGGACGCAGAAATACTCCATGTTCCTTTTTTAAAAAATATATATATATACTAGTACTATATATATATAAAGCCTCGGACCTTAACAGTGGAGGTGAGCCCCCTGTAGGATACCACCTTAGTAGTTCCGCGGACGCATATTCGTAAGAAGATTGCTCAACTGCATACCCACCTGGGCAGTCCAATGATAGCAAGACAGCTCCTGTTCGCTTACCTCTAGTCTGTCGATCATAGCTCGGTATTCAGTGGAGTTTCATTCCCTTCGTATGTAGACTCCAAGTCCGATTTACTGAGGAGACTCCACGCTAGGGTGATGTTCGAGCTAAGACTTCGAGGCGTCTGCGGCCGCTAGATTACTTGATAGCCACAGGGTGGAGAACCCTCTCATAGTGCTGATTCTAGCTCGATGTCGTGAATATCCGAGGTGTGTTTGATCTTTATGATCACCGCCTTTCCTTGGTCCAATTTAAACGCCTGTTTAAAGGATCGCAAACGATGTTGTTCCCTCTATGATATCGTTCATCTGTAACAGTATCTTCATGTTGGCGAAAGGACTTAGTTCGTAAGATCGCGCCTAGTTGACCATAATCTGATTCATCCGGATGACGATTTAGGCGTTTCAAAATATTTTCGTTCCTTCAAAGGTTACAAGGATCGTTCCCATTGTTCTACTTGGCTACCTACTATGTATCAATGTAGCACCGGGATCGCGAGGTTTACTCTATGCAATACCGATGGTGAGCTGACAAGTCAGAAGCGAAGGGAAAGAAGAATATGATTATTCTCAGGTGCCTTCTGCAACCCGCTGCACATTAAGAGCTGCATTGTATCAATCTAGGGCAAGTGTCACTCTTATCTTATTGCATCGGCTCGTTGATAGAATCCCGACTGATATCTTGCAAATGGACGAACGTGAAAATGAAAGGGAATAGGATGGGCTTCTAGAAATTCCCTGGTAGATCAACAGTTAGATAGTACAAGTGTTTCGCTACTGAGAACCCAAACGGGCGTTTGCACTTGATTTGCGTAGAGCTTGAGCTGCTGAATCATTCGGAAGTGATATTTCAGACCCAATAACCAAGATTTACATAGGGCTGGTACTCTTGAACGTGGACCAATCGATCCTTTGTGGGCAGGCGCCATGGCCCATCACATCGTGGCATCACATCATCGTACGCACGCAGCCAGAAGAGTCACTCAATCGGGACACTTCTCCGCATCCTGAGCTCTGGCCAAAGAAGTGAGCAGTATTGGGCAACTAGACACATCTAAGCGCCGGGGCTACCTGTGACGATGAGATAGATGGTCCAGACAACAAACATCGGTCCAGGCCTCTGTCGGCTGTAAGACAGTGAGGTCGATCGAGGCCCATTTGAAAGAAAAAATTATGGAAATTATGGAGCCGTTCCTGGATGCGGGCCCTGCGTTACGCACACCTGATTCATACCCCGCGTTGAGGCATGTTGAGTCGCTCAGCAACAGCAAAGGAGCTGAAACGCCGTCATCGCCCGAAGTTTCACGGCGGCGAGCTTGTGCGCCAGGACTCGGCCAGGATCCAGCCCAGACACACAAGTCCGCGAACTCCATGTCGGGAGGGAGCCGAAAGCCCTAAACTATTCTTGGCGGTAGCCCCGTCTTTTTCCAGATGCTATTTTAACTCGTTCCACGGGTCCTCCGTCAGGATTTCTAGTTAACCGACAGCGATTTTCGCGATCAGGTTATGTATGGATCAGGGGATGCAGAGATGAAACGGGATCTGGGGCTTGGTGGAAACAGAGACTCTGTGCCTAAGCCGAGTATCGGTCGCGAACGAGAGAAAGAGTAATTGTGGTATGTTATGTTATGTTATGTTGTGTTTTATTTTCTTTTACGCAGTTTCAGTGTACATAGACCACATCCAGAGCCCTAAAAATAAGTCGAATGAATAGTACTCCGTTACTACACGGCTAACAATTAGTCCGGCTGTGTTCATATGCAAGATCCGAGATATCCGCCATGCCCAGCAGGGCTGCATGTAAGAGGTCGATGGTGGAAAACCCCCCAGTTGGCCAAGATTGAGTTTTTCACACGCCAGTGGGTTTGCTGGCAGCCAAGTTTTGGCCATGACTTGCCGAGCGGAACGCGATGTTGAGAACCGTTGGCTGTGTAGAGTTGTGATCCACCGTCATACGGTGAGAGTCGGTTCGTATCGGTCCCTCGGGTTTAGATTTGGGAGATTGGGGGCCTGGAAAGTGCTTGGGGAGGGTCATTGTAGGTGATGAGATTATAATGAGCCATCTGGGGGAGATACTCGTAAACACACGAAATGGCAGATACAAAGGCCAGACAAGGCTGAGACTAAGACCAATCCAATGTCTAGACCAATTCCGGTGACTACATCAGAGACTGCGTTGTTTCCCAAGCCGGGGTGGGTGGTGGCGATGCCCAGACCCACCGCGTGCAGGTCAAAGGAGGATCTAGTCGCTAGTCCGGTCGCCCTAGTGGCTGTAGCGCACACGGAGGAGGTCCCAAGTCGATCATGCCCAGTGAAAGGGTCCCTCTCAGATGGGGAATCTCCATGGGCAGGGTCTTCAGGGTACAATATCGTACTCGTAGGGTCTTGTGAAAGGGAGAGGTGGTGTAGCCAAAGAGTACTCGTAATCAATAGAGATGGAGTATGTATGGAGTATGTAGGTACGTTCAAATTGTACTTTTACTTCTAGAGGCACAGTCTTGCATACTCGTTCGTACTGAATGTTTCAGGCGGTACGTACTGAACAGGGCCTTGGGGGGCCTGCAACACTGCGACACCCCCTCCCGCGACGTATTACCGCCGTCACACTAAGTCTCAAACCCAGAAACCCCGGCCCCCTTCGCTCTCACATCATCCAATTCGACCTTCCCCTTCCTCATCCACCTCCACCTCCATCATCAACACACCACACTATTCGCCCTTCGCTCGTTCTTCGCCCTCTTTCGACTTCTTCCTTCCAACCTCCCCCCCCATCAACAACAGCAACAATAGAACCACTCACCTCCCCGCCATATCGTCTCTTCTCGCCACTCATCGCCCCCAAACTCCCCTCCCCCCCGGGCTAACTTACGAAACGGATTGAAACCGATTCAAGAGGTGGCCCGATAGGGCTGCCGTAACTAGGGGAGACAATGTCTGGACACCATTCTCGCTCGGCATCACGGTCATCTCAGAACCCACGCCTTTCACAAGGACAGACTCGCGACTCGATGTCGATGCCTCGCCACTCCTTCGGTCGCAACTCACGCGTCTCCAACCCCAATGTCTTTTCCGATGAATACTCATTAGAACCGATCGATATCGACCAGATCGAACGTGCCCCTAGCCCCGCCTCCATCGCCTCCTCAACTACTCTTCGCTCAACTCATCACCCCCAGAAGGCCGTTAGTACTGCGACGACCGAGAATGAGAATCCATTCGCCGATGACGCCCGCGTCTCCTTTGAGGAGGCTCACCGATCAAGTCTCCCTCAGAAGGGGGTAGGTGCATTTTCTAGCAATCGCAATTCCGTCAACTCTGTCAACAATTCCCCCTTTGTCACTCAGCGAAATCAAAGTGTCTCTTCCCGTTTTTCGATACCCCGGGCTCTCAGCCCCTATACCGGAGCCACTGGGCCCAGCCATCCATATGCTATGTACCCCCAGGTTGGTGTCAGCCGATCCCCGAGTGTAGGAAGCACCTCGACCATTCGTCAACCCGATCGGCCTCTTGGCGAAACAGCCGCTCCTCAACACCCCTACGCCATGTACACTCAAAACGTTGTCGAAGAAGGGATGGATGACGATGATGTGATCCCTGTTGGATTCCCTGGTCACAACCCACCCTACCAACCGCCGCAGAGTCGTCGTGATGACGATGTTGGAGACATCATCGGGCCAGATGGTCACACGGAACCGCTACCACCCTATTCAAGATATCCGACGGGGGTCATCCCGAAACCCCCAACTCCAGAGAACATGGCCGATATGAACTCTACACCAGAGGATCACCAACTCAATTCGATCTCAAGGGAGCAACCACCCGTCTCGGAGACGTCGTCTCGACCTCTTGTTGCTGATTATACTGGAAATTCTGGGAACGGCGGCAGTGATCAGAATGGTGGGAACAATAACCGCAGCAGTGCCGGCCAGAGGGCAGCAGCAGCAACGGGTATCATGGCATTCGAGGAGAAGCTCAAACAAAAAGGCAAAAAGACCGCATGCTGTGGTCTTCCGGTCTGGACCCTCGTACTCATTTGTACTGTGATGCTCATCGGAGGGTCCATTGGCGGTGTGATCGGAGGTGTCTTGGGTACCAAGCGTGCTGCGGAGGCCGACAAAGAGGCTGCTGCGGCTTCATCGAGTGGACCTCACATCGTGACAGTCACTGCAACGCCACAGAAAGACTATTCAACGATGACCAGTACCCCCAGCAACCTCAAATCGGTACCAACAGGCACATTTTTTGTTCCTATGATACATCAGAATTCTTCGGGAATGTGCGTCGACGACGACACAATGAAGAGCGCCTGGAAGTGCATGGACAAGCCGAGCCACCTTGAAGTCACCGTCTCTGAAAATGACGATCACGACGAACACCACCACACCATCATATTCCCCAACCCCACCCCGACCTCAAGTTTCAGCTACGGGGCTCAGCCGCCTTATATGGCCCAACCTGCAATTAAATTGGGCTTTGCAATTGATACCAGCGATACCAGCCTGGGCCCTGCTCTCTTCTTCGAGGCCAAATTTGACAAGTTGGTCGTCGTGCCCGACTCAAAGTTCCAACCAAGCTCCTCTGTATCCGCGCGGGCATGGGCGGGGACGAGGCGTTCTTGAGCTTGTTGAGTCGCAAAGAAGTCGCACAGCCCGGCGATAAACCGTGGTTCTGCTGGTGGAATCAAACGCAGATGGAATTCTTTATCTATGTCAACCAAACAACCTCGGGAACTTCCACAGATGCCACTGCTTCCACCAACGATCAAATGGCCGCCAGTACTGCTGCTGCCAACAGTGCGTCCAAGCGGGAAGTCTCTATTCCTAAATATCCGCGAAAGATCAAAGTCGACGAACGACGTGACCATCCAGGAGCAGTCGCGCCCTATTGTCAGCAAATGGAAGTGGACTCTGTGGGTCGCGCATCGCCTATTCCATATAAAACCATCGATATCAAGGAGAATGAGCCAACCCCAACCACTACGTATATCGATAGTAAAGGTGGCGCTCAGCAGACATACACAGCAAAGGCGCAATATGCTACTCCATGCTATTGTCTATCCTTCGCTGATTAAGTGCATTTTCCCTGTCGTTTGAGCGAATTACTTGTTCTCCATCTTGGTTTTTAGGTCTGGGACCTCTGGCGTTGGCGTTGAAACGGCCTTCCAACTAGCATCGGTTTATGTGCACACGATTGTCTCTCTTCTCCAATGTGTGAATTATCTCTTTATTCTCATTTGACTCTGCCGATTCTTTGCGAAACTTGCGACATGACACGATCCTATCTCTTTTTTTTTGCGAAGCTTCTCTCTCCCCTGTTGGGGGTATATATGGAATTTCTTTGTTGATTGTTGAGTGTTCAACTTTTTCTGGCGTTAATCGGAGCAGCCGGCGCGGCTCCGGGTATTGTGGTATGCTTGGTTTCGATCTATTTCTGTGCGACCGATTTTGTCTCTTCTAGGAGCTCATAGGCTCAAGCTCATAGGCTCAAGTCCTGTTCTAGCATCTCATGATATTATTACTAGCATCTGTCTCAACCCACAATATAAGATAGATGATTCTAGGGCAATAATCCGCTATAGTAAACCCATCGAAACTTTAATATCTTAGGCATTCTGTTCATTGACCTGCCCCGCGGTACGCATGGTACGAAGGCCTCCTCCAGGGTGGAAAAATGCTCAAGCTCAATAGAGATAGGGTGATCATACTAGACTAGTCAACGCGGGATTCAAGCCAGAGGCAATATATTAACCAGACTCGCGCCATCGAGACCCATAAACTCCCTCTCGTTGCGCATCAAGGAACTCCCCCAACCACCAGCCATTTCGGGGAGACTAAATATCATGATCATATGTGAGGAGAGTAATTTAGTAAGATCGAAAAGAGGAATTAGTACCTACCGATATATGCAAAGGATGAGAACCATGAGATATGCCACCATCTCGGCGATGAGCATGTTCAGTATTCGTTTATTGCGAGTGTCACCGAAAGACGCACCCTCCGTTTTTCTCTGGCGACGACGATCCTTCCAGAATGCAATGAAGAAGTCAACCGCAAACAAACCACACGCTGACATCGTCGCAACCTGGAATGCTATACCAACGGTGACAATAGTGTTCCCAGCATCCATCCATACTTTATCAAGCCCAGCAGAATTCACAACGCCACCTCCAGCAGCTTGCAGTAAAATGGAGACCACATCACATCCTATAAATATCCGTGTGAAAAGTTTTGGTTTTAATCTAGAATGCTGGGCACCTAGACTGATCCCAATATGTCTAAGTATTAAATATACACCCGCGGCAATGAACGTCGGTGCAAGGATGAGACAAATAATCTGTAAGCGGAAGGCACTCGTAGACCATGGATTATCATGCATGAGGATCCGTCCGATATACCCTGCCATTTCCACGAAGGCCCCGGTCCCCAGCGCATTGAGAAATGTCCAGCTTCGATAATATATTTCTAAAACGAGCTGGAACATTCCTGCTAAGCCGAAAAAGATGGCAAAAAATGTTTGCGCCTGCATTTAGATAGTAGCCGTAAGTTGTGGCTTCGATCGGGCACCGAGGGCTGATTTCTGTACATATGGATGTCATTATGTGCGACGAGAATGGTACATGGGAATGGGGAAGAATTTTTGGTTGGAAGCACTGACAGTTATATAGCCCTCATGTAATTGAAAATTCTCACCCTTCGAAAAGTATCGTAGTAAACAACAGCATACAAATTGACTATATTGATCCGAGTCGTATTCGCGTTCGGGTTCGCGTTCGTTTTGATACTCTCATCTAATTTTGGCCTGGGTTCTTGTAAATTATTCACAAAGTATACACATCTTCCAGGCCATTCCAGTCCATAAATCTACTATAAACTTTACCAGGTACTATCGGACTTATCCGAAATCTATGTCACCTATCTTTCAAGGTGGGACGCAGCACCAGGTATTGTCTTTGTGAGGGAACACCAACGCATTACAGTGTTGTGATTTAGCCCCCAACCTTGATCTTTGTCGCGTTCGTGTTCGCGTTCATGGCTGTAAAACTGCGAGCCCACAGCCTTGTCAACTACCTTCCTTCTCAGCTACAGGACGGGGTGACTCCATTACATCGTGTCATATCGTAGCCTTGAGTGGCCAATATCGGGTAAGGCTAAGCGCCTGCTATGAGTGACCCCTTGAAGGACTGTGCGGGGCGAAACAAGGCGCCGCCTCGGCGATCTTACAAGAAATCTCGAAATGGGTGTGATCAGTGTAAAGAGCGACATGTCAAGGTAAGACCATGTGTCCTTCGTTTTATGTATACAAGCTTTTGAACATCTCTTGTGGATTTTAGTGCGATGAAGAACGCCCGCAGTGCGCCAACTGCGTACATCGAGAGCTCTGTTGCACCTTTTTAAAGGTTCCTCGAGCCTCTGAACAGAACTCCCCCCCCTCAACGAGCAGTGCCTGATGATACGCAGAATATAGTGCTTCCCAGGGAAGGGCCTGGGTGTGAGCTTCGATACAGTACTCGGGACCTGGAGTTAATGCACAAATTTGCAACGGATTCTTATGAGAGCCTATGTGGTGATCGGTCAGATGCGCACGCTTGGCGATATTCAATCCCTCAGAAAGCCTATTCACATGACTATCTCCTCCACGGCATGCTCGCCTTCGCTGCCTTGCACATAGCAGCCACAAGTTCCGATTCCAACAAAGCCCTCAAGTATCTCGATACGGCGGTTGAATATAGCAGTCTGTCATTTGGCTCATTCCAAAAGGCTATAAGCCAACTGACGCCACAGACATGTGAATCCATTTTCGCCTGCTCTGCCATTGTCATGGTTATTAGCATAGCCTTGCCATTTCTAAGCGCCAAACACCGCGACGAGAAACTGCTCATGCTGGGCACTATGACCACCGCATGGGAGCTACACCAGGGTGGGCGTAGGATATCCCATATTAGTGAGCCGTGGCTTCATGACAGCATATTTTCAAACTACGATTTCTGGAAGATGCAGACGGGGGACCTTGATCCGGAAACGAATGCAGCCCTCAGTCAGCTAGATGAGTTGAACTATCTCATCGCTGAGTCCCACACTGAGATTTGGGATAGCAACCACGAGACAATCGAGCTGTTACGATTGTGCTTCTCTAAATTTGCGCATAGTCCACATCCGGCCGCGATCCTTGGCTGGCTCGCATATGTGCAAAAGGCATTTGTCGATCAGCTGCGCTCACGAAAGCCGCTGCAATTGCTTATTTTTATGCACTGGGGCGTTCTACTGAATGAGTTGGGTTATCAATTCTGGTGGGCGCGAGGGTCGGGTAAAGCTCTTGTAGCAGAGATATCGGGTGAATTGGGATCTTTATCGGAGGATACGAGGTGGGCGCCAGCAATGGAATGGCCCCAGCGGCAGACTTTCTCATAATGGGACTAATAGATATAGTTATTAAACGGTGTCGGTATACTCCGTAGAACTATGTGTTATACGGCAGACTGTTGTCCGCCCTGGTACCATTCCTTTTCGGGAATCTGTGATCCGTGCGGACCTGTATGACTAACATATCATGTGACTACGGCGATGCGGCCCTAGCTAAGACACGCGACTAGCATCTTGCATTCAGAGTGAGGATTGAGAATCCAATGGAATATGCAGCATATAAAATGAGTTCTAGTCAAGTTGAACGAGATCGACTTATCTCTTGTAAGATCGTCTAGATCACACGATCCCTCCACTATGTAGTACAGTAGTTGTAGCAATGCTCCCCCCCGGCTGCCTGAACCCCCGAAGCTCCCCTCTCCGACCCGACTTGGCCTCAGGCAGAAACTCTTCCGACCACACTCACCTTGAAGGGAATCCTCCAACCTCTCCCATCGCATCGCCATCCATTCCCCTTCCACACAACCCCCTCATCTTCATTTCCGATCACCCCCTCTATCACTCGATAGCGCACGACTCTCCTCTTCACCGGTCGGCTATAAAGGTCTCGTCCACTGCGCCCGCCTAAAAATCTGTCCTTGGACCCTCCAGATCAAATGATCGCGTCTCCTAGATGACCTTCCCTCCCCCTCACCCTTCCGCCCAATCGTCGATTGCTTCTGGCACCGATAAATCTTCTTCGACCAGGCCTGAATTTGGTGCCTGGGGTCGGTCCACGTCACAGTCCGGCATTCGTCGTGGGTTGACTCCTCTCGCGACCAACCTCTCCTCCACCGTCACCTCTGCATCTTCCCGGGGCTTGGACGCAGGCCCTGGGGTTTCGACTCCCTCCTCCTTCTCTGCCGTTCTGAGCTCCACAAGGGGCCTTTCTGGGGGCAGCCCCAAACCTGCACCCTCTCCGTTCACCTCGCTGCAATCGAGTTCGCAGCAGTCACAGTCGCTCTCCTCCCCCAAGTTCCGCGCACATACCCCTTCAGCGGGATCTCATTTCACCTCCGCAACAGGCTCCATCACGGGTGGTGGAGGTTCTGGAGGAGGTGGTGGACCGGGATCTTCCAGAGGTGTCGCTTTCTCACCTCTGTCGTCCGGCACAACGGTGAATTCACCTACGGGCTTCGCTTCTGACAAGCCCGGATCGGCTGCTGCTCATTCGAGCCAATCGTCTCTTACCAAGATTTCGATCGCTCAGGTATTCCTCCTGTTAGATTCTATCACTGAGAAGGAGGGCAAAGAAAAGTGGGAAACCAAAGCTGCCCAGATACACAAGGTAAATCTTGACCCCGCCATCGCTTTCCCTACCGAGTACTGACTTGATTACCAGCTCGTCACATCCAACGGAATGGAGGTCTTTTCGAAATACTTTCGCCGTCTTCTTACGGGCAATGCCCCTCAAATCTTCCCGGGTGTCAACAAGTCCGTTGAGAATGCCGGCAACTACCCCCTTTTAACCCAAGAAATGCAAAAAGTTGCGACAGACATCGAGCAAGCACAAAAGATTGCCGAAACGGTAGACACCTCAGAGGGTGACATCTTCCGTGATTTCGACCTGTCAACCTTTTTGGACCATTTCCGCCTCGATCCCATTGTTAAGGTTGCGCTCGCTTTGGCCTTTAAGTTGACTAATAAATCAGATCTTCGTGCTAAAGGTTCGTTTTTTTTTGCAAGAGTTCCCTTTCTTCCAACTAATCGATCATTTTTTAGCCGACGCCATCCTCTCGAACTCAACCACACCCTTCCTCCAAAGTTTGGCAAACCCATCCGAAACGACCAAGGATTACCAGAATTCTTTCCTTGGAATCACGATTGAACGATTCATCCTTTACCCTCCCCGCAATTTCACCGATGATGTCAAGGCCAAGCTGGTCTACGCCGTGAACCTACGATGCCAGAAGATGGGCTTGGATATGCCTTTGGAGATTTCCTCAGCTCTCCAGATGTTCAACTTTGTCAACCCGCGCTATACCCTCGTTAGACAACTACACTCCAAGGGCCCACGCGCCACTGCAAACACGGAGGCACTTACCGAAGTAATTAATGCAGCAGGGCCCGATAGCTGGAGTGAGGAACAACTTGCCAGTGCGCTTCTCTTCATGATCCTGTCGCAGTATTGGCAGCAGTTCTCCCCAGAGACGCTTCTGAGTGCCTACGCCGACAAGCAGATTAGTTGGGCTCTGGTGTTCCGGAACTTTGATCGGGAGGGCCTGAGAGTGGATCCGAAGCAATTTGCCAAGCTCTATAGCATTTTGACCACTGTTGCCTCCGATGACAGTTCTCTGGATATCCAGAAGCTCTGGGGCGGGGACTGGGAGCACCGGGACACGCAAATGTCGTTCCTGACAGCATTCGTTGCCTCACGAACGGATGCTTCTCAAATCCCTAATCTTCGTGCAACATTTCCTAGCGACTTCTTCGATGATGCGCCTGAGATTGTGAAGCTGCAGGGCGAACGCGCTTCTAAATCTCCCCTTCGTTCCATGGACGCTATGAGGGCAATTTTTGACCTTGCTCTGTTCTCCCAAGCTTCATGGGCCGCTACTGAAAGTCAGCTTCTCATCAAAGCAGTTCTGCAATATGACCTCCCCGTCTTTCTCGTTTCCGCTCTCGCCATTCCGCAGCCATGGTCTAGTGTCCAACAGAGCTTCGTTCTCCGAACCTTCGTTGTTTTCATTTCTAAGCAAGAAGATGGCTATCAACTGGCCCTTCATGGTGCCTGGCGACAAGACCGCCAGTGGGTTTCGGAGCAGCTGTTCACTGCTTTTACTCAGGACCCTACTGCTACTGCAGCGATTTATGAACATGCAGCGGCCTATGGCTGGCTCGAATATCTGCTCGGGTTCACCAACGGCCTCGCGCTCGACCTTGCCTGCTACTCTCATCGCAAGAGCTCGTTTGATCTCGAACAGTGGGTTCAAAATGCTTCTCAGAAGGGACCCATTGATATGGGCGGACTGTTGTCTAAGTTCTTGAGAATCAAAGCCGAGGATGAGCTGCATGTGCAACGAAAGGAACAGCCGGCTCCTCAGATGGTCAGTCTTTCTGTGAAAACCGTATATACTCTCTTGTCAGTACTGGAGGAGTACGTTGGCGATCGCGAGAACCTCACCCCCGTCCAACGCATTTGTATACAAACCTACCCCCGACTCATTAATTACGGTGAGGGGTTCGACGACATCATTGATGCGAACGGTGAAAATGGTAACACCTTGCCTGAGACCATCGACAAGCAAATGCAGGAATTATTTGGCAAGATGTACCACGAAGAATTGTCACTTCGTGAAATGTTGGAGTTGATGCGAAAGTATAAATCTTCCCGCGAACCCGAGGAACAAGATCTCTTCGCGTGCATGGTCCACGGCCTTGTCGACGAATATCACTGTTATCACGAATACCCCCTCGAGGCTCTGACCAAAACTGCGGTCATGTTCGGTGGAATCATCAATTTCCGTTTAGTCGATGGCATTACTCTCAAGGTTGGCCTAGGCATGATCCTGGAGGCTGTCAGGGAACACGAAGTCCACAACCCGATGTACAAGTTTGGTGTGGAGGCCATCGAGCAGTTGATCGGTCGTCTCCCCGAATGGGCTGGCTTCTGTCATCTACTTCTTCAAATCCCTAGTCTTGCTGGCACACCTATCTTCCAAAAAGCCGAGGAAGTTCTTGGAGAGCAAGGTGGCAGCCATGAGAATGGCAACAAATTCGATGATCTAGGCGGCCCCCTCCTCACCAACGGCAACGTGGAGGATGCTATCGTGAATGACGGCACCTCACGCAAGTTCCGCGCCGTGCAGGTGGATGCTCCCATTCGGTCCGATCTCTACGAGGATCCGAATGAGGACATCCAGGACAAGATTTTGTTCGTCTTGAACAATGTTTCGGAACAGAACATTGAGGAGAAACTGCAGGATTTGCGTGAAGTGTTGCGGGATCAGCACCACCAGTGGTTTGCTGCTTATTTGGTCGAAGAGCGTGCCAAGCTGCAGCCCAACTTCCAACAACTATACCTGGATCTTCTCGACCGCATTGACGACCGAATTCTATGGACTGAGGTTCTGAGAGAGACCTACGTCAGTGTCGCCAAGCTCTTGAACTCGGAGGCTACCTTGAACTCATCTCAGGATCGTGGCCACCTCAAGAACCTTGGCGCTTGGCTCGGTTCACTGACCATCGCCAAAGACAAGCCCATCAAGCACAAGAACATCTTTTTCAAGGGCCTACTCTTGGAAGGCTACGACAGCTCACGCCTCATGGTTACGATTCCCTTTACCTGCAAGGTTCTGGTTCAAGCGACCAAATCTACAGTCTTCAAGCCTCCAAACCCGTGGTTGATGGACATTTTGGGACTACTTTTAGAGTTGTACCATTTCGCTGAGTTGAAACTCAATCTTAAATTTGAGATTGAGGTACTGTGTAAGGATCTGGATCTGGATCACAAGACTATTGAACCTTCTAATGGCATTCGTGACCGTACCTCTCACGTTGAAGAGACTTTGTCCACCACCAACATCCCAGAGGGCTTGGAAGCTTTCGAAGACATTGGTCTCAGTACCCTCAACCAGGGCATTCGAAACGAAAGATTGTCACCCGCCGCTATCATGTCGACTCTGCCTAGCCTTGATAAGATCCTGGTCTTGCCCCCGTCAGCCAGCGGCATGGTTGACCAGAGTGTCCTGAGGCAGATTGTGCACACTGCGGTGGAACGTGCTATTGCGGAAATCATTACTCCGGTCGTGGAGCGCTCTGTGACCATTGCCTCTATCTCCACCGTCCAGCTTGTTTCTAAGGACTTTGCCATGGAGCCCGATGAGGAGAAGTTCCGCCACGCCGCTGGTATCATGGTGCGCCAACTTGCCGGTAGTCTGGCTTTGGTCACTTGCAAAGAGCCACTCAAAGTCAGCATGACCAACTATATCCGTATGATCCAGCAAGAATACTCTGATCAACCTATGCCTGAAGGGTTGATCTTGATGTGCGTCAACGACAATCTGGATGCTGCCTGCGGCATAGTTGAGAAGGCTGCCGAGGAGAAGTCTCTCCCTGAGATCGAGAAGGTTATTGAGGCTCAGCTGGAGGCTCGGAGACGCCACATCGCTACTCGTCCCAACGAGCCCTTTATTGATCCGTCAATGAATCGTTGGGGACTCTTCATTCCTGAGCCCTACCGCCAAACCCCCGGAGGGCTTAAATAAGGAGCAGCTGGCAATCTACGAAGAGTTCGCTCGCCAATCGCGTGGTACCGCTGTTGCTCACCCTCAGAATGTTTCTACCGACTCTGGTCGCCCTCTTCCAGACGTGCTCCAAGACACCTACCCTGCTATCCCTAACCTTTCAACGCCGGCCGAACAGCCTGCGGTCCCTCATCGCACCCCTCAGCCTCAACACGCTGTCTCTCAGATCCCCGTCCACACAAACGGGTTCCTCGATGCCCAGAGCCCAAGGGAACGAGTCGAAACTCTTATCTCGGAACTTCAACAATCCGCTCGCAACGCTCCCGAAGAGCATGTTAAGGACCTTGGTCGCGATAGCTCTGTCCTCCAAGAATACAATCAAGCTCTGCGCGCTATCCTGAACTCTCCTAATGGCGAGGAGTTAGCCCGGTTGACCTCCCTCAAGGTCTGCACAACTCTATATGGCCAATCTTCAGGATCTTTAGAAATCGAGGTTCTTGTTCACCTTCTCGCCAAGCTTTGTGACTTGTCTTCCGTGATCGCACGATACACCTGGGCGCTTCTTGCGGAGATTGACGACGAGCACATGTTTAATGTTCCTGTCACTGTTGCTCTCATCGACGCAGGCCTTCTGGACATCCGCCGAGTGGATATGGTTCTCACTCGCCTCATTATGCAAAAGAATGCCAGCGCTCTGGAGTTACTCGACACACTGATGAGCCGTGTTCTCTTCAACGACGAGCCCTCCGCCCTCCGCTCTGACTTCTCTGGTAGTTTGGATGCCATGAGCCAATGGCTCTCTGAGGATGGCAACATTACTCCCGCTTTGGAGATCATTCGCAAGCTGCGCGAGTGTGGAATTCCCGAAGTCGCCAACCCACTACTCAGTGACCAGGCTAGGTCCAAGCGTGACCAGATGGAGTACATCTTCAGCGAGTGGATTGGTATCTACAAGGCTTCTGGTGCCAATGAGCGTACCTATCTCTCTTTCCTCCAGGACATGCACAACCGCCAAGTTATGAACTTGCAAGAAGACTCTGCATTGTTCTTCCGCCTGAGCATTGACATTTCTGTCGCCATGTTTGAGCACGAGTCTCAAAACCCCAATGGCAGCCTGGATGAGGCTTTCCTCTATGTTGACGCCCTCGCCAAGCTTGTCATCCTGTTGGTCAAATCTCAAGGAGAGAATGATGGCGCTGTCACTCTCAGCAAGCCTGCTTACTTTGGCTCCATTCTCTCATCTCTTGTCCTGGTTCTTAACCACCACCAAGTTATGCGCGGCGAGGCGTTCAACCAACGTGTTTTCTTCCGGCTGTTCTCTAGCATTCTGTGCGAATACTCTGTTGCGGGTCTCCAACTCCACGAGGAACACCAGGGCATGATTTTTGCACTGGCTAATAAGTTCCTGTCCCTTCAGCCTCGTTATTTTCCTAGCTTCGTCTACGGCTGGCTATCTCTAGTCTCCCACCGTGTCTTCATGTCTGACATGCTCAACATGCCCGAACGTGCTGGTTGGGCTGTTTACTGTGAGATCATGCAGGTCTTGCTCGCCTACATCGGTGAGCAGCTCAAGGCAGCCAACATCTCTTATGTCGCCAAGGACTTGTATAAGGGCGTGCTCCGCATCTTGTTAATCCTCCACCACGACTTCCCGGAGTTTGTCGCCGAGAACCACTTCCAGTTCTGCAATGTGATCCCCGCTCATTGCGCCCAGCTTCGCAACTTGGTACTCAGTGCCTACCCGTCATCCTTCCAGAAGCTTCCCGATCCTTTCCGTGAGGGTTTGAAGGTTGAGCGAATTGAGGAGATGCGGGAGATTCCCAAGATTGCGGGCAATGTTGCTGCCCCCCCTGCAACAGGCGAACCTAAAGGACGTCATCGACACTGTTCTTCAGAGTGACAATGCATCCGAAGTCGTGGTTCAACAAATTTGTGACACTGTTGTCAACGATGAACCCCGCGATACTGCTCTTTTCTACCAGCCCATCAATGTTGATGTTGTTCTAGTGAACGCCCTTGTTTTGTACATTGGCCAACAAGCGGTTTCCGAACACGCATCGAAGAGCAATATTCGCAGCGTCTTTGAGAACTCCAACCATACTGCTCTTCTGGAGAAGCTTGCCCAATCAATGCAGCCTGAGACTCGTTACTACCTATTGAGCGCGATGGCCAACCAGCTGCGATACCCGAACAGCCATACCTACTTCTTTAGCTTCACCATTCTGCGTCTGTTTGGTGTTGACTACTCTGAGCAGGATGAGTCTGACATCCGCCAGCAAATCATTCGCGTGCTGCTGGAGCGACTCATCGTCCATCGTCCGCATCCATGGGGCCTTATCATCACCCTGCAAGAGCTTCTACAGAACCGCAGCTACTCTTTCTTCCGCCTTCCCTTCATCCAAGCGGCCCCTGAGGTATTTCTTTATTCCCTTCTGTCTCCCTCCTCTCCCCCGCCCCGAATCGGTCCTAACATGACTTCTTACAGATTGGACGTCTCTTCGACGCTCTCCTGCAACACATCCAACAGCAAAGCCCTCGTCCCCTTGCGTAACCTTTGCTACTTCTCTCAACCACGAAATTTCTCCCGACGGTACAGCCACACCGCACTCCACTCCTCCTTGCGCTTCTCCATGGGGACCATTGCTTTTACACTTCTACTTTATTTTTATTTTTTTCATGTCTCACGTTTCATGTGAAGGCCAAGGTGGGCGTGGGGATTGCATGCATCTTTTTTCTATCCGTGTGTCACGATTTGCGCATGGCTTGAGATATTATGATATTTTCGCGTTTCAAGAGCTGCGCGACCTGTAATGATAAGATTGTAAAAGCTGGAGTTGAAGGTCTTCTGCATTCATGGTGGGAATCATTAGTTCAATCTATCATTCATTCGTGCTAGGTATACTTTTGGCATTTCCTAAGATAAGATCATTGTCCTTCCTACCCATCATGGTAGGTGTAATATATCCAAATAGAAATTAGAGATGGATTTCGACCGTTACTGGTTTGCTCTGTAGTCTATAAAAATGCCATGGCGGGGTGTTTGTACTTCAAGCGATAAGATCGACCGGAGCTACCGAGGAACTTGGATTGTCTCCAACTGCTTGCAACACCTCACCACACCCCACCCGCCCTGAAACATGGCTGACTCCGAGTACACTGATGATGAGATGGACTATGAGAGTCCATCCTCGCAAGCCGTTGTCGTCGTAAGTGACGAACTTGTTCCCCTATTCTTCAACTCTAACGTGAGGCAGGACGCGTTCCTGGCGCCATTTCGCGCGCTGTTCTCCAGGACCGCCCTCCGCATTTACCTCAACATTGTGTTGTTCATCGGTGCCACGCTTTTTCTGTTAGGTGTTTCAGGACTCGCATATGCAATCTTCTACTTCAGATTCATTCCCACGGTCGGGATCGACCAACAAGTCCATCTACAATTCGGGTAATGCTGGTCTCCTATACTCTCGCTCTCCCTCACCCCGCGTGCTGACAACCAATTACCCTGGCAGTGACGGCCACCCGTGGGGAACTGTTTCCCTTGACCCCGATTTTGTCCATTCGCAACCCTACGATGTCGCCGTCGTGCTCGAACTCCCTCCCACTCCCTCCAACCTCGATGTGGGCAACTTCATGGTCGACCTCACTCTCCTCGCTCCCCCATCCGGCACTGGCCTAGCTGCCGTATCAAATAAACCGAATCCAATTCATCACTCTCGTCGACCGGCTATCCTGACCTACACCTCTCCTCTCGTGGATGTTGCGCGGCGGGTGCTGCGCCTACCCTTGTACATGGTGGGCTGGCGACGTGAAGCCCAAACGTTGGAGGTACCGATGATGGAGAAGATTGAATTTGCGCGAGGGGCGCGCAATCTACCGGAAGGCCTTCGGCTCGAACTCCACAGCGATGGGAAGATGCAGGTCTATTCTGTGCAAGTCGAGTTCCGAGCTCGATTTACCGGCATGCGGTGAGATCCCTCGGGGAAATTATTACTGAGAGAAAATATAACTAACTCTGTCTTAGGTGGTTCATGTACCGCTGGAAGATTACCTCTTTCGTAATATTCAGTTCCATGTTTTGGACCATTTCGATGAGCTCAGCCAGTTTGACTTGGTTCATAGTGAGTTCGATCTGGCAGTCAGGCACGCCAAAAGAAGAAGTCAAGGGGGATGAAGATGATGAGTTGAAGGGAGACACAGAAACAGAAGATGGCAGCTCTTCGAGTGAAGTTGTCAAGGTGAAAGATGAAGAAGTGGACAGTAAGCTGCTGCAGAGCTATCCTGAGACCCACGATTCAGGCGTTGGATCGGGCATGGAGAGCGCAGAGGACCGAGGAATACAGAAACGGCGAATGCATTCGCTCGAGGAGAATCAGTGAAGGTTCCATGTGTTGAAAAGTGGTTGAAAATGTTGCAGTCGCAGTTGCAGTCGCAGTTTTTTAACGTAATACCCATCATATTATTATCCCAATGCCAATGCCAATGTCAATGCCAATCGTGATTTTCCCCAGGAGTGACGTTCCACACGGTTTCCACTCTTCCCGATAAAAAGCGCCGCGCGGGGGGAAATCTCCGATTTCTCCCTTCCCCTCTCCATCCCCTCATTACAATCAACATGCACATCCTGGTCAGTCTCTCCCCTGCTTCTCCTCTATTTTCGAGGGAACTATATACATTCCGTGTTATAAACAAATCAGTAACCCCTATCTAGGTCACTAACGATGATGGTCCGCCGTCGAATCAGTCGTCACCGTACGTGCATTCGCTCGTGCACTCGCTCCAGGCCGCGGGGCACATTGTCTCAGTCGTTCTTCCTCACCAACAGCGATCATGGATTGGTAAGGCACACATCGTGGGTGCGTCAGTAAAACCGACATACTTCCGCCCAGGTACTTTACATCAAGAGGATGGCACAGTTCATCACCTCCCGCGGGGGAGCAATGGTGAGCCAGATAACGGCGGCGATGAATGGATCCTGATTGATTCGACGCCCGCAAGTTGCGTTCAAGTTGGTCTGTACCATTACTTTGAAGACCGTGGGCCCATTGACATGGTTGTATCTGGGCCCAACTATGGCCGCAACACCACCGCACTGTTCGCCATGTCAAGCGGAACCATTGGTGCCGCGATGGAAGGTGCTGTGTGTGGAAAGCGCTCTATCGCGTTGTCGTATGCCTTCAGCTCTCGCAACCATGACCCAATTATCATTGCCGAGGCATCGAATCACTCTGTGAAGCTGATCGAGTATCTCTACGCCAACTGGGGCGACAAGGTTGATTTGTACAGCGTCAATGTCCCGTTAGAGCCTGGTGTAAGCCAGAATAAAGTCCTCTACACAAAGATGCTACAGAATAAATGGTCCACGGGTAGTTGCTTCGAAGCTACCGACCCTGGTGCCTCGGAAGATCCTGAGCTGCAGGAACAACGATTACGCATTGAAAGCGAGATGATGGCTGGCAAGGGAGCTGTTTCGGCCCAGAAGGACGATAGCACGGCTAAGCTGAAGCACAAGCATTTCAAGTGGGCCCCTAACCTTGGAGATGTTTACCGGAGTGTTGAGGAGAATGCCCCTGGAAATGATGGATGGACCGTTAAGGAGCAGATGACCAGGTAAGTCTCTCCAACTCACCATTCTCAAATTCAGCGCAGCCCAAATCTCTAACCCGATGTTTTCTTTCATCAGTGTTACGCCTCTTCAAGCGAGTTTCATGCATGCACCCAACATCGAGGGCGAGATTAAGCTGTGAGTGGAGATTCTGGCATGATGGCCATGGATGTTTCGTTTCAGATATACATGGGGTCCATACACTTTAGATATCTGGCTTAGCTGATAGACCTCATGCTCCCCTTTACCCATCTTTGCATTTGATACTTTCATATCTTGCTGTTTGCCATCTCTTCGTGTTTTGTGCAGTGATTCTGATAGAAGTGGTCCCTGTAGATCGGATGGCCAACCAACAGTGTATTCCATCGTCGACTGTGACGACCCCTATGTGCAGGCCCTCGTCGACCAAGCATTGACCCGCCGACTTGGAGACAAGGCTCGCTCTCAACGAATTTCCGATATATCCCAACTGCCCGATTCTTCTGCGCCTGTGTTCCAATACCGTGAGTATGAACGCTTGGACTTCGAACATGTCATGTGCCGACCATCGACCTCCCTTTCCAACGCATATATCATTCGAAAGGCCTTGATCCGCAAACATTACCTATCCAACACGGTGGCGAACTGGATCTCCAAAAACCCGGACAGTATTCTGCGACACCATTTTAAACCGGCATTTGACTTTGAACTGGACTATGCTGAGTTCCTCGACGATGCTTTATTGGAGGCATATGAGCTACGTGAAAGCATGGAGAAGAACGAAGAGCGGCCCGAGTCCGAAAAAGAGTGGTGGATTCTTAAACCCGGCATGAGTGACCGAGGACAAGGTATCCGGCTCTTCAATAGCGAGGATCAATTACGCGAAATCTTCGAGGAGTGGGAAGAAGACTCCGACGACGACGAAGAGAGTGGATCTGAGACAAATGAAGCACCAGTAGATACAACCGAGGCACATGATGCCGGCATTGTCACTTCCCAGTTGCGTCATTTCATGGCACAGCCCTATATTGATCCCCCGCTGCTTCTCCCTTCGTCGTCCAACCGCAAATTCCATATCCGAACCTACGTTCTCGCAAAAGGCTCGCTGCAAGTTTATGTTTTCAAAGAAATGCTTGCTCTCTTCGCCGCGAAGTCTTATTGCCCTCCTCATGAGGAGGACGATGAGATCAAAGATCTGGCTCGCCATCTGACAAACACATGCTTCCAGGAGGGCGGTAGCTCAAATGAAGGCAGTGTGCGCCGCTTCTGGGACCTGGATCATCATGTCCCAGGTCTGTCAGCCGACTGGAAGGAGAAGATCTTCGAGCAGATCTGTGCTGTGACAGGCGAGGTCTTCGAGGCCGCAGCTCGAGGCATGATGGTGCATTTCCAGACTTTGCCAAACGCCTTTGAGTTGTTTGGTGTTGACTTCCTTGTCGATGCCTCCGGAGATGTCTGGTTACTGGAACTGAATGCCTTCCCAGACTTTGCCCAGACTGGAGAAGACCTCAAGGAGATAATTGTTGGGAAATTATTCGAGGAGACAATTGATGTTGCTGTCAAGCCATTTTTCGGACTCGGATCGAATAATGGTAAGGGTGATATGAAGCTTGTTAAAGACCTGGATTTGGGGAGAAAAAATTAAAAGTGAAATTGCGGCCTTCTTTTTCTATTTGCATTGGGGGAGATGGACATAGATAGGCGTTGACTAGAAAAATATTGGTGTGTTGTTATTACAGAGGAAAATGGTATGGAGGTAATGTGATACGCCTTATTTCACACAAACACACATTAGAAATTAACACCATACAAACCAAACCCAAATCATGTGGTAGAATCGTTCTTCCAAAATATGCGGCCTTCAAATAACCGACGTGCCGTGCGAAACACGGTTGCAAAAAGCAATGCACCGTCATCATCAAAGTTCGCACCGACCAACAAATTACCACTAGCGTGACCGATCGTGATGCCCGCATCATCGACAGGATTCTTGCCTGCGACAACATCTGCAACTGTACTGTTAGGTACTCGCGCAGCCGCCGCCAATGCTAGAGCGACGGTGATAGGAACGGCTTTATGCGGCTGGCCTACGGAGAGAGCACGAGCCAAAAGATCAACGTTAGCAGATGTCTGATTCTGCGAAGCATCTCGCGTACTAGAGGATAAAGGCGCGGCAACGAGACAGATCTTCGGTATGCTCCCAGGGACAGCTGCAAGTGTCTCTGCAAGACCCATCTTCACACCAGCCTGGCGGCGAATGGAATCCAGGCGTGAAAGCAGGTCCGGATGCGCGGTGATCTCATCTGGCGTCAGGTCACCCTCGACGCCAAGGTCCGATGCACGAACAAAAACACATGGGTTTGCTGTGTCGAGACAGGTCGCGGAGATACCGTCAATGGTGTCGATCGGGTTACCAGTTGGTAGGAGAGACCCCGTCGCCGAGCCGGCCGGGTTTATAAAGTCTAGCTGGATGCGAGCAGCTGAGCCCGCGACGCCATCGATTGAGAAATCGCCAGTTGCAGCAGCCTCTCCATCGACAACTGGGAATGAAGAATGGATGATTTTGCCGGTATTAGTGTTGTGGATGCGCACCGAGGCTGAATCCGCGTTCTCCTCAGATAGGGGGAATAGCTCTGCATCGACAGCAAAGGGCCCGACGGCGCTGATCATGTTCCCGCAATTGCTCGAGTAGTCAACATCGGTATTCTTGATCCCGAGTGAGACGAATGTATAGTCGACGTCAGCGTCGCGGTGGGTGGACTTACCCACGACGCAGATCTTGCTGAGACTTGAAATACCACCTCCCAGCCCGTCGAGCTGACGACCGTAGGGGTCCGGACTACCGATGACGCCTCGGAAGATTGAATCCCATTGTTTGCGGTCTTGTGGAAGGTCCTCTTGCTTGAAAAACACGGCCCGCGACGTTCCACCGCGATAGTAGGCGGCGGGTAGGGCGTTTTGCTTCGTGCCCATTGTGATCGTGCGTTTGCAGATATTTGCCAGCGGGCCCTGTGTAGGGAGCTTCGAGAACTTCGAGCTGAGCATCCTGTCTTTATCGTGTCATTGGAAACATTCAAATGTGGGTTATGAGTTTAGCAAAGATCCGATGATCGGAGATGGGAATGGAAGAGGCCCGACTGCCCGACTGCCCGTCACGGATCCGCGCCGTCAATCCGGGGATTCTCCACTAACAATCAACCATTTAATGATATGGAAAATATACGAGTAGTGAATAGATTGATGCTTGTTTTTCTGCTACGTAGACTCGATTACTAGTAGTATCTGATGTCAAGGTTAAAATTCCAAATATCAAGCGTTTTCAAATACTTTTCCCTATCTCAATGACTTAGCACCCTGTTAGTAAACTTTATCCTCGATGATTGCTTGCCATGTGGGGACCTACCTTAGGTGCCCTCTTCATTTATTTACTCGAATACAACGATTCGTACAGAATCCATGTATATCTACAGTAGTAGCTCATAGACACACTTTTCCTTCAAGTGCCAAAAGTCTGTGGGTTCCCGAGGTCTCGAGCGGTTTAGGGTTGGAAGATCGAAGAGCGTCAGTTCGACTCGTTGCACCACCTGTGTGCAAACCGAGCGCTACTCGTTTTGAAATACGGATACCAGGAGCTGATCTACATCCTCACTACGCACTTACGGCTCTTATTTCTGCTGGCTGGAAGGGCGTGGAGAACAAATCCGAGCTCACTATTCCTCCACTATCAGCACATGATCCTGGGAATTCGACACTCGTCTATTTGCCTAATTCTCTCGAGAAAGCCGTTGAAAATTTCAAATCGCCAAATACTGCTGCCCGCGATATTCTCGGATCTGAGTTTGTTGACTTTTTTACTCTATCTCGGGAACATGAACTGCGGCTGTATCGCGAGGCGGTGACTGACTGGTGAGTTAGAACATGCACTATTTCCGAAAAGAACTCCCACACTAATACCTTTATTAGGGAGTTTAAGCGTTATATTGAGATTGTGTAGAGTCGAATGAGAGTGACGAATATACACTCATTCAAAGGTTAAGCCATTTAGCTTTTAGATAGTGCAACCATCAACCTGTTTATCTTCCTCTCCTTTTCGACAGTATCAGTTTTATCTTATTATATTCCTACTACCTCGGTTATCTGACCATTGTGATGGATCACAGGTGCGTGGCTTCAGGCGTCAGGTCTTCGACGAGGCACCCGTGTATTTGGTCCTCTCTCGATTATTCGCCTCATTATCTTCTTCCTCGTGGTCCAATCCCTGGGATAATAATATCAGTTGCCTTCATCCAAAGTGTTAAGGGTTGATGAAATTCAAGTTGGTCATGCCATTACGTTATTAGGACATTCAGATCTGGATAAACTTCTCATGTTTTCAAAAGTAGGGATCTCCACACCAACTAGCATCATTGGTCTAGTGGTAGAATTCGTCGTTGCCATCGACGAGGCCCGTGTTCGATTCACGGATGATGCATTGATTTTTGCTTTTTGCTAATTCGTTAGTTGCTCCAGATTCCGATGCGGAGCCATTGAATTTCTTTTTAGAGACCCCTCCTCTCAAGGAGCATTAGAAATCCATATTGAATGTTACACATGTTCTGGCTTAACCTCATCCTAAGCCTCTAGTATGTCTTCGCCGTCTTGCGAAGAACAAACTAGGAACGTGCCATAAAGCATTTGAACAAAGATATACAAATATCCGACTCGGGCAATGTCATAATAGAAATGCTTGTTTATCTATTTCTAAGCTTGAGAAATGACCTCAAAGTCTAGGAAAATCTGAGTCCATATATACAAGGATATCTGATGTTCACTCGGATCGAGATACTCCTACCTAGTAGATTGACTCCGGCTCTAATCCCCCCTTTTCTCTTAATTACTCTGATAATCCGATAAATTAGCCTGAGTGTTTGTTTATCCTTAATAATGACTGCTATGTATCCACTTTACGTGTGGCTATTGTGCGCGGTCCTGTCATTGACGAATAGCAGCGCATACCGCGCATCCACCTTTTTATAAGGATCCATCCAAAAAGCCAACGAAATGATTAACAACTTGGAGTTCGTGGAGAAATTTTGGAGATAGTGGGTTTCTCCGATAACTTCCTTCGTGTATAGTCATGGATCAGCGTTCCCCCGCCTTCTAGCGATGTAACATCCCCCTTGCCTTTCACAGATGGTCGGCTTTAAATAATTTCAGTCCGAGCGAGCTGTGTGTTGGGTTCTTTCCAGAGCCACGGATTTCCATACAAGTCTGATTTGTTTCTCTTTTTTTTTGAACCCAAGCAATGGGCAGCAAAGATCACTTGCCACCTGCATCTCCAGGCAATCAGCATCCAAATTCCCAATCCCACAATGACAATATCCTCAACATTAGAGCAGCCGGCTCTCCCTCTGCTGATTCTTTCTTTCCCGGTAAATTTCTTGACGATCTTGACGAAGCTGAACAGCAGATAGCTTCTGCAGGAGAGGAAAAGTATAATCGCCTCGGATGGAAACAATTAACGCTCATGCTGGTGGTTGAGGCTATTGCTTTGGGCGCTCTCTCTATTCCTTCTGCATTCGCTACCCTAGGGATGATCGCTGGCATCATATGCTGTATCGGAATTGGACTTATCGCTATATATACATCTTATGTGATCGGCCAAGTCAAGTTGGCGTTTCCCTTTATACACCATTACGGTGATGCCGGCACATTGATGATGGGTCGGTTCGGCTATGAGCTGTTTTCTGCGATGTTTCTGCTTCAACTCATTTTTGTGACAGGCTCCCACTGCCTCACTGGGACTATCGCGCTCCAAACAATCACTGGGAGCACAGTATGCTCGCTTGTATTCGGTGTCATCTCGGCTATTATTCTTTTCCTCTTTGCAATCCCATCATCTTTTGCTGATGTGACGATTCTCGGGTACATTGATTTTGCGTCTATTATAATCGCTATTGGTGTTACTATTATTTCGACTGGAATACAAGCAACTAGTGCTTCTGGTGGTCTGGGAGAAGTAACGTGGTCTGCCCTACCAAAAGAGAATATTACATTCTCTGAAGCTTACATTGCTATTGGAAATATCGTGTTTGCCTATTCGTTTGCCACTTGTCAGTTCTCATTTATGGACGAAATGCACACTCCACGGGACTTTACAAAATCAATTTTCACGCTTGGTCTACTGGAGATTGTGATATATACTATCACTGGCGCAACAATATACGCTTTTGTTGGCTCTGATGTTCAGTCCCCCGCACTACTCTCCGCCGGAAACCCTACAAGCAGGATCGCTTTTGGCTTGGCACTTCCTGTCATTTTCATCTCAGGCTCTATCAATACTATCGTGGCTGGGCGACTGATACACGGTCGAATCTACAAAGACAGTATTGTCCGATACGTCAACACGCCTAAGGGATGGATCACATGGCTTTCTCTTATCACTCTATTCACAATAGTGGCGTGGATAATTGCTGAAGCCATTCCATTTTTTTCGGACTTGTTGACGGTTGCTTCCTCGCTTTTTACGTCAGGGTTTTCCTTTTATATCCCCCCAATAATGTGGTTCATGCTCATTAAAAAGGGAACCTGGTGTTCCCGGGAGAATCTTTCGCTAGCTGCTGTCAACGGATTCGTGTTCATTTTCGGCTTGGCAGTCTTAGTTTGCGGCTTATATTCCAGCATCGAGGACATTGTGAGTTTATCCATCTTCAAATATAACCGGGAAGTGTTGATCACCGATTCCGAATTAAATTGACAATGGTATGTTTACAGAGAAAGCAATACCACGAGGGCACTATTGGAACCCCCTTCAGCTGTGCCTAGATTTATATTACCCACAAGTAATTTCAGACTTAATATCGTAGTAATACGATCGTTCTGAAATGTCACATTGGTCTTCGTTCGCCTCTGGAATAAAACCTTGTAATGGGCTAGACCGAGTCTCTTCCCCGTTCTATTGCGTGCACTGTTACCCAGACTTTCTATATCACATTCATGCCAACTTAAAAGGTATTGATAGTACCGCTAAACAAGCAGTGTATCATCTGTTTGCCAAGGGACAAGAAACCGAATGCAAGAGTCGTGATCGAGGTAGGTGAAAACATAGGCCCATGATTTAACCGGGGCAAACTTGCATCGTGGGGAAGGAAGGTCAGTTCAACCAAGGAGGAATATTGCGGTAGATTTTCTTTAAGAAGTCGTACAGAAGCATCGAAACACCAGAAAACTATTATCTAAACGAGCTACTTGCGCAATCGCTTGATGGTCGAACCCATGGGCTCACCGGCCCGCAGTGCCTCCATGGTCTTCTCATCGATATCAAATCGTTCTTGGCAGAGTTCGACAACCTGCTCGGTCAAAGAAGGCGGGACAACCACCACTCCATTTTCATCGCCGACGAGGATATCCTCGGGGTAGATCCACAGGTCGCCCCGGAACTGCAAGGGGACGTTGATCTCTGAAGCACGTGTGAAGGTGTTAGAACCGAGAACAGACGTTCCATTCGCAAATACCTATTTTACTATTAGCGGGATGGCGTACTTTTGGGGTCGATTCGAAGAATTTCGCTCCAGGGGCCGAGTTTGGTGAAGGATCGACCCACCGGGAACTTCATATCAATGTGCTCCTGTGTGTCACGTATGCGACCATCAACCATGACACCCAATGCACCAAGTTTCTGCGCCCGGGTCGACATCAGGCCACCCCAGCAAGCTGAATACAGGCCCTTGGGTTGCTGAATGTACATGATGTGGCCTTCCTTATTCGCATCGGCGAAATGAATCGGCGGCGTCGGGCCAGGGCTGTTTGTCTCAACCATTTTCACTGTGATAGCTGGCCCGTAAATGCTAGTTCCGCCGCCTGGCGAATACATATTGAGTCCATCCAAGAATCCGCCATAGGGTTGCTTCAACTTCACAAGCGCGTCACCGATCTGAGATATTCGATTAGAGAAGCCAATTATCACGGAAATACATCTGGATTCGACCTACATCGCACGTAGTGAATCTTTTGAGGCCCTGCAAGGCCTGTGAGATCTTACTCATTGTGGATGACGCGACAATTCAAGATATTAGAATGAAGCTGGAAAATTTGAGGTGGACAGGGCGATAAGTTGCTGAGGACCGCGGGTCGCGTTTCCCCGCTGCCGGAGCCACTCCGCTGTCGATCCATCTTGCTTTACACTTGTCCAAGTACGAGTAGCTAGTAGACATGGGATTCTTAGTATTCTACCCCCAGGTCGTTTTCTAATCAAAAGATCATGGTCGATATGCGTGTCCATGCAGAATGAACACAAACGGGCGTATGGGGGCTATAAGGACAGACGGAGCTGATGGCCTGCGATGATTAGCTACCTTCGGAGAAAGACAGGTTAGTATTGGTTATTATGACCTCGGAAACCGAGCCGGTCGAGTTAGTTACAGTTCTTGGGTGAATACTAGTACTATGATGAAGGACGGTGTGTGCCTTGAATATGAATATACTAGTCAAGGAAGTAGTATCTATAAATTGAATCGAACTTAACTTCACAGACCTTAATATTTTAAGTAAATCAGAAATAACCCAATCGTAGATAGCATGCGCGAGGAACATCCTGACAATAGCTAATACTTAGCCAAATCGTTGCTTCGCCAAAGTCTGCAGCCAGCCGATGGTTTCGTCCTCCTTCTCCCGATACTTTTGGATTCGCTCTTCTCGCTCTGCAGCACGCGCGCGCATAATCTCTTCCCTGCGAAGCTCTCGCTCATTCTTCTTCCTCTGATCACGTTCTTTCTCTTTCTTGAGACTAGCCCACTCGCCATCTCCAGGGCCCATGAGATCTTCATCTGGTGCTGCCTCGGGAGAGGCTCCCCGCGCATCTGCAAATGAGCGATTCGCCGCCGCAGCTTCCCGGCGTTTCTCAAGCTGTCGCTCCCGGGTGCCGGGCTCAGCACGAGGTGCAACTTCATCCTGTAGGTGCCGCATCTCTGCCTTGTGGGAACGAATCTCAGAACGATATTGGTCTCGTGACTCCTCACGGGCAGCAATTGCATCTTCAATTGCAGATTCTGAATGGGTCAGTAGGAGACATGGCAATGAAGGGTATAATGACACTCACCTCTTTTAAGGTCAAGATCCTGCATGTTTGGTATAGTCGGTCCAGAACGGGAGTTTCCTCCCATTGATCCTGGATGTGGAAGAGTCGGTCCGTATTCATCGTCGTCGTCCTCATCGTCATCTTCTGCAGTCGGCAGTTCCTGGGTGCCCTCATTATCCGCTGGCCGGCCCCGATTATATTCTGGTGATGCTCGTCCTCCACCCGAGTACGGCTGTACTTCGTCCGCATTTTCTCGCGCTCGCTTCAGTGTTGCGGGGTCGTACCATCCTTCAGCGAGTTCGCCGCGGTTCCTGCGCAGTCAGCAAAGGGAATAAATACTGGCGGAGTCGAATGCGACAAACCATTTCCCAGTAAAACTCTTCCACCTCCCTTTGACTTCATCTTCCTTCAGTTCTTCAAGGAGTATACCTTTCTGGATATCCAAGTACATGGCGAACATCGGCTCGTAGGCCTCTAGGTCTCGTCTGCTAAGCTCTCGAGCCTGGCATGGGAGTATCACGGGCGCTGGGGGTTGCTTGTCTCGCTTTCCATGGTGCTCACTTCCGCGCTCGTGTTTTCTGTCCGTCTCATGTCGACGGTGGCGTTCCGATCTGTGTCTGTCGGATCGGTGGGGAGAGCGAGATCGTGAGTGGTCGCGGTGTCGGTGACGGTGGGAATGCGAATGTTCGTTGCGACTGCGATGGCGACGCTCTGGGCTACGCGTGCCGGGAGGATGCGAGCGGTGCGCAGATGGTTCAGGGGAAGGCATTGTTGCAGTGTTCTTTCTTTGCAAGAAGTCGCGTTAATCAAAGACCAGCTTCGACTTTTCGGAAGGTTGGTCGCTGGAGAGTTTCTACCTACGAATTGGGATCGGCCCCGGGGAGCTTGCGCTTATCGCTTATCAAGCACCGTCGTCGACCCGGGCATCCCATCCCATTGTAACATGGGATGGGATGGGAGGGGGATGAGCGCCACGACCATCCCAAGATTGCAAGCAATCCATAGTTTTTAAACCGTGGGGGGGATTCTGTATTCCCCTGGGTTTGAAAGTGTTACCCAATGTGCACAAATAATCAGTGCCAGTGGCCGATATCATACAAACAAGCTATACTAGTATAGTAACTAGACAAATACAACATTACGATGGCCATGGTTTCAGTGAATAAAATAAAGGCTAGTTGTGATACTAAATACATCTAAGCGAAGAAATATACAAAATTCCGTTCTGTCTACTCAGTCATCCACTTAACTAGGGGGGGGCAGTCTGATCATTGACCGAGTCAGCCGGCTTGTCACTGGCAGGTGCTGGGCTCGACTGAGAGGAGCTCTTGGAGCGGTTAGAAGCCGCCATCTGCCAGGCCGGAATGGAGGCGGATCGGCCTAGCTTTGAGAGAGGGCTGTCTGAGTTTTGAGGAGCCGGAGCGGCAGCCGGAGCAGCAGGGGCAGGAGTAGGCTCCTGTTCGGCCGGAGTCACAGTGGGTTGCAGGGCATTCAGCGACGGAGTACTAGCAGGGGCGTCCTCTGTAGCCGGCCGAGGTGCGGGCGCAGGAGTCGGGGTTGGGCTAGGGCTAGGGATTGGGGTCGAGCTGCCAACAGTCCGTCCAGCAGCGGGAGCAGCTCCACCGCCACCCAGGCGGTTGCCCAACAAGACCTTTAAGCTCTTCAGCTCGGTTCCAAGCTCCTTCAATCGGTTCTCATTGCCTTCCCGGGCGCCTTCAAGGGCCTTGGGAATCGCATCCTTCAACGACTTCACTTCATCGCTAATCCGGCGTGTCTCGTCATCTCTCCGGCGCGAAGATGTCTTCAGGTCTGAAACGAGGTTTTCCACATCCTTGAGAGCTGCATCCAGACGCTCGGTGCGAGCGTCTTCGGCAGCCTTAAGGGCTGCGGTATCGGTCGAAAGCTGGTCAATCAATCCAAATGCGCGCGAGAACTGCTCGTCAATATTCTCTTTATCTTGCTCCAGCTGAGGAGGGGTAGGAGGAGCAATGAGCGGAGCAATGTATCGCTAGTGAAGAACTATTAGCATAACAACTGCTGCCTAAAGACACGTATATACATACCTTGCCAACGAAATACAATCCATATCCAACTCCACCCATTACAGTCGCCATGATGAACAAGTCTCTCCAGTCTCGCTTAGGGGGCCTGGAATGCGATCAGTATGCGGGGTTTGGAGGAAACCCGAGCGGGGTTGGACATACTCTGGGGGCGGCTGCCATTGACCATATGGAGGATAGCCATATCCTTGAGGTGATTGTGGTGGCGGCCGATAAGCGACCTGTTGTGAAGGGTAACTTTGCGACGCTGGTGCAGCACCGGTAGCCGCTGCAGCTGCAGCCGCGGCCGGGTCCTCGCCGACACGCGACAGGGCGAGGTCGACTTCCTCTTGTGTCAAGTTTTTGGATTGTAAAAATGCAACTCGTTTTTCAATAGGCGATGATGCCACAGATGGGTCTTGGAGAACTGTTGATGGGGTTAGCGCATAAGGTCGCAATATCCGGGGATTGGTGTAGTCCGACGTACAAGTCACCTATAGGATTCAGTTAGTGACCAAGATAAAACCACCCAGTGATAGCTCTCAGGGATACTTACAGCAGACGTAATCAGCTCCTCGCGGGGAGCCATGATGAGGGAGTGTCGACCGCAGTGGGAGGATGTAGAGGAGAAGGCCAACTCGATGCAGATGCAGGGGAATGGGAAACGGCCGTCATCGGCAATCGCCGTGGACCTCGGAACTCATGACCGCCAAGACTGGCAGTTTCCCCAGACCGAAGTCTCGTGACAGTCGGGATCAGGAGTTTCTATTTTTCCGGGTTCCCCATTACCGCCTACTGTTTCTGGCAGCAACCCGCTCTTGTTTACATTTGGCCAAAGATTCCCGCCGAACTCTGCGCACGATAACAAGTCCCCCTCCTAGAGGTGTTTGTGCGCGTCTGACTTGGTATCCAAAGATTTGGACCGACTACTCATCCTTATTTCTTCTTGAGCAGTAGATCATTCCGCCGCTCTCGCGGCCTCTTTTTCTCATCATGTCGCAAGATACGGGATTGTTTAGTATCAAGCGTCCCCGCGAGGTACGTAATTTCTCATGCATGTCGCAACTAGGTTTGCTCACTGACATTCGGTTGAAGACGCTTGGTAGTGTTCAGAATTACTCATCTATTCCGCAACCCGCATCGGCTATGAAGCGCACCAGTTCTATTGGATTCAACAACCCCCCACTCACGTCTGGACACACTCGGAATTCCCTGCTGAACTCGGCCAGCCGACCCCAGCAACCGAACTTCATGCGCGCATCTTCCGGCGGCCCATACGGTGCAGATGCCGGTCTTTCATCTGTTCGCCGATCTGTCTCGAGTAATATGTTCCATGGTGCCAGTGCTGGTCGCCAGAGCTATGCGCCCGGGTCTCTGCCGTCCGCCCCCGCGTCGCAAAACATGCAGCGCAGGAGTAGTGTATTTTCACGGCCCTCAATGGCCGGGCCCATGTCACATCAATCATTCTTTACCCAAGTGCCTTCAGCAGCCGGAGTCCCAAGAGACCCGCGACCACTCAGGGATCGGTCCTTCCAAGCTCGTATTGGGCAAGAGCTGTTGGAGTACTTGACCAATAACAAGTTTGAGCTGGAAATGAAGCACTCCCTGGGCCAGAACACTCTTCGTTCACCAACCCAAAAAGACTTCAACTACATCTTCCAGTGGCTCTATCATCGTATTGATCCAGGCTACAAGTTCCAAAAGGCCATGGATGCGGAGGTTCCCCCGATCCTCAAGCAGCTGCGCTACCCCTACGAAAAGGGCATCACGAAATCCCAAATTGCAGCCGTTGGTGGCCAAAATTGGTCTACTTTCCTCGGTATGCTACACTGGCTGATGCAGCTGGCTCAGATGATGGACCGCTACCATGAAGGAGAATATGACGAAGCGTGTGCCGAGGCAGGTCTTGATATTATCGGCGATCGCATTATTTTCCGCTTCCTTACTGGAGCCTACCATGACTGGCTACAGGGAGGTGAGGATGAGGATGATGAAACCGCAGAACAGCGACTGGTTCCTCACATTGAGAACATGTCGCAGGAGTTTGCTCGTGGTAATGAGCGTTATGTACAGGAGATGGAGGCCTTGGAAACCGAGAACCAGGCTCTCCGTGAGCAAATAGATGAGTTGGAGAAGAATGCGCCTGACCTGGCCAAGCTGGATAAACACTTCAGAATCTTGGAAGACGACAAACGCAAATTTGAAGACTACAACCAAAATGTACAGGGAAAGATCGACAAGTACGAAACACGCAACAACTTCCTTGACAGTGAAATCCAGAAAACGGACGTGGAGCTTCACACAGCGGAGACTGAGCGTGCCGAGCTTCAAGCTAGTGTCGACCGCCAGGGCATCACCATTCAGGACATCGACCGTATGAACACGGAACGAGAACGCCTCCAGAAGAGCCTCGATGATACTTTGGCCCGCCTAGAAGAGACCCACGCTCGTGTGATGGCGAAGGAAGCAGAGGCCAGCCAGAAACTCGAAGACCTTGAGCACATTGTGAAGACATACAACACCCTGGGTTATCAAAATAGTCTGATTCCGCAGTCGGCCGAGAACGCTAAAGGCGAAGACTATGAGCTCACTCTCAATGTTAATGAGAACAATTTCTCAGCAAGCCAGATTGGCGGTGCGTCCAACCGTATCTCTTCGGATGGTGACCGGTTGTTGGCAGATCCTTTTACCGGCTATCATCCCGCGCATCTCCTGAATCTGGACCTTCGCGGCTCGATTCGTAATAGCCTTCAGTCTCTCCGGAAGGAAATTAATGAACGACGCAAGCGTGGTGTTGACGAGGACCTAGAGCGACGCAATCTACTCGACAATATCAAGGAGGCGATGGATGAAAAAAGAAGCGAAGTCGAGGCCCTGGAGCACCGACGGCGTGCAGCCGATGAAGAGTTTGAACGCACGAAGGAAATCACTACTACTCAGAAATTGGCATCAGATGCCCAGATTGAGAAGATGGAGAAAGAGCTAGCCAAGATGCGTGCAACTCTTAGTGACAGTGTGCAGCTAATGGAGCAACGCGAGATGAACACCAACATCGAGTATGAGCAACTGACACTCCGGGCAAATTCACTCCGGGGAGGAACTGCATACCAACGTTGAGACGATGCTCAACGACGTCATCCGATTCAAGGTGCACGTTCAGAAGGGTCTAGAAGATTACGAGAGTTTTGTTGTTGATGAGGTCGAGCAGGAGCTTGGAGGAGACGTCCTAACCGCCGAGGAAGAGCTATGAATATCCACGAGTGACGAATTTGGCCGGGTTGGTTGTCGTTTGGTGTCATGTTAATTGAGCCCTTATTGTTGTTCTTCCTCTCTTCATGTCTGTCCCCTTTTTTCAAGCTTATGTCGTGTACAATACCCCAAGCAATAAGGATGATACTCTTCCCAACAGAAGGACGCGCAATGCCCAGCGGGCCAAATGGTGTAAGATCGTTAGCCTGAGACCGGTGGCGTTTTTTACTCTATTCCTTTTGGCCGTTTAGTTAGTATGTATCCGTACCTGCTGCTGGAAGGGTTCGTGACAGGGTTAGAGGGTCAAGCTTGTCCACCGGCATTTGGTGTGCTCGCCGCTCCCTTTGCCCTGTGTCGTCCAATGACGAACTTGCGTTAGCCCGACTTTCGACGCCATTTTTGAACCTGAAGCAGATGGCGGGTTGATCGACAAGAGGACGTGTAAGCTCATGTGGGGAAGCACCAGCACACCTTGTTTCACATTTGCCTCCCACTCACGGTCCAACGCCTTGTCCAGCACGGCTGCAAGTGTCCCAGCAATGTCATCCGTCGCGCCATCTGCTTCAGACCCCCCTGGCGCATCACCCTTTACTCTCCGATTAACCCCTGCATCGGCTCCTTCACATTGCACCAATGCGCTGGAAGCCTGGTAGGGCTAGGCCGTCTTCTCCCTGAAGATCGCCCTGGATTCGACAGATGGGCCACGGATGGGGTCTTCCAAGTACAGAATTTGAGTACCGATCTTTACAGTTCCCGACCCTGGACCTCTGGCCTAGATGGCTCGGGTGCACCTAGCGGCGGCATTGTATCAATGTGCTCGGGAAATTCCGCCAAACAAGCATCACATCCTGCCGTCTCAGCATGTCACGCTAGGCCTGTCATATCTCAGTCCCCATATCCATATCCCCTTGGAAATCGATATATAAAGGCCCTCGAGACCACCATGGAGGGGTTTTTGATCACAGTGCTGCGCGCTTACCTTCTTTTCTATCAACTTGAGATACTCCGTCACTGAGTGACTCCGGTTATCCACTCTTTACAACCTTTTTCATTCTCACTTTTATTCCTTTCAAACAAAAACCTACCATCCTTTTTCAAAATGAGATTCAACCTTGTTCTCGGTGTTACCACTGTCCTCTGCCTGGCTCCCAATGCCATGGCCTGGAACATGCCTCGCGTGGTAAGTATCCTCTTCTAACTATACCCTCTTTTGAGATTCGAGTTCTGACCTTCCCTATAGTTCGGCGGTGACAACCAGCTGGAGGCTACTTCTACTGCCCAGCCCTCAAGCGGCGTTAAGCCCACCGGCACTTTCCCAAGTGGTGCTGCTCCTAGCGGTGGATTTGGCGGCGGGGCTTCCCCCAGTGGTGCTGCCGGAGCTTCCCCTAGTGGTGGATTTGGCCACCACGGTCACCATGGTCACCATGGCAGTGGACCTTCCGGCGCCCAGCCTTCTGGAGGATTTGAGGGTGGTGGTCAACGTCCTTCTGGCACCATCCCCTCCGGTACTTCGCCTTCTGGTGCTGCCGAACCTAGCAGTGCGTCTGACAGCTCTTCCGGGGGTGTCAGCCGCATTGGTGGTAGCGACCAGGGCTCTGGTAGCAACGGCGATGACGCCCCTGCTCCTACTGGTCCTCCCTCCAGTGTTCCCTCTGGCACCACTGGCGGTGGCTTTGGTGGTGGCTTCGGCAGCCAGTCGAGCTTTGCCAGCGCCCCCATCCCAGCTCCTACCGGATCCGCTGTCCCAAGTGCTGAGGGCCAGGGTGAAGGCCAGGGTGCAGATCAGGGGTTCGGTCAGAGCGAGCGTCAGGGCTTCAAACGTTTCCACGCTCGCCAGATCCGCCCCGCCCAGGTCTAAAGTCATTATGCAATCTTTGCACTCATTTGTAGCATTCTCGCTGCCCCTTGTAAGATATGCTGAAGCTGTGTGATCCTGTGGCTGCTGGCTCGGCTAGACAATGGATTAGTACACAATCTTACGAAGCAAACAATGAGTGCTTTTTTTTTCTCTTCTCTTTTTCGCGTAAAACGTAATTCAACTATTCCTCGTAGAAGATTGTTGGTGCATTGATATCGGAATGGCGTCACTTTTGCCCGAACCTTTATTTCCAGCGTTTGTTCTTCTTCCATTCAAGCCATAACAGTTCTATGAGTACCTAATTAGTAGATATCATTTTGCAATTCTGCCGAAACCCGCGTATCAAAAGCTCGAAGTAAATCGGCGCGTCCTGATTGGCTATGAAATGTTCCCGCTGACTCATCAAAGCACCAAATTTCCGCGGAACTCCTCCTGCTTCATGATCATTCAATTACACCCTCCTGTCAACTTTGAGGGCGGGTTCGGACAATTCTGCATTCGGAGCAGAGTGAGAAAGCGAATCGAAGTTCCGACCATACGCGAAACCCTTAATTGGAGCGAAATGTGCCACACCACCCTCGCGCCCACCGATACCGTGATCCTTTCCCTTGCGCCTTTCAGGCTCGCCGCCGTGTCATGATAAGGTCCTTGCGCCCCGGCCGTCTCCTTCGACTTTGCCGTGGGCCTTATACTCCCAGTCCGCTTGCACTTCCGTGTCTTTCCCTTTCTCGCGCGCATTCCCGACCCTCTTCTACAACTAGGCGCCCGTTGACGCTCGAGGAACACAAGTTCATCTGCAAGTACACCGATTTATCAAAATCCCCTGTCAGTCTCAAGAGTCGCAATCCTGATGTCTGGATCCCGTCTCTTGTGTCATGTTTGAAAACACCACAAAAGAGACAGCAGCCTGCGGCCTCGGTCAGATCAACGGGAACAATCACTCAACATGCCAAAGATCTCGATAGAGGTCATGCTCTGATGAGCTATCTGTGGCTGGCAAAGACATGGAGGGGAATGGATCTTCTAGCGCATCTGGGATTCAACCTGAAACAATGGTCTACCGTGCACGCACTATTGAACGAGTTGATCGATACGTATGAGTTACTTGCCCCCTTCATGGGAGTCAAGAATCCTGCCCCAAATCTTGAGTGGTCCATGGCAGATTCAGGCCTCTCTTTGAACTCTCTATCTTTTCTTAAATTATCCAGCTCCGAGCTTAAACAGGTGCAATTACCTGCCTCTAAACTTGATCTCAACGTCGCCACGAGAATACCTGCTGTGGATAACTTTGGCCAGAGAATATTGGGGTCGGTGCTAATGAATCTGGGATCATTGGTGTTATCAGCTGCAGATCATTCTGCAACCGAGTCCAAATTCGCAATGTCATGCGTGTTCCGTATCCTTGCTCGTTTGCACCACTTGGGACTGATTTCCGACAAGGTTTACCAGTATCAGCCTGCGGACCCAGATCAAATTTCATTTCGACCTCCAGGACTAAATCTTTTGTCGACTCACATTATGACTGTTCTTTCAGATGCGGCATGGCTTGAACATGAAACTACCCTTGCGAATACCGCTACCAAAGCTGGAGAGGAGCCGCCATTTCTTCCCTTCAATGTGGGATTCCGGGAGCTTGGCCCAGAGATCTGGCTGGAACTTATTCTCTGGTGCTGTGTCGAGCATGGATTCTCCAAACAAGGCGCTGAATTGTTGAGGAATATGAGCAAACGGACCGATGACCGAGCATGGAAAATCGCAAGCTGGGCGCCTCTAGTTCGTTCTCTCGATACAGTCCGACAGACTGATATCAGTAAAGAGGAATCTTGGCGCCGCCCAGACAATGACGAGCCGCTCCGTCGGTTCAAAAATGACGAGCGACCCCCATTCAACGGTCTAGGAAGGCGGACTATTAGCACTGAAGTCGTTGCCTCTCTACGCGACATGTTGCACAACAAGACTTTCGTTTCTGTTGGAACCACCGGGATGTCATCTTCTGAATTACTCGACCTCACCACCTCTCTCACCCAGCTTCTTGAGCCTACTGCGACAAAGGATGAACTCAAACTGACTAACAGGTCAACCAACTGGAATTTCAACCGGATGATAGAGTCAGGTGGTCTTATTCCCAATGAGGACCCAATTGCATTCGAAAAGGTCCTGCGATCCACTCAAAATGTTGTTCCACCCTGGGGAGGACGGCCTATCCCTACGGACAAACGACTCAATGACATTACGAAAGCACAACTATACGATGAAACAGCTGCCATATCCGGCCTCATCGAGTATAACGTCAGGGGCTCTGCACGCACAATGCAAGCCGCAACGGCATTTTCTGGGTATGCTCGGCTTCAAAGCATTGTTGACGCAAGCAAGTCATATCATATTAGGGAGTTCTTCGAGAAATTCGACCAGCATGATTCTCCGGGTTTCTCGTTCTTCGAATCTAGACACCTCGATTCAAGCTTAGGAGAATCATCTCTTCCGCAAATCCAAAGTGTGACCATGGCCGAGTTGCTCGATCTAGTTACAAATTGTCGAGCGTTTGACTTTGGAAATTGGTTGCTCTTCAACAACGACATTGATGGCCCCCCGATCGCCAAAGCTTCATACGGCGACCAAGCCATCGCACCGTCGATTCTTCGCTTCGCAGCTGCCACGCAAAACAAAGAGCTCTCTGATGAAGTCATCGCAGCGCTTAGTCCACCACTGAGCACTAATACGCTCAAAGCTGTTTTAAACTTGCACATCTCAATGGAGTCATGGGATCGAGCACATTTCACTCTAGGGTTCATGCGCGACTATAGGGCAAAGTCATGGGGCTTCAGCAATATCACTGCACTAGCAGCCAAAATTATTAGGCTCGATGGATCCATTCAGCGCAAACTGGCAAGCGGGTGTCAGTCAGCAGAAAAGGAACAAGAAAGCCTCGCTAGGGCATCTGACCTTCTCATTCGTCTCTTCCAGGGAGAGTTCTCTACGTCGCCCAGCAAGAGCGAACGCGTAAACAAATTTCAACGATTAGTGCTTAAACGCCTCTGGTCGTTCGTTGACGTTCTTCCTGGTCCATTGGTTGATATTCTTCCTGCTCCGATGGTGGATACTCTCAAGCAGGCCAGCGCAGATCGCGCCTCGCCACGGGACAAACTTGTTCAGGTTCCCATCAATGCTTTTCATGACATCCTATCTGCTGTGGTGGATGTTTATGGCAGTAAGGCAGGCAAGAAACTATTCGATGAGTGTTGCCTAGACGTACAAATCCCTGCTCAAGTACGTACAAAGGCTGGTGGCGTTGTACGATTGCACACGGCGGCTGAGCGAAAACATCTTGAAGTTTCTGGGGACCGCAGCTTTAATGCCCAATGGCATGAATATCGTCAAAGCAAGCTGGTCATCCCGAACGCGAGCACCTTTCGCATACTCGCGCAGGCTGCTTATAGGGAGTTTGAACTTGATGAGGCTCATGCCAACGCGAACCAGACTTCTCCCTTCCTTTCAGCTTCGCCTTCTCGTGCGTCCCCTCTTGTCACGCCATATTCGCTTGTCAACCCTTCTCGGCGGAACGATTCCCAAGAGCCAACACTCAAGGATGAACCAAATTCAAGCGCCATCCCGCCCGCCACAGAGTCGGAGGCCATCCTTGACTTCTGTGTCAGAAAATTCATTCAGGAAAACATGGAGGAGAGTTCAATTGAACTGGAACTCCCGGGATATATGGCACGCATGCGCTTCCGTGGCATTCTTGGCAACGAGTCCTTCCACCCCCCCTAGTCGGGCGAAACAGATACAGGATGACCCATGGATGGAATCCTTCCTAGGCGTTAAAGATAAGGGAATAAAACCATCCTCGCCTAGGGACCGCCATGCAAACAATTCCCAAGAGCCCCTGGGCCCAAAGACGAATCCTGAGACTGAGGCTGCTCAAAAGAAATCATAGAGAGAAGAGACCCAGACTAAGCGTGTCAAGATCAAGGCGAAATCTACGAAAACTGCGAAGTCTCTCCAGGCGGGGTCTATCAAAGTCAACTCTACTCAGGCTCAAACAGCCAAAGCCCGGCCAGCTAATGCCAAACCTGCTCCAACCAACTCTACCGAGAACAAACCCGCCTCGGAAAAAGTCAGCACCTGAGACCAGGCGCTCTGTACATTATGCCTATGTTCTATCTCACCAGAAATGTATATACCCCTCTGCATTCTGGCTGTCATGTATCACTACCTTGAATTTTTTTTAATATCCTTGCATAGAACAAATAGATGAAGCAAAATTCATGTTGAATATACAATTAAAATTCGAAAAGAGAGGAAGACTATCTTCAAATATGAGACCAGTCTGGACATTTGAAAAGTAGAAATATACTGCCAAATGAGGAAGTACCATGTTAATATAGAAGCCACCCTGAACTCCAGATTCAGAGAACCACGGTCCAAAAAATGAAAGAGAAAAATAGAAATACCAACACCAACACCTCCAGGCTCCTTCCTTTAATCCGAAGGCCTAAGCCTGACCCTGACCCAAATAAATTGCAAAGCGCACGCCTGTTCAGTCCTCCACCCGTCCGATGATAACGCACTGGTCTAGAGCGTATGTGGCAATTGACCGATAATACTAAGGGCAATAACAAAACAGATGACAGAGGATAGAGGAGAAAGATGACGTGGGAAAGGGAGGGAAACAAAGAAAATTCAAAGTTACAAGGTATACTTGCTCTCCAAATGCCCAAGGATCAAAAGAGATGCAAAGAAGAAAAATTAAAAGACAAGAAACGAGAATCCGAGGGCCAACCTTTGGAAAGATATGAAGACAGATAGAGTGGATGAAGAAAAGCAATGTGTAAAAAGAAACAAAGAATAGAGAAAGGATAATTTCGTTTTCTTGACTCGTGAAATGCCTTTTCATAGACAGAACGTTGACGGCATTACCTCAGCTTTGTTCCCAGTGATCATCCTCCTCGTTATGAGGGAAGAAAGATTTAATGAACTCGCCACTAATGGGATCGTAGGGGAAGTAAAGATCATCAAAGAGCTGGCCATCTGCTGAAACAGAGTTCATGGGGTCCGTGTCGGGAAGATTCGAGAACGCCGGGTAATTATAGTTATCACCTTCCAACTGGAACGGCTGGTTGAAGTGGTTTGTTAATGAGAGGTGTTCCAGATGGGGACCCCATATGTTTTGCGAGCTTGTTCCTGTAGAGTTGTCGGGCTGACAGACGTCCGTAGAGTCAAGGGTGGATGTGGGTGCGGGTTGATAGGTGTTCGAGGGTATGTCAGATATATCGAAGTCCATACCCGAGGCCAGACGGCGCAGGCAGATATCGCAGAGTTGCCAGGCTCGTCGGGAGGCGACGCTGTGCTCAGACATAGCGTAGAGCCATCGAACGGATTTCTTGGACAGCGCTATAAATTGCTGCTCTGCCTCTGGCATGTGGACGGAGCCAAATGAAAGTTCCAACAGTAACACTGTTGCGGCCTGCATAAGATAATGGAGAACACACCACCAGGGAGCGATTTCGTAAAGCTGGACGGCGCTCGGCTCATCTGGGATGAGGTCCAACATTTGCATTGCAGAATTTAGGGTCAGCACGGCCATGTCATGGCTGAAAGATGACTTTTCTGCCGGGTCCTTCTTCTGTGCATCTCGTCGGCATAGGCATGGGCGGCCTAGAGTGATCCGCGCACTATAGAAGTGAAAGGCCAGGGCGAGCTTGCTACGAAGCTGTTCGGGGCCATCATCGGTCTTTTGCGTGAAATCAAGAACAGATGGGATACTTGTCAGCCACAGGTCAATTCGAGACCGAAGTTCGCCAATGCGATTCTCAATATGCGCCCAAGGCACCATCACACAGTCTGTCGAATACACCTTGTTCACAATTTCCTGGATAACGACTGCCAAATCACAGTAGTAGAGATGGCAAAGGCCAAAATTGAAAGGCAAGCCCTTTACCCATGGGTTGTCACGCTCGCGAGACTTGTGGGTGGCCTCTTTGCCGCCGGTTGGGTTGAGTGGCATATGACGAACCCATGCACTAGCCATTACCTTATTGATTCGGTCATCGCGAAGATGCGAGTCGTTCAGCATCTCAGCTGCTTCGGGCTCCTGCAATTGTTCTTCCGTGAAAGGGAGGGGTAGAGGTGTGGTGCAAATCCCATCCAAGATACAAGTAGCCCGACCTGTCATGATTCCAAGCATGTGCTCGAAGGTATACAGGCACCACCAAACTCGGTATCGAGCCTCTTTGGAGATATTTGGGGTTGTTGGACTGGTACTCTTCATGTTGATGCCAAGAGTGATGGCAGATCGCACCGCCATCGCTGAGATTCTCCATGCCCTGGGTCATAATTAGTATAGGACGAGGATATTACTCGGCCAGGTAGGTTAAAATACCGATTGATCTGATCCGATGAAAGGAGATAGAATGCAATGAGACCCTCCACTTGAACCTGCTGAAGATCGGGATGGCTAAACAAGACATCTCCATTCATACTGAGAATCCTGGCCCGAGTCAAGTACACCAAATGGTCTTTGTCATCACCCTTCCATGGCGCTTCGATTAAATGGGCATGTTGGGCAGCGATAGCAAATATCATGTTCAGTATAGCGAGCCATTTATCCCCTGGTCGGGCGGAACTGTCGAAGAAAGTTCGATATTGAGCACAGAAGAGAGGGCGATTGATCATAGGGAAGAAGGGATGCACGGTGCGGAGATAATCATCGAAGAGTTTATCAGCCAGGTCCCGGGACGGCATAGCGTAGATCTCCACGGATTCAGGAACAGAAACATCAATGTCGTCTAAGTGGTAGCTCACGGCATGGAGGGCGAGATCATCGTCTTGTCGTTTACTTTGTCCTGGCTCCAAAGAACCTGGTAGTCCCTTGGAACGATGTTCCGCCTCTCGCTGAAGTCGTTGCATCCAAGTAACCTCAGAGCTTTTGCTCATAAACCCGGTCGCTCGTGAGTGTTCGGTCCGGTTCAGATCCTCCTCCACGCGGTCAATAGCCTCAAGTGAGCCAATAGAAGAGGGTGAGCTTAGATCGTCGGCATCCCCATTTTCGTCTCGTGGGGTGACTGAATGTGATGGTGCACTAGCGTTTGACGAGGACTCGACTTCGTTGTTACCATACTGCGAGCGTGTTAGATATAATGAACGGTGCGAGTATGTTCTCTCCAAATCCTCAAGTGACACACCTTGTCCAGCAAGCTTCTGATACGATCTGCAGTTTTAGACTCGACCAACGACCCTAGATCCTTCAACAAATTTTCATAATCGACCGTTTTCTCGGAGAGCCATTCGACTTGTCTAGAAATTAGAGATGTATCAGTAACCAATATTCAAGCCAGCAGGGGGCAGTCCAAATCCACCGTGCACATGCGAATAAGCAGTGAAACGACTAACTTCTTTGTTTTTTCCTTCCATCCCACGGGGTACTGGCACGAGATGCGCAGTTCACGACACTGTCGACACACCGGGGTATCACCGCTGCACTTCGTTTTGCGCGATCTGCATGATTCGCAAGCCCGGGGGACGCGGCGGCCATATCGAGGGGCGATACCGGATCGCGAACGAGGGATGGCGACCTTGGCAGGGCCAGTGGAGTTAGGCCGGCTCGTGGAGCCGAGTTTCGAGTTTTTCAAGGTCGAAGCCGAGTCAGTGACGGAAGCCGCTTTCGAGGCGGTGATACGCGAATCATTCGGATGGAGAAATTGAGTTGGAAGTTCCTTCTGCGATGCGAGTCCTTCCGTCGGTTGGTTTGGAGGCTGGTCATCCATCGTCATATTTGCGGGGTGCACTTAGTGGGTGCACCCTGAGGGGTCTTCCGAATTGACCGAATTGATAATGAATGGAGGGGAATCCCTATGCGGGCCAAGGCGCAATCTCGGTCGAACAGCCGGGATGGAAGTCGGTCACGACCGTGGTAGTAGTTTAAGGAGATATGGGATCCATTTGGATACTTGATTTCATTCAACTAGTCGGGTTGTAGTACTCGTAGGCGATCGGAAGGAGGGGAGGCGATAAGGCGATTTACGAAGATGTGGCGAACGTGAAGAAGGCCCCGAGAAATGGAGTTGGGCTTAGTCAGAATGCCTACCGAGGTGTCCCATGGACTACAAGTGGATGATTTCAGATTCCAAGACAAGATTTCGATCAAAAAACGATCCATGGTTTCGAATGACGCCTAAAACATACATAGACAATCGCTTTTTTGGCCTTCTTTTGATGGCAAAACGATCACAGCACAAAAAACAAAGTTCCCAATCCCATATCCTCCCTTCCACCCATCCAGGGCGAGACCAGAAAAAAGAGGAAAAGTAAAAGTAAAAGAGGAAAGAAAAAAAAAGCATCAACAGATGTATATATACAGGAAAATGAATTAGCGGGAAAGGAGTAGAACACGGCGGAGGCATGGGAGCCGACATGTACACGGTCAAGGGAGGTAGATGGGAGAGGGTTAGATCAAAGGGTATAAACGATATCGGTGGGCTTTTATGCCCATCGAGAGAGTGGAGAGAGAGTGACAGAAGTTGGGAAATATAGAAGCATGGAGGTGGAGAGATGCAGATAGGAGACCGTGAGTATGGCACGAAAGCTTAGATTTCGCCAAACATCTCATCGAGCTCATCGACTTCCACGGTCTCCGGGTTCTGCAGCTCTCTCCAGGAGTCCAGAATGGGCTCGGGGGTCATGGCGGCCATAGCCCGAGGACCCAGACTAAGTTTCTCGTGAGACTCAGTCAAATCAGACATCTTCAGATCGACATCCGGAAGGCCGCTGTT